TCGTACATTACTCTCTCTCCCCTCCACAGAAAACAAACCACTATCTAATGATTGTGCAGTAATTGTAAAGATGCTTGTATGTTAAATTTGTATTGTCAGAGACCCCTTTTTCATGCAAATTTGCATCTCTGATTTGGCTCAAGTGGAATAATTACTCGTCCGTGCCCGACAAGAGTGTCATGAAATATGTAGTCGCTCGGTCCATGTTTTCCAGGCAATCAATAGTTGTATGTGTAGCGGTATATGGTGAGGCAGGGGCAGCTTATTCTCAGCGTAGCTGAAACATCCAATATACATGAGTCTTCATCTTGCGATGTGCTAGACTACACTGCCAGTGAAGTTATATAATGACATTTTCTCACTTGGGCCATAAGCAACAGAATACAACCACGATCGTCAGTGCAAAATCGAACACACTTGACAAAGATTTGTAAAGACTTGTTTCCAACAATATATCACAAATCATTTCAGCTTGAGGGAAAAAGAATATACAGTCACGTGTGAAACTTTGATTTTTTTTGCAGTGGGAGTCATGCAGTTATCAGTTAGGGCAATAGATCTTTGTGTCCCTTGGAAGATGTGGGTGTGCGATTTATCATGAGAGTTTTAGTGCACCATGTATATTTGTATGACAATGATTTAGATGTCTGGGGATTTAGAAGTGAAAAACATTTCAGTTGCAGTAAACATGGATGCAATTAACTTACTGGTAGTGATATAGGGGATGCTACAACTGCATTTTAGAGATCTCATCTGAAACCACTGGGTTCATGAATCTGAAGTCGATGTGTAAGATTGCCAGCATTTAGAAGAGCTCCAATTTTAAACATGGTGAATTATGAACAGTTGTCATGTTGGAATGTTAATAAGGCTTTTAATCATGTATCAATTTAGAGAAAAGCCCTTTATGTTTTTGATTAAGAACCTTTAAACTGTGTTTTTTCCCAAATATGCTGCCCCAGTTTGATGAAAGAACAATTTCTGTAAAACCAAATGTGCTACTATTACTTTGTCACAATGACCTGCTATATCATACTTATATAAGGAAACGTCATCAAAATTATTACCTTACTCTCATTTAGAAAAATGCTAATAAATGTTTTCTTAGAAAGCCTATACCCAGCCATGAAAATTATGTTAATGGTTACATTAGGGTAAGATATATGGATGAAATCATTCTTTTTTTTACAATTACATGTAGCATGATTTGGAGCAATGTTTTGGTATTAAGCAAAGTGTTCATCCATACTACCTCCCCGTACTTAGTACTCCAACTTCTAAATGACTCGCAATGAAAATAATAAATAGCGTTTGACAACATTGGTATTGACATTTTGGTTTTGCCAAAATATTCAGATGGTTTTCAGCATTATATATGTTTTTATACAAGGCAATTTAATCAATGGGCAAACTTATGCTGTGACACAAACTTATTAGGTGAATCTTATGATTCTGCAATTTCTACATCTCAGCGATAGAAACTAACATTTTTAATCCACTAGTACTTATAATGATAACATATAGCAAAACCCCTTAAAAATGGCAAATGTTTACTAGTCCTTATGATTCCTTAACAATTGGGCAATTTGGCAAGGACTGTAGGACTATTGCCAATTTCTACCGCTGCATCTTTTCTGTTTGTTCTGACTTTATAAAGCATCTTGGACAAATTTCTGATCTAATTCTAAACATGGGTCCTGGCAGCCATTTTGAAAGCATCCTTTGACTCCATTACTGAACCTTTTGGTCATGGATCAATGTGAAATCTGATTATTTAATTATATGATAAAAATAGAATCCTGGACCACTATATAACTATCTGGCATCTGTTCATGTACTGTTCATATTTTGGATGTCTCTTTTGAAACTACAGAGGCTATGAAGCTGAAACCTTCTATGAGTGAATCCAGCAGTAGTGTCATTAAAACCCGTTACTCATTGGCATCATAGTGGCCATATTGAAAAATGTTATTACTGCTCTTCACATGACTATTTATGACGATATGGATGAGTGATTGCACTGATTTGGTACATAATAAACAGGCATAAATGTATCAAATTGATTTGTACCCTGACTTTGAGGGTGACTGATTAATCTGTCTACTGAAAGCTGTGCATTTGTCATGTATATTTTGAGTGATTGACAAAATGTTATGTTCGACTGTTAAAATCTTTATAAGAAATAACAATTTGATTAACAAAGTTGCAAATATTTAAAAAAAGGAAGATAAGATACTGAGCTGCTATCTTTAAGAATGTAACTTTATTCTTGAAATGTTCAGGCAATTTGAGAATTTAATACTTTGAAATACATATTTCTAGCATGCATGGAGATCTAACAATACTTGACGAGGTAGGGCATACTGCAGCAATTATGGCACACTTTACAGCACATCAGTAGAACTACATAATGAGTGAGTGAGTATTTAGCAATATTCCAGCAATATCACGGCAGAGGACACCAGAAATGGGCTTCACTCATTGTACCCATGTCGGGAATCGAACCCGGGTCTTCGGCGTGGCGAGCGAACGCCCTAACCACGAGGCTACCCGACCGCCCCAGAACTACATAATGAATCTGATGATTACAACAAGAGTCTTTCTAGTACATAATGCTTTTAAATATTTCATCTTTGCAAAACAGAACCATTAAATCTAGGTATGATATCAACAACATATCATCACACCCCTATTGGTCACAGGTGCCAACACTAAGAGGTTTTATTACTTCACTCCAGTTGGTGATGGTGAAATGGGGTTTAACATCGCGTCCAAGATTATTGCACTTATATAGCGACGTGCATGTACGTGTGTGTGTTTGTGTGGCTGCTTGTACTAGTCCGGACTGATGCCGATTTATAGTGCTAGCTCACTGAGATACCATGCCGCAGTTTAACATGAATATCCCACTCAGACACAGTATACTGACTCCGAGCCGACCAGTCCTTGTTTTAGCCCCTTAATGCCGAGGGCCAGACAGGGTAACAACAAGTACCATCTTTTAACGTCTTTTGGTATGACATGGCCGGGGGTCAAACCCCTGGACCTTCCGCTCTCCGGGCGGACACTCTACCACAAGACCACGGAGGCGGTCCACTCAAGTTGGAGTGGTATTTGCAGTCAAGTAGGTCATTGTGACTAAAGGATGTGTTTCTAGTCTCATAAACTGATGTAGTTAACAGGAATAAAATGGCAGTACAAGGACAGATTCATGTTGGGGCCACTCTAGCAGTAGAGAAAGATATTTACAACAGCTTCATTTAAAGTTTTTGTGTCTTATCGGTCTCTGAAGGAACTGTTATTCTGGCACAAGTTGATTTAGAGATTGTATTATATTATGGTGACAACTTATTAAGTGTCATATTATGGAGACAACTTAGTTAGAAGTAATTTTTAGTAAATCAATGTGTCATTTGCCTAGGAATCCTGACAGATGTAATTCAGTAGTGCTTTTACAACTCGTGGTAGTGATACAACTAGCTATGCTTTTGTTTCAGTACATTATTTCTGTGATATTTAATACATTGTCCACTTTGGAAATGAAATGAACAGATACTGTGGCAAATATATGAGCAATGGGTCAGTAAATCAATACAACACAGGGCGGTTTCTGACTAGAAACTATTGATTGCCATTTTAGATTCCAGAGCAACATGATAAATATATTCAATGTCTGTCATGTTCATGACCCTTAGTTTTTGAATTTGTATATGTAGTGTTAACACCAATTTGCTTGACATTATCATACATTTGCAAGTTCTTATTTAGACTAGATTTGGAGGTACTGTGGAAATACCCTCAATCCATGTTCAATGTTTATCATCAAATTTTTGAAGGAAATGTGAAAAAGTGTGTATTGTATTAACAAAAAAGGTAATTGATACTGTTTTCAGTTGTGAATCATGGGAATATTATTTCTATAGAACAATGATTTTATTATTAATATGTTTTTGCGTGTGTCACAAATGCAGCTATGAACCTGAACCAGTATTTAGAATAGAATCCAATGCTGGCCAGGGTTTCAGTCATGCCTAGAGCTCACTGTTGTGATGTGATCGTATGAATGTTAACTCTATACAATAAAATGGTTGCTCTGGATGCAAGATCCTCTGGGAATAGGAGATGGCAAATGTGAAAAATGTTTATTGATTAGCCAATGTGGATGATGTCTGTAATATTGTAATGATATACTGAGATCATCATCAGTTGGCATGGAGTGTTTGGAGCCAGTTTGTTAATCTACTGTGAGTCGGCATTAGAATTTAGAACCAACTATTGTCCGAATATTGTAGCAGACATGTGAGGGAAAATATTGATTTAATGGATCTGGTATATTTGATATGTTGAAACTGGTGAATAGAATTACATCTAAACATATGTTACATATTAGTTTTGTAGGTAGGGAAGATATACCAATGAACATACATTGCTCAAGGGTTTGAACCATGCACACATTTAAATTTGCTCAAACTGGGCTAATAATGTCACATGTTTGTCAAATTTGAATCTAAATATCTGGTATTCTAGTTATATCACGGCATGTCAGCTTAATGTGGGAGGAATGTCTGATGTGATGTAGATCTCAGAAGATGGGCATAGTGCTTACAATCCTAGATACATATTCGGGGCTCACCAGGATTCGAACCCACAATCACAGGTTTCTGGTTTGAGGTTTGCCAAAGGGATGCAACTCTGTACATCGAATTGTTGTGCCTTAGACGATTGGGCAACCTGAGCCCCCTTTTGACAGAGAGTCTGGCTTTTGTGATCTCAGTGTATTTAACATATGATTTGTTTTGTTGGCAATCATATCAATGACACAAGTTAGATCACGGAAATGACTCATCCAGGTGATCAAAAACTATTTGTAAGACGAAAAGATGCCAGTTTTCACTCTTCGTAAAAAAATGCTGCAATGGCCGGTTAGATTAACTTTTATTCAGAGCAACATGACATCTTAACCTTTTTTCTGCAATGTAATCTCATCTATTTGTCCACAGACAAATGCAGGATGACTTTGAGAACTATCAGCAATCGGTGAAAAAACTAACAGAGGAAACAAGGAAGATCCCACTCCAGGATGAAGGTGCTGTCTGCCAGATCTGCCATAAGACCAAGTTTGCAGATGGTGTTGGGCACAGCTGCCACTACTGCCATCTCAAGTCATGTGCCCGATGTGGGGGTAGGATGGCGCTACGCTCAAACAAGGTGAGCATCTACCTTCATTATCTGTGCAGTTCTCTGGAATACTTTCGTCCAATGAATGGTCACATATTTGTTTGTTTTTCTTTCTATTACTTCTGAAATGATGTGCTGCATTTTGCATATTGTAGATCAAGGTGAGCCCCCTAATGCAAGTATGTGCAGGTTTTTCTGTATTTCTTTCATAATTGATTTTTCTCTCATTCAGAGGTGCCATATACAATTTATTTTCTTTACTTCAGATTTTGAAATTTTGTGCTGCATTTGCGTAATGTGATGATTTCTTTGGAAAGAGATCTTCAAATTGTTCAAGGATCCAATGTCAGAACTCTAGAAATTTGATTAAATATAACTAATATTTTTCCATCACATCCTCTTTCAAAAGGTAGTTTAAGATAGATGTGTCAGATTCAGGAACAGATTTGCATAATCTTTTTTGCAGAATTTTTTTAACTTTATGCATTGTACTGCCAATAACGTTCTGATCTGAGTGACATTGCTGTCAGAACTTTCATATTATTTAATTAGAATCACTATAGATAGAGATTTGCCGATGTTGCAAAAGAGAGCTCAACAACTGGCACCCTGTTATCTGACACGTCCATGTCTCCCCACGAAGAGCGTTGAGTGCTGCTGAATATACATAATGCCCTTCTAGCTGAGTACCACCATCTTAGTCCAGTGTTCTCACAGATGTCATCTACATCCTCTGAATGTCTCTAACACAGGACCTTTTAAAATGTGGATCCAGAAGAGCTTGATGTTGAAAAGTCTTGCGATGATGGAGGTAGTTTCAGTTGGAATGCTGATACAGATGCACTGGCATTGAATCTTCACTTGAAGCTAGTGTACTGTTTGTTGACGAGTACCAAGGTTTCGGTGACAGCATGTCCACATTGTGCTAGCACAGGCGCAAGAGCTTGTCTTGGCAAGGTCCAGTGCAGCCGAGTCAGGAGTGGGAGGGAGGGATTGAGGGAGAAAGGGCAATGGCAGATTCCTGGTGCACGCTTACTAAGAAAGCTGGACGATCAATAAATCCATATGACCGTAGGATTGTAGACTGGTTCCAGATAACTCAGTCCCTTCTCCATGCAAGCATCGCTTTCACACTGGGAAATGCTGCTGCAGCTATGTTAGCATCATTTGGTCAGACTTTGCAGGTTTTTCCTTACAATTGTAAGGCCCTTCTGCTGGAGACTACCGGTATATGCATTTCAAAATGTCAGCATCTCATGGGAATATTGAGTGACAGTGCAATATGCCAGTCTTTTCTTTTTATGTTGGTATTCCACACTATTGTATTGTAAAATAAGGACTGTAAGCCTTTTTGTATTCCTCAAACTGTCCGTTTTGGGTCACAATATACCCAAATAAAAGTACTCTAGGCTTTTTTCTGAGAAAAGTGTTTTATGTGAATCATGAATAGGCCAATCAATTGAAAAACATTTCAATTATGGATATATACTTTTAGAAACAAAATGTGAATAGATATAAAAAGACTATTCAAATTATTCTGTGAGGTAATTGATTTCAAAGTGTGATCAGTAAAACTGCTCCCAATCACCCAGCCAGGCTGAAGCACTCGGGGGAGATAACATTCAAAGAAGTATGTTTCATTATTCAGCTGTGCCAACAAAGTGTGACTGTTTAGTACCCACCAAGCAATACATCTCATTGCTTGACCTAACTGTGTCACCCAACCAGGGTGTGATGTATAGGAGCTATTGATTTCTTGAAAGACACTCTGATGCTTTCATTGTTTATATACTACGGCGCCATCAAAAACATGTATCTGTCACTGCACACTCTAGATAAATATCTTGCAATTAATGATGGACTATTAAATTGGATATAAATCATGAATTTCGTTTCATTTGGTAATTGTTGATGCTATATTTGTTTTAACACAGTTGCTGGATCTTGGATAATTAAGTTTGGTGACAAATAGAGACTGGTCATTTGTAAGTGACATCTGTCATGATATTCTTCAGATCATGTCATATAGCCAGTTTAGTTTTGGACTAAATAAATTGCAAGCAGTTCTGTGGCATTTGATTGGCTAACCAAGCAATGTTTCTATAAACTAAATAATGCCATGCCCACTAACAACTACTGTTTCCTGATTGGCTAACCAAGCAATGTTTCTATAAACTAAATAATGCCATGCCCACTAACAACATCTGTTTCCTGATTGGCTGATGATAGATTCGGCAGGATTTCTGTTGCATTATTGCAACGATGTTATTGAAAAGATGTCACTGATTTTGTACTGTTGTCTACAGATGTTTCTGTTTATATTATTAAATAAGCAGCATGTGAAGTTATTATTGTTGACATATTTATTTATACGAATTGACTTAAGGGGTATTTGCGTTTAATAGTTTAGATGTAATAACTGGTGTGCACACTTTGTGTAAATCTGCTACGTTGATGTACATAGATTGCACACCATTTTTTATAAAAAAAATTATCTCCATAAACGCAATTTTTTTTATTGCACTCAATTCAAATATAGATCAGTTAAGTTTGTTATTGGTTTATTTTCCAATAGGTTTTTGTCCTATTATCATACTTATACTCATGATTATTATACTAATGTGTCACCAAGTTTTGTCGAGATTAAAAACAAACGGAGAGAAGCAAACAACAGGATTCCTCATTAATATTTGTTTGACAAAAGTCACCACCCAGCTTCTTGTTGTTATTGTTAAGGTAACAGATGGCTTAGCTGTAAACTGAGTCATAGCAGGACTATATAATACTGACTGTGGAATGTTCTAACCTGACGGCATTGATAGATTGTGTATCTCTAGTGTATCTCCAGTATCCACCCAACTTTTACAGCCAAGTTTAGTACACCACCACCTAGAAATGTAAATGCTGGTAGCTATTCCAGTGAAACTTGTTACTCTTTGCCATTGACAAAGAGACAGAAAAGCAATTGAAGCAATGTCTGCAATTCTGTGCAGTTCGAGATGTGATGCAGCAGAATTTATGTTGACCTTATGTAGATACTATTTGGGGTAAATAGCTGGCTCACTTGCTCTGTCTGTCTCCTGTGAGGTGAGGTGAGGTGAAATTGGGTTTAACGCCGCGTCCAAGATTATTGCACTTATATAGCGACGTGCATGCACGTGTGTGTGTGTGTGTGGCTGCTTGTACTAGTCCGGACTGATGCCGATTTATAGTGCTAGCTCACTGAGATACCATGCCGCAGTTTAACATGAATACCCCACTCAGACACAGTATACTGACTCCGAGCCGACCAGTCCTTGTTTTAGCCCCTTAATGCCGAGCGCCAGACAGGGTAACAACAAGTACCATCTTTTAACGTCTTTTTGTATGACGCGGCCCGGGATCGAACCCTGGACCTTCCATTCTCCGGGCGGACGCTCTACCACAAGACCACGGAGGCGGTCTGTCTCCTGTGACACTGGTATGACTGGTGTTGATGACAGAGCCGGGGATATAATACCTCGCTCTGTTAGTGTACAGAGTTAGCTTTGTTGATTAGTATTGATCATTGAGACTGTTAATTAGTATTGATTGTTGCGACTTCATAAGTATTTATGGATCACTCTTTGGTATAGCATGCTGTTCTGTCTTATCCTTTATGGCTCACAGTTACCGGTAGTCACATTGCAAGGCAATAATCAGTCATCTCAGTTCCACTTGGCAACCCACAATCTTCATAGTCATCCATGTCATTCTGGATGAAGGGTTTGAAGATTTTAGGGGCTTTTCTTTGCCACAAACAATAGTATTGGAACAACAGTAAAAGGAGCTTCACTTTGACTGCTAATAATTAGTCACTTGGATGCTGAGCATCCAGGGGTTAACAGTTAAGTAAGACATCCGCAAATTATTGATCATTATACATTAAAGTCACATCTGTGAAGAAAACAGTTTACAGGTGTGAAATGTTCTTTATGTCCTTTGTCCCTTTGCCTGAATTTGACTTTTGCCACTAGATAGCCCCAACATGATGAACATGGTTATTTTCGACAGAGAGGGCATTGTGAAATACACAGTGCTGTTTCACAAACACACTAAAGCAAACTACTAACAAGGATGACATAATTTGGTGATGCTTGTATCTGCTAAGCATATTTTTACTGGAACATCTATTTTGATTAGTCCAACCAGATGTTGCCAGTGGTATTGATGCAGCTGAAAGTGTTCATAAAACACATTCTTAATAGGATGAGTTGCATTGTCCTGTTGTCGAGCCTGAGTGGCTACTTATGATGGCAGCTGTCATTGTTATCTGTAACCACTGACGAGGGGTGCAGCAGGGCTAGAAGTGAAGACACACACACACCCCACTAACACACACACACACACACACCACACACACACACGCACGCACGCACGCGCGCGCCACATACACACATCACCACACAAACACACACATACATACACACATCACCACACACACACCACACCACACTAACACACACACACAAACACACATCACCACACACACACACACACACACACACTCACACTCACACACATACACACACACACACACACACACACACACACACACACACACACACACACACACAGGTGGCTTTCAGTCTTGGCAAAATTGTCCAAGAACCTAGGATGTTCCTCATTTACCAGCTTAACATGTACCTATATCTGTCACCTACCTTTTCAGATTACTTGCTGACCAGTTCCTGTGTTTGATGATTAATGCCTATATTTGAATATATAGCTAAAATGTATCATTTTCTTGATAGAAATAATGATTATACATATTTTTCAATATCAATGGGCATGGTATTTTCAGCCTGGCGTATTTGCCGCAGGTGCCAGTGCAACGGCAGAACCCAAGGTAAAAGGTCAAGGTCCTTTATGTTGTATAATGCACCTGCGTCATAGGCTGAATGTTAGATTATAATGAAGCTATGGTTTGGTTAGTGTTCAATACTGTGGACATATGATGACCTAAACAGGACATCAGAAATCAGAATATGTCCGCCTCCTAGGGTAATGTGGGATTCATGTGTTGGGGTGTTTGTAAGGATAATAGGAATCTGTAATGATACCAAAATGGTCATAAGATACAATTCAGTTAAAATCTCACTGTTGAGTAATGCATTTTCGGTTTGATGTTGAGAAACATTTTACAGAATTTGTAACTAAGAGAAATATTTCTCGTCACTAATCAACAGAATTAACATCAGATTTCTCCTCACTTATCAACAGAATGAAAATCAGAGACTAGAATGTATATATTTGTTATACCAAACAGAGGTACAATTTTAAACCAGTGCGAGGAACAGAAGGCTGACCATTCCATTCCATTATATATGGTAGAGTAGAATCGTTCATGTGTTGGTTTATTTACAGATATGCCATACCTCTCCCATATAGTTTTCTGCAATGCATGTCCAGGCACTGGCATGAATAGGGGATCACCATTTACATCCCAGATAGTCCCTCCCCATTGTGCCTCGCCGTGTGTTACCCAAGTCTAAGCATTCATTTTCCATGTACCGTATTTAACATTATGATTTGTATCATTGTTGTTAGGGACCGACCATTTGATAAATAAAGTACATCTGCAAAACGAGATATTGTTTTAATTAACATATTAAAACTATGATCCTAATAATAAAAAATTGAAACCAAAATTGCATCAAGGTATATTTTGTGTCTGATGATTTCTTTTGTTTTCGACAGTCAGAAGCACAATTGTTGTTTTCAAGCATTTTGTGGGAAAATTTATGTTTTTCGATAATATCCCAGACGCTGCTACCCATCCCAAACCCAACATCCCCACCTCCAACCCCACCCTTAACCCTAAGAATATCAAATGGTTGCTCCCTTTGAACACTTGTTATCTTCAAACTGTCTTTAATCACTGACTAAATTCCATTTATGCCATGCATGATTTAACTAAATCACCATGGTCATGTATTTTGGGCGTTTATGCTTTGCTGTTTGCTAAATAATACTTAGCATGTCTATGGACCAGTCCTTTCATTTTTCACGTCTAGACTTTGTTGAACATGGTGATTTGAAACAGTTTGACTATGATATTTCAGTTATGCACAATATTTTACAGTATTTTGTTCCATTGTTAGATGTGTTGTGTTTTGTAATGAAAGAAAAATATTCCTTTGTTGTTGAATAAATATTAGATGATACCCTATGTGTTTGTTTATTTCCAGCCATGATTGTCCATTGAATTTGGATTATGAATGAAACTGATTGTTTTAGTATTTATCTGTTTCAGCTAGAAGTAGTTTAGTTAATTGTGTTTTTAGATATATATTTATTTCTATTTTAGTATATTGTTGAAAGTTTTCTTTGTTTACCACCAGTAGTTACATCTGTTACCTGTCAGCTTGAGACAGGTACTCTAGTGCATGTAGTGCAGACATCACTTTCATAACGCAAGTTCATGTCCTAGAACATACAAGTTGTGGCATTGTGTAGAAGGAGCATATGGATTCACCGAGCTAAGGCCAGAAAACAAGAACTTGATTCTCATGACTATCTAGAAATAAACTTTTCATATTATCTCTGTTCCTGCCTATCACTCCAAACATTCATAAGTTTTCACTTTTTTAACATATCCTAAGAAACCGCGAGCCTTACCATGCTGAAACTTTATGTGGCTCATCCAAGCAATGATGTGACTAAAACTTGTTTTAATCTGATTATATGTCTATTGAGTAAAACAATAGTTTTCATGTATCGGTTCAGAGACCTAAGATGATCGTTAAATCTTAATTTCAAATATGTGTTCTACAATGTTGCAAATATTCCAGAACACTCAGGGGAGCTACAGAGCGGCCTGGTTCTACTTTTAGTGTTGGTGTGTTTCATTGGGTTACATCAAATATTAAAAGATGTGAGTTTTAAAAATGTTAGGAGAACCAAGCAATTTCCTTTATGTGGTCTAATGCAGGAAGACCAACCTGTGAATTGATGTGGATTATAAAGTCATCACCATCGCAACATAAGCCTTTAACCTTCGACAAGAGGTTTGATAATCCGTAAAAAATGTTTTGAAAACTGCAGACACTAAAGCTGCTGGTGGGTTTACAAAATACTGAAACTTTGTGACCATTGTAATTATTTTATTGGGATCCTATGAAACTGTTACTTCCACAAAATAATTGGAACAACTTTTGAAGTCGCTTCTTCTTTCAGAAAATGCATGCAGCAAAACATGAGACTGTATTCCATAATTTGTTTCTGCTCAATGCTTCATATATAACCTGCACTGCAAAAACAAGTATGAAAAATGGAAATCTGCCATCCAATTTATGTAACATGAGTGTTCACATTAGCAACAAAATGTTCATCACAGGAAAATGTGTCTTGCCATTAGAAATTGAGTCTCAATCACCAGAAGTAGGACGGGGGCAGAAAGTGTATTTCTATCAAGTTTATCACCCAGCACTTGTTGAACTATTTCATTCCCCAGGGAGAAGCAGGTGTCTCCTGTATAATTACACAACATGTGGAGACAAAATAAATATGTTCATAGACGAATAAGTAAGACAAGGTTATCATTGAAAATATAAATAAATCTGATAAATCATGTGATGTACTTGTATGAAATTTCCATTTTGATTAACACTTACATGAAATTGTTTATGACTGGTTTATATATCTGCATGGGCGGGCTGACGTCAGCTTGAGGTCATGGTTTGACATTTGTGAAGTCTGTGAGTCAGCTGGAGCAGCCGTGACTGAGTGGAATAATTACAACCACACAAATTAGGAAAATGAGGATTTAATCATACATTAACAATGTAGGGATAATTAGTCTCAGAAAATATGACCTATTTATGGTGTAGGTTATGCATGTTTATTACTTTGCATGGATGGTGTGAATGTTCTAGTTAATCCCTGCTCGCTGCCTAGCGAACTGTTCAAATGGTGATGTTGGATAAAGTCATACTTGTTCCGCAAACTGATGGTTGATGCCTAGATCTATGAACCATTTTATAGTTAGATATTTGTCTTAGGTCTGTGTTTAACTTTCATTTTTTCAATAAAAAAGAACTTAAACCTTGTGGAGATTAAGGGTAAACCTCATTATTTATGTAGATAGATTTATCTTCTCACAGAACCTATATCTTGATCTCTTCTAGCATCTATACAAGGATGAGTTTTTGTATACTTTGTGTAAATATGTTGTCTGTTCTCCCATTTTCCCAATGCTGTATGCAATGGAAGGTATTTGTCTGTCAACGTGCAGTGATGACATTCTGTGTTTACTGGCAATTTGCATCACACAGTGATGTAGAGTGTTTGACTTGCTCAGTTATATAATACTGAAACTTTTACCTCTCTATATTTCTCTGTCAACACAGCGCAGTATTACAGCTTCATAACACAACTCTGTCCATTTCATTGTCTGTAAAACAGGATATCATCAAGGAATAACTTAAATTTATACCTAGAATACATACATGTTAATCTGGATCATTGACAGTTATATTAATACTTTTAATGTGACCAGCACATTTTGTATGATTGAAAAAGTCAGTTTGCAAATCACAATTAACAAGAGAACATTTAAGTAAATCATACAAAGACTAAAAGTAGTAGTAGTTGTAGATGCAGTCGGACAATGTCTGATTCACTTTGTGTTGTGGGTGTTTGGTGTGCGTCTAAGTGTGCTCTCTTTCCTCAGACAATGAAATGGACTGAGCTCAGATTGCAGCCAGATGTGCAGGTAGGTCACCACCTTCATCACAGTCTCCTACACATCCCTGCTTCCAAACATTGTCACAAACTTAAACCGCTTATGTACAAAGCAGTGTCAGTATGATAAATAGAGATTATAAGCCAAGTGTGTTTCCGTATCATATATATTAGGGCTGGGTCGGGTAACTCGGGTACCCGGGTCGGGTGGGTACTGAGTAGGACCCGGGTACCCACAGGACTACCCAGACCTGTGGTTAGTCATGTGATAGATAGTTTAATTATGAACCCATTCCTTCTGACTTTTCATATGGTTGAATAAAGATATAACTTAAGTCAACTTTAATGTATGCATGACCAGAATGTTTAATACATGTATCTAAATACGTTTTGCAAGTGCTGTTGTAAAAAAAAATCCCAATCGGACATTTTGTACCAGTTTCTCTTGAGACCTACAGTGGGTACAGGGGTGGGTACCCGGGTAGTAAATTTGGACTCGTCCCAGCCCTAATATATATCATATATTTGGAATAAAACTTGTATTATATGAGCCTTTTGCAATAATCTCTTTACGGTTTAATGTCATTTGTTAAGATGTTATTTCGCTCACTGAAGTTACTTTAGAACTGAATATGAATAAAATGCTAGAGAGAGACCCAATTATCATATATGGCCAAATTATTTGAATCTCTGCGTGTGTATAAAAACATCCACACATCAAAATACATTTGCCTATCCCATTTTGAGAGTTAGGCAACAGTTTATTGAGCAAGTAGACATTTAATTTATGTATGCAGCATACAGAAGTAGTCCCTCATTTGCATATTTATTGGATCATGTGATACCAAGTTTATTAGAATCGTTTATGGAATCAATAACAATATCTGTTACATGAAAACAATATTTGACCCTCTGGCTGTAATCTTAATTGGTTTGAGTGAAATTAATTACCAATGCAATAGTTTCTATGATACTTCCACTTTAATACGAGAACCTAGATTATTCTATGATATTATTATTATTATGGTATTAAAAGTTGTATTTTCAGAGTAGAGCGGTGTTGGGTTTTTCTTCCATCTTTGACCTTGTTTATTGTGTCACCTAATTTGGTAACTTCAGTTTTTCTAACAGATATAGTCTTTTCATCTTCCATTATTTAAAACAAACTTTTTTTATTGAAACCTAGCACACACGAGACCTTGCTACCTTGTATACAAATGTTTGTACACAACACTAATTTCCAACAAGGTGTGTTTATATTACAGAATATGTATTACCGTATTCGACGTAATAAGCGCCCACGGCGGTATTTGCTAATATATTGGCTGGTGAACAATGCCAATTAGGACCTCTTCCGATTGATCACTGTTCACAAGACTTATTTATTCGCGTACAATACGCACTCATGTGTTATATGCACCCTTAATTATGGGCAGTTAAATTCTAGAAAAATATATCTGTCGTACATAAATATTTCAGGCTGTCAGCATAAACCATGAAATTTATCTTTCAACTCTGTTTTTTTCACCAAAATAATATTCCAATAAGAGCCCCCTATTTCTAATTTTGAGAGCGCCCTGGGCGCTTATTACGTCGAATACGGTATATTAAATATGAAATAAAAGTAAAATTTATATACTGTTTAATAAAAACAAACATCACGATAGTAATAGTGTCTCTAATATAAACATGAAGTGATGTTTCAAGAAAAAGAATGTTATGATAGATTATATCACACAAGAAAATGTTTCCAAGTTTCCAGTACTTGTATATTGCTGCTATATTGAAAGAGACAACAGTAGTTACCCCCCTTTGCCCTGTGCACTTACTTTCCTTGAGATAATGACATATATTGCAATGAGAAGGCAACACATAAGGCAATTCTGTCATGAAAGAATTAAAATGTATTAAGATTAGGTTACCATTCTTTTTGGGCACATTTGTCATTGAATCTCTGTGTACTCAATAACCTGAATGTGGAAGAACAATTTGTGTATGCTAACATATGAAATGTGTCCCATCCTGATAAATACATGGAGCGATCATGACACAGCTGAGCAAATGCCAGTGTCCAAACTAGGAACTCCTGTCTTGTGTATAATATCCATCTTCTCGAGGCAAGAGAGTTAACTGACAAAAATCCAGTTTCCACCCTTGCCGAACTGGGCTGGTATTATGGAGTTACATTTTGGCAGGATTAGGGAGTCTATGCATTGTCCAAACAGATCTTGATAATGGGTCAGATCATCTTGACTGGCTGCTGCCATTTTGTTTGAAGCAAATGCAAGTGATATGAGAGGTGGAATCTAATTGGTCAATAGGAAGGACATAGAAGGGACAGAACTCATAATAGCCACTGGTGTCGTTACGATAGAGCCCAGAAATTCAAGCCTAGTTCCACAAGGATGGAAACTGGACTTTATAGTCAGTTAACGCCCTTGCCTTGGGAAGATGATAATATCGAGTGAATCTGAAAAAAATATGAATTTCCCAGACCACAATGTGAGGCTGCCTTAGGAAAACATAAGTGAGCTGTATTATAATGACTGATAAACAGTTAAATGTGCAATGGTTGAACAATACTTCAAACAGCTATGTTCATGATGTTATGCAATATGATATATCCAAGATCTTAACTTCCTGTGGATATTTACTTTTATTTTTATTAACAAGAACACAAAATAAGTAAAAGGAATTTTGATGACAAGCCTTGATAATGCTTGGTATCCCTTAGTATCCAAGTTGTTTCTGAATTACCTGACTCAAGTATTTACAGTCAACAGACAGTCGACAGTGGAAACTACTGGATTAGTATATAAAGTCACACCATTAACCATTGGTCAGAGCAATGACATTTTGAGTTGGCTATGACAAATTGAAGAAGGCATTAACAGAAAATCTTCCCAAGTTCCCTGACAAGAAGGGAAGTCATGTTCATGACACATGATACTTGAGGTCTGAGGGTCTGGTCTCAGTGGTGACCTTTAAGTGTTAGCAATTGTATGTATCCAACACGGCTCGGCCTTGTGTAATCTGTCATGTTATCACCAGCAGTTAGACTGTTACTTGTATGTAAATGTCAATGCCAAATTATTGTTTCCAGTTGATTATAAGGTCAATCATGAATTCATTCCTGTACTGTCTTGTTGCTCCTCGAAGGATCATTTTACATATTGTTCATCTTCTCCCAGTTAATCTTTTTAGTTTCTTGAAAAACAGATTTATGGGACCCAGAGGTTTGAAGACAATGATAAATGGAGTAAATGACATTGGCAATGAACATTTCACAGATGTATAAATGTTTGTTTTTTGGGCAGGAAATAATACAAACAAACAAAAACAATTAACCTTCAGACACTAATCTCCCCTTCTTTCTTGTCAATCCTTATCATGTTTACAGGAAACATAAATTATCATCTCACTGAAATACATGGCTAAAACTTATATATACTTGGTGGAACAATGAGAGCTAAATTATTTCCATGTATTTTCCCCATTGTTTCAAATTTGTTGCAAGCAGATATGTGATACTAGGAAAAAAGTTTGATTCTCTTTCAAATTTATCAAAATTGCCTACATCTAAAATCATATGGAAAGATGTTTTGTCCATCATAACTTGTTTTTATGGTAATGAAATGAACGTAGCTTGATAATTTATGTATGTAATGTATGTGTGGAAGAGATACCAGTTGGCTGACAACTATGAGTATCAGTAACAGCTTATTGGAGTGCTAATACAAACATGCACATATCCATCTAGTCACAGCTCACTTGCAGCAGCTTTGAAACACTTTTAAGCTGGTAGCGGCCATCCTACATCGTCTTCAGGGAAATCAGGGACTGTGCAGAATTCTTCTAAGTGCTTTTAGTTGTGCTGTTGTTGCAAAATTGTCTTCAGTATCTCAGTTCTGTGAATGTGTACATGGAATGTAACCTGGATCCGATCCGTGGTGGTTCCTCGGTGGTTCCTCCTGGCACCAGTGACGGGACATTCCTGCTGCAGTTGAAGATATTGTCGTCTTCATGGAACACTGATTTATTGTTTTGAGATATTAATAAGTATGTTCAACATGAAAGCATCAACCTGTATCCAGAATATTCATAATGAAATAAGATTAACCAATACCATGAAAAGAATTGCCTACGCAGTTGTCGTATGTTGATTCAAGGAAGTATGTTCATGACCTTTGTTAAGATAACATGAGACTTTTCAATTTTCATTTCAGACTCAATTACAGATTGTGAATCCCACAACGAGAGTGTCAAATGATTTGACATAAGATGCATGATTTAATTTATTAATATTTACCTGTTTTCAGATTATATGGGCATGCAATTTATGTCGGAAGAAACAAGAACTGCTTGCAAAGACAGGTGCTTGGTATCATGGTGGCATGGCAAGACCAGTGTCTTTAGACATGCCTGAACAAAATCCTGCATGTGAAAAATTATTAACAAAATCACTAGACACTACTAGCCCGCCGAATGAAAAGAAACAAAAGATGCTCCAACAAGATGGTAGTCAAGGATCTGAGAAGGAAAATATAGAAAAATCGAATTTTAGTCGAACAGGTAGTTTACAAGGGAGAGAACTCAAGAGACAGTATTCAATGTCAGATGCACTAACAGAGAAGAAATCAGCAGATCTGACGAATAGCCCGGCTGGACCCGGGTCTTCTAGTGATAATAGAATAATCTCAGAACAGGAAAAGTTACGAGAACATGGACAGATAGAAAGAGGTAGGGGAAAAGAACGCAGCCCTGCGAGACACAGATTTCACAGTGAGTCCAGGTTGTCAGAGACTGATAGAAAATTTAGGGATGGCTATGCAGATAATCATCACGTGGAGCGTGATCGTCATGGTGATAGGGGACAGAGGTCTAGGGAAGTGTCTTCTGATAGGGCATTAACTGGGCAACGTGGGAAGGAACATCGAGAACCAACAGAAAGAAGAGGAGAGAGACATAGGTATGTCTTATGCTGATTAATTATCCGTAGATCTGACTTGACACAAATGTTAGTGCAAGCAAGTAATTTAACATGAAAAATAACTGCCTTCGTTATTGAAATTATTGAACGATTGGTTTCACTGACACCAAACGTCAATTATGGCATCTATAGAAATTTATTTTGTGTCAGCTGAGAAAAAATAACTCGGAGTATTGCTATCACTCTTTTGGTCGAAGGTACAGAAGATTTGAGGAAATCTTCCAAGATAAGTGTTCAGAAGTTATGGTAAAGGGATAATTTAACAATGTCTAGGGGATGATTCCTCTCTTGCAGGGATGGAAGAGAACTGGTGTCTCAAACTTCACATGATAGACGACATGGTGAGCGCCAGGATGATCGAGACTTGGACAGACGGAAAGATGGTGGCAAGGACAGACGGAAAGATGGACAAACAGAACGTTATCGACAATCACCTGTGAATGGACGTCGAGAATATCCCGAAAAGGATTACCGCGGTACACATGGTGATTCGCAGGATATACGTGAGGGTCGAGGTGTGGATGCTCGTGATGGACGCATTACTGAAAATGAGGATGTGCGTGTTGAAAGACGTGGAAGCAGTAGACATCATCGGGAGCGTAGCTTGAAGGACCAACGAAGGTCACCCAGTCGAGAACGAGGGGACCGTTATAATAAAGAATTAGAGATTGAAAATTTTAAAGATTCTCAAGTGCCAAGGCATAGAATATTAATTGATCATGCAAGTGATACACAATTAACAGCCTCAGAGGAAGGTCGAGATGGGGACCGATTCTGTGATAAGAAACAACATCTAGATCCTAGCTCTGCTGCTTCAAGGACATCACGGAATAATCGTAAAAAGTTAGAAAGTATGTTACGCAATGATTCTCTGAGTTCAGATCCATCTGACTGTGTTCGCCCACCACCACCAAAACCTCACAAACACAAGCGAGGTAAGAAGCAGCGACAACACTCCCTGAGTAGCTCTGACGATGAGATACGGTCAACCCCAGAGTGTTCCAGCTGCGAAGAGCAAGAGATTGAAAGTGAAAGTGTCAGCGAAAAAGGTAAAAACTTTAAAAACATGCCAAAATTTCTTTTTTATCGATATATTGAATAAAGAATTAAGATTGCTTTTTTTAATATTTAACTAAATCACTTACATTGAAACCCAGGGACAGTGTTATTGAACAATCATATCTCTACTTACACTTTTAGAGACACATCATATCTCATGACATTTTTTGTTTTAACAATCAACATTTTTGGATTTGTCAAGCTCTTGTTACCTCAATAACACTACAGTTTTGACAAAGCCAGTATATTGTTGATAAAATTGTACAGAAACACAAACATCAACACGTTCATTTGGGTTTCTTTGTAAATGTTGAATATGTTGCATATGACATTTAAACTATCTGCGTTGTTTTATAACCAACTTCCAATCCTGATAAGATCATATGATATAAACTTCACCTGACAAATGTCATGTCAATCATTTTTGAACATAATTGTTAAATCATTTGAAATATGTTTCCATTACAGATATGTAAAACTTCACTTGTCATCTAATGATTACAAATCAAAATGAGTAGGATCCTCTGTAACGAATAGGTTTGAAATACATGTCATTGGAAATGTCATAGTTCTTTCAATGAACTAATGCAGGACGATTTCAACAAATTGTTACAGATAATGAGATGTACTAATGCAGGACGATGTCAACAAATTGTTACAGATAATGAGATGTACTAATGCAGGACGATGTCAACAAATTGTTACAGATAATGAGATGAACTAATGCAGGACGATGTCAACAAATTGTTACAGATAATGAGATGAACTAATGCAGGACGATGTCAACAAATTGTTACAGATAATGAGATGAACTAATGCAGGACGATGTCAACAAATTGTTACAGATAATGAGATGTACTAATGCAGGACGATGTCAACAAATTGTTACAGATAATGAGATGTACTAATGCAGGACGATGTCAACAAATTGTTACAGATAATGAGATAAACTAATGCAGGACGATGTCAACCGGTTGTGTTCAACTCTCAGCTAGTGATGCGTGACGTTGATAATTAAATAGATTGTACAATACATTGTATTTCCAGCAACTAGTTTCATTCTTTTATCAATCATAATGACACTGGAACATCAAACCATATCAGTTTCATTAAATCATTAAATGATCAGGCCATGAAAAAGTAGCTAGTCTAATTGAGTTTATGCTTCCTCAAATAAAATGATATTTCCATGTTTTTATGGAACACGTCAATGCTTTACCGCTTTCATAGTGGAATTAAACTATCTATTGTCATTAAAACACATTTCCATATATGTGATGTAACCATCAGATGTGTTAATTGATGTTCAAGATCTACAGCAGATCTGTAATTCTTTAAATGGAGAACAGTTTTCAGTTAAAACTCATATCTTTGATATCTGTGAGGATTTGTATTGTCAATTAAACCAAATAAATATGAGAAGTTTTGTTAGGCTTCGACAAGGCAAAGAATTGTATTCTTGGTTCTCAGGCACTTGTCGGGGCGGTCGGGTAGCCTAGTGGTTAAAGCGTTCGCTCGTCACGCCGAAGACCCGGGTTCGATTCCCGACATGGGTACAATGTGTGAAGCCCATTTCTGGTGTCCCCCGCCGTGATATTGCTGGAATATTGCTAAAAGCGGCGTAAAACCATACTCACTCACTCGTGCACTTGTCTCATTGGGAACAAAGCTTCAATTAAGCTTCGTTTCAGCTTTGTGTAAAAGAATCATATTTAATATCTATAAATACTGTACGGAGACTTCTTACCGGCATCAACATGTTGAGAGTCTATGCCTGAGAACCAATTGTTACAATTTGTTCAGCCTATGAAGGGTTCATGTAGTATATTTCATCAAAACCAAATGCAATTAATGGATCCGAAATATGGCAATACAAACCAGAAGTTATTCATTGTTACTGCAGATGGTACATGGAAATAAGATACTGTTTAAATATTAAACACTGCTTATAATAATTATTAATATTACACAGCACCAAGGTATAAATTCCATGAAAACAATTGCTGTAAAATGCAATATTATGGACATAGTGTAAAGCTTAACTATCACTGTTGCTTGGGTCTATACTGTTTTATATCATATGCAGTCAAATGACATTTATTTCCTGCCAGTATGTGTGTTAATGTAATAGCAATTATGTATATGATAATTGCTGGCTTTTTATTTAATTGTATAATTGGAGACCATTCATTCTTAGTCATATTCAATTATGTACGAAATACCATAAAGTCAGAAGAAATTTGTCAAATGAAAACAAATCAGACCAACACAAAATCAACAAATTTGCTGTCAGCATTAACAGTGTGAATATATACCACTTAGAACAAAATTGAAACTGCAGTAATAACTTACAATTATATAGATTTGCTGAAACTATTTCTATAATTGTTATGATAATGGAGAACATTTATTACCACTTGTGATACATCGGCTTGAATATAGGACAGATGCAGTGTTTGTGTTGTTCTCATATGAAAGAATATCGCTTCATCTGTCAAATTTTGTTATGCAGTCACTAAGTTTGTAATCTTATTTACACACAGATGGAAATGTGGAATGTATACAGAATAAGAATGTCTTCAACATTTGGCTTTATGGTAGAACATTTTGTGAATTTGATTTCATTTTATTTCCATTTTGCTATAAAACAAAACCTCAATTCAAAAATTGACATTTGTGGTCTTGAAGCAGTTCATAAACATATTGAAGGTAATGACTAAGAAGTGAATGGTTTCTATCGCTATATGGTTCAGCCAAGCAAAATGCTTTGACATTTAAATTTAAAGCAGCTGGCATATATAATATCTACATTTGATTAAATAGTTCTACTAAACTTCTGACAGAAATGGATCTGTCAGGATAGATCAATGTTTCATTGCATTAGGCCTACAGAATTCAGTGCACATAAGACATGTGAAAAGCTTCAAAGCATTTTGCCATGAAACTCGAACAGCCAAGGTTGAAACTGGAGTCCTTATTCAAAACTGATTTCCGTATGTTAGATATATAGAAAGAAGAATTATATCTATAATTTTTATTATTTTTCCGTCTATGTGAAAGCATGGTTTCATGATATGTACGTAATTAGGAACCTTATTAAGTATGTACATGATGTAGAATTCTATGCATAATTAGTTCAGTAAACAGAAACGGATATGATGTACACAACACATGGTATTCTTTGGAATCATGTGTTTCCTTTGGTAAAGTCCTATTGATAACATTTTCATTTTGTTGTGATATCACCGAAACGAGGTAGAATTCTCTTTATTAAACCTGATAAAGATCTTAAAATTTAACAAAATATGCCTTTTTTGTCACGTTAAGTTATTTTATTGGCAACAATTCACTTCATCTATCAGAAAAGTGTACATCCTTAAAGCTATCAAAAAGTACATGCCATTGCAAATTCTTTTCCTCACTCGTATATTCTAGATTGGCTGATACATATATCAGGGATTCATGAGAATTCATTAGGGGATCCTTGTTTTCAAAGAATTACGAATTCAATTTTTGTAGTGATTGCTACACTGAACAAAGTAGCGAATATGCTGAAACGTTTAATGATGTTACCTTGGACCAAAGAGAAAAGTGTTCATTGTAAGTCATTCCTACCAGTTTCAATCCTTGAATACATTTTAACTGGCTTTTGTTTTCCTTTCATCTTGCAATGGTGGCTGGTGTAGGTTCCCGACTGCGATCACATAAATGTAAGATTCTAACTGTTGGCTTCCTGCTGAACAATACAATCACCACCCTGAACACAAGATCAACTGGATTGTTTGCAAAACAGGCTTATTCTTGTGATGGTATCACAATATTTCAGAACCTGAAGACATCATTGTTATAAATGGCAACATGGCAAAAGAAATTGCATACCTTGGAGCCATAACACAATGAACTCAAAAGTTCATGATCATGCTAATAATTATTACTGATATTTGTTTCAACAACTTTTAGTGAATCTTTTTTACATAGTTTGTTGGAACTTATAAAAGCTGTACCAACTACTGTTTGAAAAGTTATATGTTTGATAAATTTATTTTGAGAAATAATTACATAAATTAAGAATAACAGGACTGAGCTATTCAATCTATTGGAAGCAGATATTGTATCATTTTTATGCTTTTCCCCATTTCCGTTGTTTCTATTTGTGATTAGAGCTTACGTTTCAGATCTTTCATTGTTCAAGTATGAGGATAGTTTAAATAATTAAATAGTTTTATAAATACTATTTCTTTAATTGTTTTATTCAAGTTTCATGCACATATGGCATAACAAGTGTATGGTAGTTAGTTATTTTCTATGAATCAATCATATTTTCCTTTACATATTTCTGCCAATTTTGCATTCATCTTCAACAATTTGTTTAAGGTGTAGGATATATTTTCTTACTTTATATTTTTTCCTCACCTTTTTTGGATACATGAATACAATTTTTTTCAGTTAATATGAACATATATTCCTAATATTGTGATAGATATCTGAGGATGCCTAAATGAAAATGCATTATGTTCAAGGCTCTTTTCATTTCCGAATTGATTATTACATTTTAGTTAAAATGATTAAGAACTATGGCAAGTGTAATATGATATAATGAACCTAATTTCACAGGCAAACAATATTTAATTCTTTTCTTCATTTCTTACTAATACACATTTTTACACATCAATTTATAAGCTTATTCATAGTTGAATAGTTCATTCCTAGCCATGAATGCCACAGTAATGTCCCGGTCTTTAACATCAATGAGATGTATATTTCCATCATGAAATTGTAAGCCCTAGTTTTTCAGATGTGTCCATTTTGACTTGTGTAGCTGGGTGTAGAGCACATTGGCTACCAGATGAGTTGAAATTGTCTGGGCATCCTATCGGTATGCCCAGCCATGAATACCAAGGGCAATATGACGCTTGTGTCAAACTGTCGCCACTGGGTGCGTTTAAGCATTAAGAGCATGTATAGTAATGACCACAAAACAGACAATACTTACATTTAATCAGATTACATATGCTATCATGCAGTGTACAAATATTTTGTTTATTGCTTCCTGCATGGAAACCGCTCATTTGCCAGGTACGCTCAGGATGCAGATCATTGATCGCGCAATGACAGTTTGATACACAGTGTTATAACTCTTCTGTGAGTGCGGGTCCACTCCGTGAGATATGTGAGATTTGTAAGACTTTAGACTTCACTCTTTTCTGATGATAAATTGCTTAAAGAGTTTCTTCTTTTCAGAGATTGTCACATACAAATCTCACATATGCGTTAACTACAGATTTACCAACAATTTCAGCAATCTGGTAGCTTTACTATTTATCATGATATTGAGAGCTGTATGTCTCATTTTAGTGGTGACATATTTAGTTGTATGATTTCTAGTCTTGTCTTGCTGATATAGATGAATACAGTACTCCTTATCTGGGAAAGACCATCAGAGAAGATGTTCATTCGTAGTCTTGAAGGATTCGGTTCAGTCTGAGACTTAATTCTAAGATATATCTTTTCCATAAAGAGTACTGTATTCTTGTTGTTTATTAGTGTGAAGAGTTTCAAATATGCAAAGCAAAGCTTGATTCACTTAGAATTTCTGCATTTAGTGTAAATGTAAAACTGTTAATACTTAGTTGGATCAAACGTACCTCATAGTTTATGATAATTTTTATCATCATTTTTTTCGCATCAGTAAGAGATGAAATGATAATATCCCTAATGATATGAAATTACCCAATTGTTCTGCTTCCAAATAAACATTTGATGTTATAATATCATATATAAAGTATAAAACCGTTTATTAATTTAGATAGATTAGTCCAGAACAGAAAGCAAGTAAAAGGCTCCAGATCCAATAAGTAGATCTGCCTAATTGAAATACATCACGATAGCCATTGTCATCTTTCCACATCAATTGTTTGACAGTATGTTAGGCTGTGATACACCCACAAATGTAAATGCTCTGTTAGAAAAAACAGCACCTTTATTTTGTCCATCATTTCAGTATTTTGTACACAGATAATTACCTAGGTGTGGCAGATAGAAGCAATGCACAAAGTAGTGGCACACAATAATAGACATACACATCATGCCACACTCTCGTTTCATCATCAATGTTTTGCATAGGAGACTGGATGCATTTATGAGGACCTCTGGTAGAAGTAAATATGTGTTCTTGTCTTTCAAAAATCATCTGTAATATATTTTGTGGAATGTCTGAGAAGAAGAAAAATAATGAAAATACAAGACTTGTAGATATGTGTTCAATAGAAGTACTAATTCATTTTACATCATAAAGTAAAAAAAAAACAGTTGGGGTCATGAATATTTTTTGGGATATATTATGAAACTGCTCAGTCTTCACTACAAATATGGGCGGTCGGGTAGCCTAGTGGTTAAAGCGTTTACTCGTCACGTCGAAGACCCGGGTTCGATTCCCGACATGGGTACAATGTGTGATATTGCTGGAATATTGCTAAAAGCTGCGTAAAACCATACTCACTCACTCACTCACTCACTCACTACAAATATATATCCCTAAAAATATTCATGACCCCGAACTTTTTTTGTTGAGTATATGTGCATAATCTACATTATTTTTCTTCAAGTAAACGCAAATTATCAATGGTAATTTCTGTAAGATAGATTCTTTTATTCAATAATAGTAAATTGGATTGTACAAGATACAATATACCCATTTAAACTTTTGCATCTGCAAAATAATTGCAAGAAACTGCAGATCTCAGTTGCTATTTTACAAATAAAATCAAAAGCTTTTCTTTTGATAGAAGGTTATTTTGGAGCAATATTTCAGTTAGGTTATTTGATTTTACGAAAATGCTAAACACATGTACCAATTTGGGCACAAGGATAGTGTTAATAGATTTGTTGCATGTGGTATATATGACAGAGTGTTGCTCCATCTACCTTCATCTTTGCATGTGTATATTGATCGTTAATTTGCAAATAATACTGTTCTATTTCAGACAATCATGATAATAGCAGATAACTTCCATTTTTATGCTTAGGTTATGTAGGGGAAACATTACATTATGACTTTGCTGGTAAACATGTTAAATACAAATCAATATTTGATTTACTTGATAGCGAATTAGCAGATGAAACATTAATAATGAACAAACTACATGTAATAGTTTGCTTGTTAAGCGCAGAATGAAATTGCTAAGATTATGATCAAATTAGTTGTGTGGTGGATATGTCGAACATTCAATTCATATTAAACAGGGATTAAAATGAAGAGTATTCCTATTGTTGAAGTTACAGTGAAACATTTATCTACAAATTTGATCCTCTTCGTCTTTTCTCACCATAAATTGCATTCCACAGGCCACAGGATAAGAAAAAATGATTTTGGTTTTTGAATCTAGGGGAGTATGAGGTTGGAGAGGAACAGTGGAAACGGGATGAAATCCTGGCTGCCAAAATCAAAAAATTTCTGTCGGTGAGTTATCTATGAAGAATGTTTGTTGTTGACGGAGCCCATCCCTCCGAGTCACGGCTCTCTAACAGCTTTCACCTCCAAAACACAAGCATGTCAAATTGGCAAAGGTACATAGAAACTGCCATATAAGACTGTCAAATGTAGCAACTCTTACATGATCTTAAATAACTACCTCAAAGTCATGTAACAGACCCTGATGGACAGAGGGGAGTGGCATAATTAGATGCTTCCTAAAAAGGGTGGAAGGACTAGCTGTGTTTTGGGGATGAAAGATGTCAGACCTTTCAGCAGCTGTGGTAGATGACCAAGCCGGGCAGGGGTGGATGGTGCCTCACATTTAGTACCAGTAAGCACTCCAGCTTACTTGATGTTTTCTCGTCTTTCTAGGGGATCTAGAAAGCACCAGCGATCGGTCCTCTCTTAGGTCCACCCGGCCTTCAAATAGACATGCTAAAATGTTGCAATTTGAGCAAGGGCGAGGCGGCTCCCTCGATGACGAGAGCGGGTCGTCGGACCGTCAAATAAAAGATTCGGGCATAGACACTGGGTTTTCCAGTAGTAATCAAACTTTGAATGAAGACCTTCTTAACTTGCTTAAGGTACAAGCACTATAGGCAGTTTCTCTATTCTTGGCTTTTATTTGTTCTCTGCTTTGTATTTTTGGCGATGTTTCTTTGAACTTTCCCTTTTTCTTCACTCATTCTTCCAATGCTTGCATTGAAATGATCTTATTTTTTGGAAATGAATTACTATACATTGAAGAGTGTTTTTGTTTTGAATTCTTTCTTACTTGATAATTAAATACATTTATGTTTTAGGTTTAATTTTATGTATGTTTTATCAGATGTTTGAATATTTTCATTTGTATCTTGGATAAAAGAAATGTTTTCTTTCTACAAATAGAGACTTTATTTTTGTCATTGAACACAGAAGCTAATGTTTAGATGTGTATTTCTTCCTATTCTGTTCCCAAAGAATTTGGCAATTAGTTTGTGTTTTTTGTTTATTATTTTGCCCAGTTCTATGAAATTAACTATTCAGTGCATATTTGATAGGTTATATGTCACACTGATGTCCATCATGTCAATTTTAAGTGTATTTTTCTTGTGTTAAATATATCAAAATTCTTTTTCAAATACAGTAGGAGTGACAGTTGCACCTATATATTGATTTGTAAAACCCATTTATATCATTTGTAATTTTTTTGTTACCTTATACACATTAAGTATTGACTAAATTACAAAAACATATAAATAATCGATGTGTACAATGCGTAAAATTACTAAATCATAGTGTTTTTTCATTTTATTTTAATAAATGTCATGTATTCATACCTGCTCTTTCATAACTTTCTGTTTCACAATAATTGCTTTTCAGGAAGATAGTACACATGAAATCAATATTTAACTTTTGTTCTCTTATTAACAAAAAAACCAGTGAATTGAAGGAAAGTAGGGTATTAAGAGGAAACAGTGCTAGTGCACTTCGCACATATTGTGTCCTGAAGGTACCTTTGTTGTGTGAAAAATGGGTTGTCTTTAATTTGTAATAGCAAAATGTTGATCTTTTCCTTTCCATACAAAGGAAAATGTTTTGTTAAATGGATGAACATGGATTAGGAGTTTCTTGTGAAGAAAGTTCTTACTCAATGTCATCACGACGAGAGGTACCGTATTCGACGTAATAAGCGCCCAGGGCGCTCTCAAAATTAGAAATAGGGGCCTCTTATTAGAATATTACTTTGGTGGAAAAAACAGAGTTGAAAGATAAAGTTCGTGGTTTATGCTGACAGTCTGAACTGTTTATATACGACAGATACATTTTTCCAGAATTTAATTGCCCATAATTAAGGGTGCATATAACACAAGGGTGCGTATTGTACACGAATAAATAAGTCTTGTGTACATTGATAAATCGGAAGGGGGCTAATTGGGATTGTTCACTTGCCAATATATTAGCAAATATAGCCGTGGGCGCTTATTAGAGCGGGGCGCTTATTACGTCGAATACGGTATGCATGAAGAGCATGTGATACATATGGGGCATAGGAGGATCATCCATGAAACAGTCTGTGTGTTTACCCCTGGGATGCAGCATTTAGTGCCTTGCCGGACACTTGATATGTGATCATGGAAACAAACCTTGTGTCCGTGTCACATTAAAGTGCAAACATGTAACCTTTCACTTAGTTCTTGGATTCCGTCCAGGGTGCAGTTGTACAAAACAACCTTAGCTCTACGACTGTCGTAAGTCTGTGTTTAGGTATGGGAGTTACGATCACCTTAGTGCTAAGATCGCTTTGTAAAACGGTACCCAGGATGTAAAACAATCAATACACTTTGTTTAATGTCTTTTATTTTAATATTTTGATCAAACAAATTCATTAGTTAGTTTAAGAATTTTTTTGTCTCTGAATAGTTTCTATTGAATATTTCAAAATTGATTTTATTTTATTCGACATGTGGAGAGCATGTAGCTCACACCATCACCAAGAAACAATCAGTAAATGTATTCGTCAACATAGTCATCATATTTCGTCATCTTGAGTTTCTGTTTTGCTGTGCATAGTGAACTTTGGTTATCAAGAATCAAAGAATTTGGCAAAGTGCAATAAAGGGGTGAACAGACATATATTTGTTTCAAACTGAACTTGCTTGGATGACCTGAAACAGGAATGTTAGATCAATTTGTTATGTTTATGGAATGATGCTTTAGAAATGTGAAACATCTATTTATGTCTGCTTTGTCACTCTCCAGTTTTCACCCACTAGCTTCTGACTATGGTGATGGGGTGGTGGGTGTGTTATCATGTTTTCAACTGCATCTGTAATTACACCATGTTGACATTGTTATCAAATTGTTAAGTTTACATGTTTCCATCAATTAGCTGTATTAAGATGCATGAGAACCAAAAAGTACTGCTTTGAACATAAATATGGACATATAAGTTGAAAAATATCTACATACTTTGGCATGTTCATATCATAGAAAATACTTAATTTATCATGTGGAAAATATAATATTTGCTCATTTCTTAAACATATAGTGAACATTTAACACTTTATAACAAGCACAATTTTTTTGGTTGAAATCCCTATACACATATGTGTATTTTTACATTTAAGTGGTTAAAGCATTGAATTGTCAAACTGAAACCCTGGGTTTGATTCCCAACATGCAAGCTGATGTGGCATTAAGCAATATTCACTCACTCACTCACTCCCAACATGCAAACAATGTGTGAAGCCCCGTTTTTAGTTTCCCCTGCAATGTTATGACTGACACAGTGGTAAAAGCAGCGTAAAGTTGCTACTCACCCTCTTTTAACTGAAACTCTGTATTGTACATATATTTCAATGGTATATTTCTTTTAATGTCACAAAACGCCAGAGAAGAGTGCATGTGCTTTCTCTTGTTATTGTTGAAAGTATTGTGAGAATTCATAGACGTCAAACCTTTCTGCTCTGCATTGACAGACTTCCATGCTTGGCTACTGGACAGCCATTTTGAAGTATCTGAAACTACTTCCGTCTCACTAGATGTTACAGTGGTCCCTTTGTGGTTCTCCTGCTGATCATTATACTGTACACATGTGAAGATAAAGATATTTCAAAACATCTTTATTAACCTAAATGTAATGTTTGTCTTTAAAGAAACTTCAAATCCAAATTGAGATTTTTGTAAGAATAATGGCAATATTTTAATGATAGGTCTCATGGTTTTGATGATAATGATGAGACTGTGTTGCTTCTAGCATCCTGTTACCTGGCAACCATCAGCGGATGGCTCCAAGTGGATTGGTCATATGATCCTGAAGAAAACCCCACTTGAGGGAGGAGGACAGAAGAGCGATTCCAGCGCTATACTGGGTAAGCCACACACACACGACAAGCTAGCACAGATCGTGACCACACACATAGCCAGCTGTCACCACTTCTTACAACAGAGGAGCTGCGACAATGGTAATGACACTCCATAATGATAATAGCCAGCAGTTAAGCATACAGGAGCTGGGAAACAGGCGTAGGTGACTTGTGTTGCAGCTAGACTTTATGGAAATATGCATAATGAACATTATTAAATCAACTATGTTGGGTTTTTTCAGGTCTGAAAGTGATTGGTGGCAAGCTGTCAGAAAAAGGAAAATTGGGTGCTTTCATTGCAAAGGTGAAGAAGGGAAGCATTGCTGACACTGTTGGCCATCTTAGACCAGGTATGTGTTGATCATGCACTTGATATCTTACAGAGTAGGCATTCCATGCAAGGCATCTGTATGTCATTGGCTTGATATCTTACAGAGTAGGCATTCCATACAAGGCATCTGTATGTCATTGGCTTGATATCTTACAGAGTAGGCATTCCATGCAAGGCATCTGTATGTCATTGGCTTGATATCTTACAGAGTAGGCATTCCATGCAAGGCATCTGTATGTCATTGGCTTGATATCTTACAGAGTAGGCATTCCATGCAAGGCATCTGTATGTCATTGGCTTGATATCTTACAGAGTAGGCATTCCATGCAAGGCATCTGTATGTCATTGGCTTGATATCTTACAGAGTAGGCATTCCATGCAAGGCATCTGTATGTCATTGGCTTGATATCTTACAGAGATTGGCTTGATATCTTACAGAGTAGGCATTCCATACAAGGCATCTGTATATCATCAGCTTCATGTCTTACAGAGTAGACTTTTTATACAAGGCATCTGTATGCCATTGGCTTGCTATCTTTTTGAGATAAAGTATGTGTGTATAATTAGTGTAATGTCTTTCTTTGAAGGCATTTCAATTTCAGTCGAGGTATATGTATACAACTGTTTACTTTAAACACTTGGCCCTTTTAGGTCAGGATTGTGTATAGTGATGTATTGATATTTGGTTAATCGGCTTATTCTTCTAGTACTATGGGAAAATATAATGTTACATTAAGTATATTAGTAAGATGACTGACTTTCTTAAATCCTAATCCAATAATCATGGGAATAGTATGAGACATTTTTCATATGACTTGAAATGTTATTGTTTCAGAGAAGTAAAATCTGATCGGTTATGTGTATAAGCAATATATACAGACTTAGAATGTCTCAATTATTCTTTATTTATGTGCTTTTATGTTGGTATTCTTGCAATTTAATGTTGTTTTTGTGCAGGTGATGAAGTGGTGGAGTGGAATGGTCGGTCTCTACAAGGTGCCACTTATGAGGAGGTGTATGAGATTATCCTAGAGTCCAAGCAGGAGCCACAAGTGGAGCTGATTGTACATCGTGGTGTAGAGTAAGTGCACCAAGTACCACACTTAAACACAAAGCTTTCAACAGTAATCAGTGACGTGTTCATTATCAAAGGGGGCGGTATCATGGTGGTTAAAGCTTTTGCTCATCACACCGAAGATTCCCCACATGGGTACAATGTGTGAAGCCCATTTCTGGTGTGCCCCGGCGTGATATTCCTGGAATATTGCTAAAACCGATCAATCAATCAAGCAAGCAAGCAAGCAATCAAGCAATCAAGCAATCGTTATCAATCAATCGTTATCAAAGAAATGTGATGTTATATGAGGCTTGACACATGAAGGGGTCTAATCCAGAACTTCAAATGTCAAGGTCAAATGTACTGGTTCCACTCATTACCTTATGTCCATATGCTCCAAACAGAAAACCTTAAGTCCATACAGTTCTACACAGAACACCTAACATCCACAAAACTTCACAGTACACCCTATGTCCATACAGCTCTCACTGAACACCTAACATCCACAGAACTTCACAGTACACCCTATGTCCATACAGTTCTACACAGAACACCTAACATCCACAGAACTTCACAGTACACCCTATGTCCATACAGCTCTCACTGAACACCTAACATCCACAAAACTTCACAGAACACCCTATGTCCATACAGCTCTCACAGAACACCTAACATCCACAAAACTTCACAGTACACCCTATGTCCATACAGCTCTCACTGAACACCTAACATCCACAAAACTTCACAGTACACCCTATGTCCATACAGCTCTCACTGAACACCTAACATCCACAAAACTTAACAGTACACCCTATGTCCATACAGCTCTCACTGAACACCTAACATCCACAAAACTTCACAGAACACCCTATGTCCATACAGCTCTCACAGAACACCTAACATCCACAAAACTTCACAGTACACCCTATGTCCATACAGCTCTCACTGAACACCTAACATCCACAAAACTTCACAGTACACCCTATGTCCATACAGCTCTCACTGAACACCTAACATCCACAAAACTTCACAGTACACCCTATGTCCATACAGCTCTCACTGAACACAAAGACAGTGATAACAAAAAGTTAACTTAATTGCAAATATACATTATGATGTCTGGTAATGCTTAGTGAAACATTTATTAAAAAATTCATTAATAAAATAAAATAGTGCGTAAATGGGTTCTTAACCAAACCTCCAGCCATTAGTTACATCAATTGTTAATGAGGAAAACACAGTTTTGATGTCAGTTGTAGTAGTGGTAATAATAATAGTGAGCACTCGATTTTCATTCTCAGCTCCCTGGGGAGTATACAACCCAAGCTACCTGTGAGGCGCTAGAGGGTTAACAGCCACATTACCATCTCATCATTGTATGTTTTTCTTCTTGTGTTTCAGCACTGGTGAGGTTCCCCCTGGGATACAGTCAGCACACACTGACCATGCCCGAGGTAGGTGTCCTTGTCATGTCATACTCAACTAGCACTGGTCATCATGCAACACCTGTACAAATCATTTCCTCGTTACAGGTTCCATAGTGTTTCCCCAATCTGTAAAATGTTGATGGTTTTTGTTTTATTTTATTCTGGTATGCCAGTAAGATTTTGTTTATTTGTTTGCTGTTTTTCATTTTCTTTCTCTTATTTTTGTGTATTGGAAGTACATTTTCATGTAACATCATTGAAGGCTATTGAATGATATTTGATATTCAGATTAGAAAGGACATGTACTGTAAGTATGTTATCAATTAAATGAAATTTACCTGAGATCTATGTATACTAATGCCATAACAATAGACCCTGCCACAATGATGAAGCTTGAAGGGCAAAGTCATGTATCTACAGCACTGGAACCTGGTATTTCATCAAAATGGTACTGCCAAATTAAGTTCATTTTATCATAATATTACATTTATTGTTTTTTGACAGATCCACCTAATAGATTGTGATTTTACTCTGCAACAATTTTCAAAATTAGATATGAGTACTTTTTAAAAAATCTAAAATATGAACACCGAAGAATAACGATTATCCGACTAAACAGATTCCATTGGTAGTAAAAGACAAAATAGCAGTGAAAATTATATGAATGGGTCACTGAGACTCGATGACACAGGTGTCAACTGATGTTTTGTTTTGATTTTAATAATTATGCCATTTTTATATCTATAGAGAAATTCCAGGCTTCAGTGTATGTCCATTTAACTGCGTGAGAATATTAATACTGTGTCCAATATAACAATTTCTGCCTTACTTACCCTGCAAATTCTATAAGCAGACATGCCTTGGTTAGAAATTCATGAGTAAGAAGAACATTTGGCTTATGTGGGAATGAAAATACACCCTCAACCATCAGCATGTGGAAATCTTCTTAAAAATATATTCTATACCAAGTCATAATATCATATATATAGTATATTATGTCTTTTTTTCATATATTTGCAAGATATGGTACTTGTTCATTTTAATGGTACTTTCACGCACATGTTAAACTTGCTGCTAACTTCATGTAAGAAATGTAACTAAATGCATGTTAAACCTGGGATGGCATGCAGTTGTGCTTTTTCAAAGAACATATATTGCAAGTCATATATATATAATTGTTCTGCCAAATAAATAAATAAATGCTTTTTCTTCTACTAACTCCAGTATTCTGACATAATTCCACTTCTTGGTATTCTTTGATTGAACACTGATGGAAGTAACCATTTGCGAATCAATATGTACATGATTTTATGAAAATTGAAGGTTTTGTTTGTAAACAAATTATTTTGCTAGCTGATGTTTCAACCAGCTGGCACATGCTGTTGTCTTTCACAATATTTACACAGACTAATTCAGATGGAAGTGATTTGTGGATGTTATCGGTAGTTCATTGTCCATGATAAACCATGATACATAGGACTTTTAGACAAACATTCTTCTATCAAGTTACTGATTACATGATAAGGGAGGTTATTAAAATGAGATCAGATATAGAGTTACTATTTTATCTATTTAATCTGAACGCCTTGTTTGTTTTCCTTGCACAGTCATGCAGGCAGGGAACAGAATGTGCACTAATATTATGTTTATATTTTGTAACAAAATATTAAATGTTGCATGGAGGTCTGTGTCAAACTAATTTTCCGTGAAAAATAATTTCAACTTTGCTTTTTTCCAGATTATGGACTAAAGGATGCCATACCGACAACTGACCGAAGAGGACGCATCAGTGTTACTGTGACATCTCCAGGATCGCCAGGCTTGAGGTCAAGGCCACACACACCGCAGATTACTGGAAAACTTCAGGTATTTCCTTATGGATAGTTTATTAATTAATTCTCTTTGCAGTTATTGTATGAACATATCATTATATATGTTTGTTGATTTGATTTGCCTTAATAAAAATTGTGCCATAAAATTATTATAGCAGGTTTTCCCATAAAATGTTAACAATTAACATACTTGACATTCACATATATATTTCTTTTATTAAATCAGTTTATGAAGTAGCAGGGTCAATAAAACAGAATTGTATCATGTGTGATTTTTTCCAGATAAAGTTATGGTATGACGTTCAAAGCTACCAGCTGATTGTCACTGTCATCAACGCAATTGAGCTCCCATTGACTGATGGTGGCAAATTCCGCAACCCCTACTGCAAGCTGTATTTGCTCCCTGACCGGAGGTAATTTCTGTTTTCAAGATCATACCAGCACTTGTAATAACTACAACACTACCACATCCCCTCCTTCCAACAAGCAACAGCTTCAAGTTGTCCCTTTTCCGAGCACCATCCTCCATCTTTAGCAGGGATTATGGGAACTTACAGTCTGACAGGAAGATTCCTCAGCAGGAAACTATTTAAATTATGATTCTATGGCATTGCACTATATTTGGTAAACTCAGAGACTCCAGCTAAATGCTTGATTAAATGTTTGAGCAAATAGATTGCCATGTACTGCAAATTTCATAGGAGTTGTGATTGTTGTAGATAGAAGTTTATAGGGTTCAAATGATGTGTCTAGATTTTAAGAGTGTGTTCACAAAACATATCACAATATATTAGTTTGTTTTAGAATTGAAGAATACCCTTTGATGTTGACGTATCAAAGGAATAGAAATTGAGGTTATCACATAATAATATCACAATTAAATATTGACTTGATATCAACCAGAAGTGTCGATCAATCCCATTTTGTGGATGTTAATATGAATTGATGAAAAATATGTTTTGAAACAGGGTTGAGTATATCACAATAATAGACATAGTTTAACCTTAAATATTTGTGACATTCAAAAAATTTGCAAATGGTGCAATGTCAAGAATGAGACTCAGGTATAGCCATATTAAATATCCTTGTCATGGTTGTAGCAAGAATGGATCTTGCTTCATCAGCACTAGAGTATGTGAGGAGGAACTTGCAGGCTGTATAGTGCCCCAGTACTCTGTATCACCCATCATTGTGCTCATATCACCTCCCTCATCACACCCAAATCATTGTTGCACATTTCACAAATACCGTATTCGACGTAATAAGCGCCCACTAGTGAACAATTCCCATTGCACCCCTTCTGATTGATCAATGTACACAAGATTTATTTATTATATGTATAAAACACACTCGTATGTTATATGCACCCTTAACTATTGGCAATTAATTTCTGGAAAATTATATCTATCGTATATAAACATTTCAGGCTGTCAGCATCAACCACGAAATTTACAATCTTTCAACTCTGGGTTTTTTCCCACCAAAATAATGTTCTAATAAGAGCCCCCTATTTTTAATTTTGAGAGCGCCCTGGGCGCTTATTACGTCGAATACAGTACTGGGATTGTGCCAAAACTAGAACACATTATCTTGAGTACCAGCACTACCTGTTAGTGAAACTGAAATGTGTCCTGTTAGTTTTAGCACAGTCCCTGATAACTATATTTTTAACTGAAAGCTATTTGATCATTTCATGTCTTTAGCTTCGAAAAGTATCTATGATAGATACTAGGTTGCCCAATGTGTCTCTTAAGAAATTATGTCCTACTTGGCATCCAAATCTCGTTGTGTGTTAACAGATACAACACAACCAGTCAAATGGAATGTCATGTTACATTTGTTTTGGAAATATTAACAAATTGAAGTGAACAAATTTTATTTTACTCTCTATATGAATCATTGTCAAGATTTTATTTCATACTGCAACTTAATATGCATCATATGTCAATAAGATTTTCGAAATATTAAATTGAACTACATTGCACAAAAAAGCCTCATTTGGAATTTGAGTAAATGTTATGTTCAACATGTTTAACAGTTTTACTGTCCAATGTATGAAATAAAATCTTGAATGTTGATTTTATATAAATCTTTTGGGCACTGATACGTTTTACAAGTTTACTTTTACTGTGCTGATATGTTACAATTTCTTGCTTCATGTAACTAAGGTGAATGTTTCATCCAAGACCCAGAACAATCATGGCTCAGTTCATGTTACTGTGTATGCGATGAGAGGATAGGCACTTGGGGTGACTAATAATACATCCTTTTTACTATTTCTTCAGAAAGGTTTCAATGATAGTTTTGAAATAGAGTCTTTTATGAATATTAGAAATGCATATGGGTGAAAAGTTCGGGTCTGGTTTGTCTAAATTGTTTGATTACTTAGAAGTTAATGGATGACGAGGTAGACACAATTTTATGGATAACAACTTCTTTAATACTGTGAAAAGCCACATTTCGGTATAGATCCTTATACCGTTGTTAAGCAAGACTGAATGAGGGTACTTACTTACTTACAGAACAGAATATATATAGTAGGTGGAGGATTAACAGTAGAGGATTAACAGTAACAACAATTGCATACATGAGTGGGATAACATTGGTAGGTGTGACAACAAAGGGATGATGCTGTCACAACACGATGGACAGAGAACACATAGGTGGAAGCCAATAGGGACATGAAGCCAATAAATAGGATAAGTCTGATTTGTCTGCCTCCCAGATCCTAGACATTAAATTAAGAAAGGAATCCAACTCAAGTCTAGATTGATTTGGCAAGTCTAGAAATTAAGCATTGTTTTGGGCTCCATTTGGATTTTGTTTTATAGTTGTAGATATATATTTTTAAATAAGATAACTTTATTTCTGATACTAAATCTCGAAAGTAAGTAAGTAAGTTAGATACTAAATGTTAGTCAAGGGCCTGGTGAGCCAAGGAGGTTCTTATTTAAGGGTGTCCGTTACAGAGTTCAGGATTGGGGGGCTGCATATGATATAGTGACTAGAACCAAGCTGTTTTGTTCAGGTCTGATAAAAGCATTTATTCACAATTTGTTAAACATCAGAATGGTAAAGTATTGATTAGTTCAAGTTTTATCCAAATCTGTTTCACTGGGACCAGTAAGCATCATATTATGTTACCTCTGGTGGAAGTTTAGATTGTTAAATAAATAGAATTCAACACACATTGCTGCCAAATGATGCTGGTCCCAAGAAGCTTAAGGATAAGACTTGCAACTCTGTTTCAATCTCTCACAGCCAGAGACAAAGATAATCACAAAGAGCTTCACAGTTAGTGAAGAAATCTTGATTCTGTCATTACCTGAATGAAAGCATAATTCTGCCTTTAAACTGAAAAACTGAAAAAAAGAAGTTACATTTGAGTAACACAAATTTTCACATTTGGCCATCATTGTCTGAGAAATAGTTGTTTTTCTTCTACATTTTATCTGTTTTTTTCTGCATTGATGATAACTATGAATGTATCAAAACAGTATTCGTAATGAAATTGATCTTGATCTTTCTACCTGGCTTGTGTGGGATTTGTTTTAATAATGTTTCCTGTGTTTTAATGCTTGTTTGACCAAAAGTGCCGTGTTATGTTGTTGTTGTTATGATCATGGTGGTGATGGTGGTGGTGGTGATGGTGGCTGTCCCAATTGTACCACGTATGTCTAGCTTGTCGTAACTGGCTACTTCCTGTAATCTACACCATAGTAGTTCATACCCACAGATTTCTATTTTTGTTCAGATTTTTGTTGTAGTGATTTTTTTTTCAGATATTTATATTGTTTCAGTGATTTTGTCGTTTACTTTTTTCCTCAAATTTCTAAAATGTTAAAAAAAAATACATTCTTCATCTTCTTTATATTTGATGTTTGTTTATGTAGAAAATAACTTATGTTACACTAATTTTAGATATTTTTATCCTACTGCTGTTTACTAAATCTACTTTGACTATTATTTCATAAAGAATGAATATTCATCAGATGATATGTTTTTTTCAAAATTAGAAATCTTAAAGTTTTGTTACTTTCATTATAGTGTATACTTTATTTCTAAAGGTTAAAACCTCAGAGACTTCATCTGTTTTTAGAAGTGTTACGTAGATGCTATCTGGCTGTAGCCACTACATAGATATAAGTGACATGTGGTGACGGCTACATCTCAAATGTCCAAGGCTCCACCTGGCAATGGCTGCTTGATCATAACAGAGACTAACATAACCGGTCGTTTCTAATTAGGCTGAACCGTACTTATTCTAGTGAGAAGAGCAAACGTCGCACCAAAACAATAGCCAACACGATTGAACCAACTTGGAACCAGACCTTTATATACTGCCCAGTGAAGGAATCCGATATGAGAGATCGCCTCCTTGAGATTACCGTATGGGATTATGACCGAATTGGAGCCAGCGACTTTCTAGGGGAGGTAACTGCGTCTTAACCAAATCTCCTGGTGGTGAAGATAACATTGTGCATGTTTTCTTTCAGGTGTTTCAAATTGGTAATGTCTTGGTGAGATTTATGCTTGATTTCTAACTATAATTACTATATGACAGCCATATATCAATTCCATGCATACCGTATTTCCTCTATTAGACGCCCGGGCTTCAATTATTTCGGACAAGCCTTTGACCCGGCGTCAGTTAGAGGCCTGAATCATCACGAAATGGAAATATTATTATGTAATTAAGGTCCCAAAAAGGGATCATTAATTGTATCAATTGATCGACCCGGCGTCTATTAGAGGCCCGGCGTCTATTGGAGGCCGGGCTTCTATTAATACCCCCATATGTAATTTAGGTCCCAAAAAGGGATCATTAATTGTATCAATTGATCGACTCGGCGTCTATTAGAGGCCCGGCTTCTATTTTTTGCACTGAACAATTGACCCGGCTTCTATTAGAGGCCCGGCGTCTATTAGAGGAAATACGGTACATAAATGAGTAAGGCACTCCTAATTTCCCTGTATGAATGAATGTTTCTTCCGTAAAGCTGCACCTGGTCCATTATACAATAAATAATTTGCTAATGATCCCCTGGCATTTGATTGGCCAACCAAGCATATTTGTTTTTGTAACTTAAGGTTCTGTAAACTAAAACAATTAGGCAACACCCATCAAGGGACAACTGTTTCCTGATTGGCTGATAATGGAATGGGCGGGGCTTGTTTCACGTTGTTGGGCTGAATGATGTCACTGATTTGGTAAATTTGTCTACAATTTTTTTGTTTATGATAGATAAGCAGTCTGTGAAATTATTATTCTTTTTTAAAGTGATGGGAGTTATAAACATAAAAAAAACTGTGTGCACTCTTTGCGTAAGTCTGCTATGCTACACCAGTTTATATCTCCATAAATGCATATGAATATTTGGGTTTGTTCATAAATAAGGCGGTGCCACAAGATGGGAAATAATATGATGTGAAGGCGTAAATGCTAACAAAGATGAATTTGCTTTTGTTATTTGAAGTAAATAACTGCATGGGTACATTTCTGAACAGAAGAGTACATCCTAAAATAATTAGGTAAACAGTGCTGTCTGAGATCACTGTAAAATGGACAAACAAAACTGAGTGATATCCTCATTCTTCTTCAAGAATTCAAGAATGAACAATATATTTCATATCTAGGAATATATAAATGTCTTCCTATTGATAAAAGTCATGACCCGAACAGAGAAATTGTGAAAAAAACATTCTAAAAAACTTAAAAATTAACAACTGATACTATATGATATCCTTCAAACCTGTTATTAACCTTAATAGTCTGGACCTCGAAACTTACAAATAGTATCTAAATATATCTGAACATCGACGTCGTTACGCCTTTGCTTAAATTCACCCATGAATGTTTGGATGCAACTTGTTGATTATTCCAAATATAACCAGAACCGTAACTATCGTGAACATTTTTTTAACATGCTTTACTCTCTTTTGATCTTCAATTGCCCCTTCTTGTAAAAGGCGACTAACGGGATCGGGTGGTCAGGCTCGATAATTTCTCAGACGGCCGTCATATTGCTGGAATATTGCTGAGTGCGGCGTTAAACAACAAACAAACCAACCAACCTCCTCAGAATATGATGCCAGTTTATACAATCTGTTTTGAAGGAAATTGATGGTTCTGTCAAGCGATATTATATCATCTTCAAACGATAAAATATACAAATTAAGAACATCAAACTAATACATCTTTGGTCATCCGCACTCAGAATTCTAACATATAATTAATATCAAAAGAAGACAAAAATGCAGACAACTGACAGCCCTGACTGACTCCAAACAGGCAATCAGAATATGAGTGCAACCCTGCTCAAGTGAAACATATGATTTCAAGTTTTTATGCATATTATGAAGCAGCCCTTTGAAAGTACCTAGAGTTTATATAAAAGACATTTTCTTGAAATGGAATCGAAAGCACAATAGTCCAGCTGTAATGTTTTGTAGTAATACCTCTATTAAGAATCTTGCCGTTCCATTGGTTAATGTAATGAAACAATACATTTCAATGTAGACCCCCGAATCATGTGACTTTGAATATTGACTTGTCACATGACCAGTATTGATCTGTCATGTGATGAATATTGACTCATCTGCTGGAAACAAGATGGCATCTGGTTCTAACATTTCACAGTTCTCAACTAGGTTATTGTAATGAATCAGGACAGTTTAAGTACTTCATAAACTTTACAGTGAATTATAACAAAACGAATGATTACTCTTGATGAGGTCAATATGAGAAAAAAAGGACCCTCGGACCCAACCCCTTCGGCAATCTGACCGGACCTGGGCCTACAGCCTCACTGAAGTCAGACCACCTCAGGGGTTGGGTCTCTGGGTCCTTGTTTTCACATACTTTTATGTCTGAAAGGAGGAAATAAACAATCATTTAGGAAAAGTATTTTTTTATGTAAATGTAGGGTTCGTTTCATTTTATCAATTTATTTCTTTGTTAAGTAGTTTCCCTCTGGGACTGTCCACCATGATATGACTGACATACATTTTTTAGGCCAAAATCACTTTTCCATCACATAAATGTCGGTTCAGATTGATAAATGGCTGTCAGTAGTATTATCAATGTACAGGTGACTATGACACATCTGAGCTAAGGACATTATCCTGTATAAATCTTCCATGGGTATATGCTTTGCTTTACAGCTTACAGCTTACAGGCTTAATCTTAATCTGTGGACCTCTCTATTGCATACCGGTGCATATATACCGGTATTATCTGGGCAGAAATCTCTATATATACTGTATGTCATTGTACAACATGCCCTATTGTTACCATGAATTACTACACATACTGTACATAATTGTACAACATGCACTATAAGTTACCAATATATTCTACATATTAACTGTATGTCATTGTACAACATGCCCTATTGTTACCATGAATAACTACACATACTGTACATAATTGGACAACATGCATTATAAGTTACCAATATATTCTACATATAAACTGTATGTCATTGTACAATATGCAAAACCACTTATACTTAATTAATCATACTTTACATGTTTGCAATATATACATTATGTCTTGTGCATTAAATATGCCCCTTGATACATTTTGATACATATTGTTGACATTAGTATATAATACCTTATATATGCACTGAATGTATCACAATATTGATGTGAATAGTGAAACCTCAAGCTGACTAAAGGTTGAGGAAACAGTATTGATGTATTATTTATAGTTTTGTGCTGTTATAAATGGCCCCCTCCAGTCTTACACAGATAGGAAACAAAAATTAAAAACATTCTGTATCAATGTGACTTGTATGGTGACCTATATTGGGACACATAATTTTGTTACACCTCCAATCAGTATACCCAATATTTGCTCTATATACTGGTATATATATCTATATACTATACCTTTGATGGCTGTGTTATATACATATACCCTCCACAGCTATGACATTTAGATACACTATACTTACCGGTATGTGTATACTGTTTATTTTGTTTGTTTGTTTGTTTGTATGTTGTTTAACGCCGCACTTAGCAATATTTCAGCTATATGACGTCAGTCTGTAAATAATCTAGTCTGGACCAGACAATCCAGTGATTGACATCATGAGCATCAATCCAGTTAGTCGCCTCTTACAACCTCTTAGTCGCCTTTTGTGGCAAGCATGGGTTGCTGAAGACCTGTTCTACCCCGGATCTTCATGGGTCTTTTATATATGTGTGCTAATTTATACCATATGCAGTCATATATCAATGCACACAGCACAAACACTCAACATGTGCAATAGCCTAGACTTCCAACTTGCTGCCTCATGCTTCTGATTCACTGACCTACACATTCAACAAACCATTCTTACAGGTCCTAATTAACATTACATCATATGTATATTACATAGAGGATACTTGGTGCATTTTGTCAGAAAGAACCCTGTTAACTCATCTAGTAACCTGATTAAGATGACTTTTCTTGAATGGAACAGCTACGTCACTATGACTACTTCACTAGGTATACATTCACATAGTCAAAGGCTGTTTCTCTCTACCCATGATTCATTAATCCAGAAACAAGTGAAGATCTGTGTTAAAATTGGTCTTCAGCACGCCATGCTTGTCGTTGGAGGCGGCTTACGGGATTGGGTGCATGTCATGGCATCCCATTTGTGTAGATTGATGCTCATGATATCAATCACTGGAGTGTCTGGTCCAGACTAGATTATTTATTGACCGCCATCTTGTAGTTGGAATATGCTGAGTGTGGTGTTCAACAAACAAATAAACTGTGTCCAGAATACGTTTTTTCAAGGAGGATTTCACTTGGAATGGTCCCACCAAGACTAACAAGGTTTCACAACCAGTCATATATTATAAATATACCATAGCATTTATTACATACCTCAGGACATCATGACATTGATAAGATACATACATGTATTTTAGGTATCTACTGAAAAATTCACATGTTTTGCATATATTATTACATGGTCATTAATCACATTATGCAATTTGTTCTGTTATGCAACATGTTACCATTTAATGGATTCTGTATTTTTCATTTCTCACAAATATCATCCAGTGATATATCCCAGCTTCCATTTAGATGTCACGAATGTTATCAGTGGTCATGCCTGGTTTTATTAGGTTCTGATTGATCTCACTGCTGCTAACCTTAATGATGAACCATACTGGTACCAGCTTGGTCACCATGACGACGCCAGCATACCACTCCCAGCATCATCACCTAGAACCGTAAGTCTTGCTAAAAAAATCGACTAAAAGAGAGAACTCAGAGAGTTTCCTTTTGACTTAACTGGTCTGTCACAAATAAAAATGGAGATCGAAAGAATTCTGTTTCCTGTTTTGTGATCATCTATTTTTTGTGTTGTTGTAATTAATATGTTTTATGTTGGACTTGTCATGAATGTAACATTTCTCACAATCCACGTTACTGAAAAATGGGTATTTTGCTGTTTAGAAAACATCCCAAGATCCTTACGACCTGAAAGCACATCTGTCCCCACCGGTGAGCACTCGCGGGCTGAGTGACAGCGATCTGTCAGAGCTGGACTTTGACGATGGCATAGGCGTAGTGCAAGGTATGGTATAATGGGTCCTCAGCATCTCCATACACAGTAGAGATCTAGCACTCCAAACAGCATGCACTATGCAGAAGTCGTAATATATACATATCTGTAGGTATGGTAAAGACATGATTTTATCTTATCCTGACTCATATTTATTGCTTATCTCTTCTCATTTCCGAGTGTCAAAACTCATAGTGGAAACTTCCTGAACTGTGTTCCCGGAGAACAGAGAAAAAATCTCACCCAAATGCACCCCTGGTCCACGCAGGTACCACTTATCATTCTCTCATTTTCGTGCCAACTGAGAGTTTGGGGAAAACTTTGTAATCCGAGCTGTCCTGTCAATTTAATCTTAAGACTCTTTTTTAACTTTTGGCTTAACTTTATTAACAAGAATTTGCCTAAAATATTTCTTAGTTCTTAGCTTGACTTCATCAAGGAACAGCACTTTCTTCAGCGGAAGATAGAGAGCTTGACTTTCTAGGAGAAGTATTTTCTGATCTTCCTCCATTGCATTATATCCCTACAACGGCTTCCCTGGGCAGCAGCAGTATTGACAGCCTCATTAACGCACAACCAAACCGAAAGATGAAGTCTTCAACCAAAGAAGAACCTACTGTCGTTAGCGATTCTACAATGAGGTGCCAACACATCTATGTTAACATCATCACCACAAAGCACACTGCTTAAGCTAAGAAGGGATGCGGGAAGGGGTTAAAAAAGTCTACTTCGAAGTAGCAGAAGTCGACTACCTTCACGCAGCCCCAAACCGCGGGTACACCCCCAACATCTCAGAAGCATCCTCATATTTGGGATCAGTCTTTCATGTAGCAACCAATCTGTACACAGATGCAGACATTCGCAAAATAGGTGTGCGCAGCTCCCAGTGTTCAGCAGACTACAACATTTACACAACCTAATGTCTTACAGCAGGATGCGATAGCATCATCATTTAGGGACTCTGATATAGTGGCCAGTGTTATGCAGCAAGTATTACTTGCATTAGCAGGAAGTCCAGGGCTAAAATTCTCTAAATGGTCAAATCTTCTAAGTCCTCATTCAAAGCATGATCATCCAACTGGAACATATGGAACGTAACAAAAATAGCTTCACAAGACAAGGATATTCCATCAGCTAAAGCAGTCTCCCTAGCTATTCATAGTTCGAAGAATTTAAATGATGACAAGTGGAGAGTTTTGACCAGTCCGCAATATCCAAAGGATTTTCAAGCCCTTTTTCAAGGGATACACTTACAGAAGTCTCCAGAATGACCATTTCATTCTGGATGAGAGCTGTCACTCTCTGGGCATACAGAGCAGCCAGTTGGGATCCTCCATCAGCCTCCGGTCCTCATGAAGTTAGAGCTATAGCATCTTCTTTAGCACTTCACTGTAACTGCTCTATCCCCACAGTCATGAAAGGTTGTTTCTGAAAATCAGACACAATCACACAGCCAATCACTATCTCAGAGATTTTGCCACAGAAGACGTGGCTGGCATTCATCAATTCAGACCCCTAGTAGTTACACAGCAACTGACGATGCCTACCAGATGTTGATGAAAGATTACTCCCACCCAAAGATCATGGAGACATCAGGTTACTATTTCATAACCAACGACAGACAGTCCACGCCCTCTGTTTTACTATGTTATTCAGCACATGAGTGATGAACGATTGTGTTTAAGATTATTGCTCTTCTCTTTCATGATGATCGTTCAATGTAAACAAAGATCAGTATCTTATGTAAGCCTAAAATATCCAAGAAAAGGAAGGTGGTACCCCAACAGAAGAAGAAAAACAACACAGAATATCAACCACCTTCCCATGGGATACACATACATGGGATCACACATACAGGTGGAACCCACCGCCTACTGTGAGATTTTTGCAATTAGTATGAGTCAGGAAAAGATCAAATATGTATTTTGGGGGGTAAAAATATTATCAATACTTATCCTGACTCGATACACATGAGTTCCCTCCCGGCCATCCCCTCTCTCCACTGATGTGTTTTCGGACCATTAAGATGGAGAATAAGAGAGAGTGACGAGGTGACTGGTCATGTGTCGCCGTTTCGCCTGCGCAGACCAGGGGTGCATTCTGATGAGATGTTTTTCTGTTTTCTGGGAACACAGTTCAGGAAGTTTCAGCTACCTTTCACTAACCAATTAGTATGGGATAGGATAAGCATAAATGATATTTTTACCCCCCAAAATACATGTTTGTTACCTTCGTTGAACAGTAGTATTGTAGATGTAGATATTTTGTACTGAATTGTAGCTTCAAAGACAGTTACTTTGTTTGAAGTACCTAATCAACTGCATACATTTGTTTTCGTATTTTGTATATTTATATAAAACTGATAAAATATTTATGTTATCTGGTACCTTAATATAAAACATTAAAGCCAGAGAATAAGAAGTCTCAATTGTCTGCCCAAACAGATTCCATTGGGCATAAAAGGCAAAATAGTGGTGAAAATTATATCAATGAATCACTTAAAATCAGTGATGACATCAGAAGACACCAAATGAAATATTATTCTTCGTCTCTTAGGTGAAGTTTCTCCAATGTTTACAGTTTTAAGCCCTTTTTGTTTGAAACATCTGTAATGTTCTGGCCTTATCCCTGTTCTGGGCCCACTTGCACAAAGCGATCTTAGCGCTAAGATGACCGTAACTCCCATACTTTAACATAGGCTTACAATAGTCATAGCGCTAAGATCGCTTTGTGCAAGTGGGCCCTGGTAATATAACTTGATATCTGCCACTTGTTTAGCAGATTAACTGGTTAATCTATAGATTATGAAGTAGTTGGATGATGCAGACTTGTCCCTATTTCCTTAAACTTCTGTTTATGAAGTCGGCATTACTTATTTGCTTAGTATCTATTCTTTATTAGTGTAGCTATAGATAGTTATGTTTCCTTGGGCTTGTAAGATAGATATCTAGACATCTAGTTATGTTCCCATAATACTGGCAGTCATTTGTTAGTAGTTCTAAGTTGACACCTAGTTCGCCCATAGTAATAGCAGTGTAAAACTATATCCCTTGGAGCAATAGGGTAAGTACCCTTAGCAGTGACCGATTATGTGTATTAAATATATACAATGTAGCAAGAATGAAAATAGTTTCCATGGTATCCACTAGGTGGCGGTATTGGTCGCAGTGATGGTGCTAGCATTAGTTCAGTGGGGAGTTCGTGTAACACTCCCCCAGGGTTAGATGAACTATCCGATGGGAATGATCAACGACATGCATGTCACCATGGTGACTGCGAGTCCCCACCCAGTACACGCAGACGAAGCGGAACAGGTAGCCAATCAGTGCCGCTCTCTATGTCACGTGATCCCACAGTAGTTGCTTTTGTTGTCTCCATTGCTAGTCAGTATGTAGACGTCAAGTACGAACAGTATTTATCAAAGATGTGTGAAATCATTAGTATTCTATCCTAATGAAGATCTTCAGTGTTCTAACAGCATGTCAGTATGTAATTTGTGGAATATGTGCAAGGACATTTTATTGGAGTGTGTAATTTGTTCATTTCTTGGCTGAATCTTTTGAAGTACATTTAATAATCTTAAATGTGTCTTGCAACATGTGACCACCATCCTGATACATCCGGTGGTTGTGTAGTGTAGTTTGCTACCAATGTGTACTGTTCCTGTCCGTACCCTCCCTTGGTGTTAAGACAGTTGTCAGTCTATACCCTATGTTTTTAGTATGGATAGTAATGGTAGCATATATACTAGTATACAGGTAGGGTCTTTTCTCATGTTGCTGCTGCATTTGTTTGCAGAAGTCATGGCTGTGATATACTTGTGGTGTCAACCTAAATTGTATACAGTAAACTATGTTTATAACGAACATGCTTATAACAAACTGACAGATATAACGAACTGTTCTTTTGGTCCCGGCCATTTGCCATATAGTTTATCATATAAAGTTTATCGATATAATGAACAAGCTCGTAACGAAATAATTCTTGAGTCAAGCTCCTCACGTGTCACCAGTCTGCCTATCAAAACATACGCGGCCAGGCGCGGCTGTTCAGAGCGTCAATAAACAACTGGAGGCAAGTGATTTACTTTTAAGCACTGACACCTTGTCCTCAAATTACTACCTCAATTAACAATAGTTAAACAGTGATTGAAGTGGACATATTCTGTACATGTACAGTGCACGCTTTTGTTATTTATTGAGTAACATGTCACATGACTTGATAAAAGATGTCTGACGGTCGAAAGGCGTATAACGAACGTCAGATATCATAAACTAAAATTAGTGGTCCCTTTGAGTTTGTTATAACCATAGTTTACGTAGTTCACTTAACACACAAGAATTCAAATGAATCATAACAGTTTCTCCTCAATGTTACACTGAATCATCAACTGGAGTGGCACTAATAAGTTCCTTTTATCACTACCTATAAGAAATAGGGGGGGGAGGGCACTCGAGATTACAAGAAAGTCCAAAGTTAGGAAACAGTATGAACAAGAATGGAGAATTTGATTAAAAAATGAAAAATTCTCAGGAAGTGAAATCAGTTGCATGGTTTGGCCCACGGTATGTTTTTAATATGTAAATCCTTTGCATGTGTTACCATGGAAACTGTTTTCTTTTTCAGCTGTTTTATGACCATGTACTGTTCGTATTTGACGTATTAAGCTAGTTTTAGAATCACTCAAACATTTTTGATAAATCACTTTTCATAAGCATATAGAATTATTGAAAAATAATGTTAGAGATTTCAGATCTGCAGCTTCCTGCTTGAAGTGCTAGAGGACACCTTCTTTAGTGCTGTTTTTTTTATGTCACATCAAAAGAATTTACATTGGTTTTGTGCACCACGTTAATGTGAACCCTTTTTTCTGCACAGAATAAATTGACACACATACCTATCTAAATAATTCAGTTACAAACAGCAGAGAAACAGCACTGCTTCTTGTTTTACTAGTGGATAATCTATGCCTGTGTGTGGGGCGGTCGGGTAAGCGTTACAGCGTTCACTCGTCACGCCGAAGACCCGGGTTCGATTCCCGACATGGGTACAATGTGTGAAGCCCATTTCTGGTGCCCCCCCCACCATATTGCTGGAATATTGTTAAAAGCGGCGTAAAACCATACTCGCTCACTATGCCTGTGTGACACAGTGCTACATTGCCTTTAAACTGTACAGGTCACTCAGCATTATTGTCTCACATGCACTCTGTAGTTTATTACTTATAGCACACACAAACTCCGGTCTGCCACATTTCTCTGAGACATACTAGTAATAAGGATCAAATATGTCTGCAAGTCTTCAAATCAAAATGCTGCCATGTCTGAATCACCAGACCAACCATAGAATAAATACGAGTGCTTGCCCTTGTTCTGTAAAGTGGAACAATCGGTGAAATGTTGACATCCAGAAGGACATATACACAGGAGAGAGTAAAAACTTTGTATCACACAAACCTACAGAAGATTAACAGGTACTCAATAGATTTAAGAAAAGACTTGAGACCAGTCCAAATTTTTTCATTGCATCACAGATCAGCCTAACAGTTTTTACAATGATTGAAAGAACCCCCGAAACATGAAACATCAACCAACTGTATCAATCATATATGTTTGTATGTTACAAGGGAATCTACTTGCTCTGACGACTCATCAGTTAGAGTGTGGTAATGATAGATCAGAGCTGACTGGTTGCTGCCCAAATTCATGTCAGTCAATTTGGCAAATACATTGTGATACTTCTGAATTATCAATAATTTGTTATTTGAACGAATTAGTTAGAACAAAAAGTAATATAATAATATTAATATACAGTGTATGTGTCTATTTACAAGTATATGCATCTTTATCTAATCTTAATTTGACTCTTGTATGACAGTTATGACCTTAATTTCCAATGACATGGTCTCCTGTGTTCCAACTACCATATTCGACGTAATAAGCGCCCAGGGCGCTCTCAAAATTAGAAATAGGTGGCTCTTATTAGAATATTATTTTGGTAAAAAAAACAGAGTTGAAAGATATTTTGTGGTTGATAGTGACAGCCTGAAATGTTAATGTACGACAGATAAATTTTTCCAGAATTTAATTGCTCATAACTACATGTAAGGGTGCATATAACACATGAGTGTGTATTATACGCGAATAAATAAGTCTTGTGTACATTGATTTAATTTTTCAAATTCTCATAAAAATATCTTTCAAGAGAGATAAAGTAATTGGTCTGGCCTTTTCAAGATAAAAAGGGACAGACTGCAAAAAGCATGTGAAATTATCTTTAACATGTGCTTGTGGTGTGAAGTTGGGTGATGAAGTTGTGGACCTGTTTGTCCGACATTTTGTCTTGGTTGTAAATGTTAGTGGTAGAGTTGTGTTGCCACACTGTTAACACTGTGCCTCATTTAGATAGACATCAATCGGTCAAGACCGTGGCGACCAGATGTTTGTTGTTTGCCCTGTGATGTCTGGAATGGGACATGATTGAATTTGTTGCTAGCGTAAATTTGAAAAACAACTGCAGGGTTAAAAGTCTAGTTCATCAATGTTGTTGTGAAATTATAAGTTTGTAAGAAAAGGTCTGTGGCCAGTTTGAAATTGTCACTACAAGACAGTGGCAAACACTGTAATATATATCTTTTATCATCCAAATTGTCACAGAACGTCGTTGTGATACAGTTACATATCACAAGTTCACTAATTGCTTAAACTGAGAACCCTGGTCTGCCGTTTGTTACTAAATATAAAGAAAACAGTTAATTTGAGGAAATACGGCAAATAGAGGGTTTGCAGCTTCTCAATATTATTTTCCCAAATTGAAACTCACTTACAAATCAGAATGTTTCTTTGCAGTTGTAGGACGTGATGAGATCAGTTCTCGACGGAGACATATGACCTCCAGTGGCAGTCTTGAGGTTCCTGACCATGGGAACTCACAAAGGTCTAGGTCACCATCAAGGGAGGTAACTCATGGTGCTAGATCTCGATCACGATCGCCAGCTCCTCATCGCGTGCCAGAGGTTGTTTCAAGGTCGCTATCACCACCCGAACTTAGGTAAGTAAAATGATATATACATACATACATACATACATACATACATACATACATACATACATACATACATACATACATACATACATACATACATACATACATACATACATACATACATACATACATACATATAACTCATAATTATGATTATGAAATTTGAATATGAAAACTAAACCACTGGAAATGCCAGCAGGTGTAAATGATGCAATTTGGCATATGTTTGAATTTTAAAACAGTTAAATTGTTTTAATTGTTAAATGATTTTATTAAGAAAATATGATTGATAATAATTTCTTCTTACTTAAGGTCACAAGCTCCACATGGAGTTCGCGGAGTGCAGGCACGCTCAGCAGGAGGAACTCCACAGAGTACTCCGTCACCAAAGAAGCGGCAGTTGCCAGCAATACCACTGGAAGCCCAGATGGCCAGCAGAGACCGAGGTAGCACTCCAGCATCAGCAATGTTGTTCTGTGTGTCAGGGAAAGTGGTCAGAGAGTGGAAATTATGAAGGAAACTGTTAACTTGATGTGCTGTGTTAAATAATTACGATGTCTGGATACTTTAACATCAGACCAGTGATGAAGACATATATATCCTAATTAATTTGCTTTGCTTAATTAAAGAAATGTTGTACCTGTTTATAGTGCTGAGGATCAAAAATGCAATTCAGACAGGGATTTAATGTAAAGTTACCTGTGGTAGCACAGTTGTTAAAGCTGTATTCTGATTACAGTGACACAAGACCTGGAAGAGAGAGCGCGCATGATGAAGATGAAGATAAAGATGGGTCAGCATGGTTCTGGAAGTATACCACTGTCTGACAGTGAAGCGTACTACTCCAGAAGGGATATGGACAGGTATGGACACACAAACGGATCCATCTCTCAGATTTGCATAGGGGCCCTTGGAGGTGTAGAAAATGATATATTAATTAATAAATTGATATTAGTTGTTTATGTTCAAATGGTTGTACTAACTCCTGTATTGTTTGTTTGTGTTTAATACCACACTCAGCAATATTCCAGCTATGTGATGGCGGTCTGTAAATAATTGAGTCTGGACCAGACAATCCAGTGATTGACATCATGAGCATCGTCTAAGCTATTTGGATACAATGACATGCATGATCCTAGTCAGCTAGCATGTCCAGCTGATCCTGTTAGTTGCCTCTTTCGTCAAGCATAGTCCCCTCTTACAGCAGGCATGGGATGCTGATGACCAACTCTCCTCTCTGGGAACTAACTTCTGTAACAATACCTGGTCCTTGTGAAAAATCACAGGTTGACCTGATCTGGAATTCCAGAACCGGTTAGCTGTGTGGAGCGGAGTCCCTTTGGTGTGACTGAAACGTGTGCTCGTGGGTTTGAATTGCAGTTTACCTGATTATGTTTGTAGGTTTGTCAACACTATCCAAGTTAATGCTCTTTGATTTCATCAAAGTGGTAATTTAGCATCTAGGACCTGCATCACTTAAGGTTTTCCTCTCAGGTGACATGATATGACTGAAATACTGTCTAAAACTCACTCACTTCACACTGAAATCCGCATTTCCTGTTATTGATATGCTTGCCATGGTAGTGAGATCACATGTCAAGTAAAAGCAAACTTCTTCTCATAACAGGGTATCAATCACTACATTTTTCGTTGAATGTCATGTTTAGATTTATTGGAACAACTCAGTGATAAATTGCTGCCTGTTGTATCAGGTCCAAGTCTAGAGACAGGAAAGACCGCAGGATGGATATAGATCGGGATCGTGGAGATAGAATGAGAGACCGAGGCATGGATCGGGGATACGAAAGGGGGCGTGACCCTGAAAGAAGCCATAGAGGACGCAGAGCTAAAGGTTTGTAAAGGTCTTCCTTAAAACAGTTAAACTTTCTCTAAATAATGAAACCACTTTTGACTGCTTGGTCTAGAATCTTTTAGAAAATCCTGACTGGTAGGTTGGAAATATAAGTAGCAATTTAGATATGCTTTAAAAAAAAAAATATTTTGCAATTTGAGTAGTAATGTTGGTGAATTAGTAAGTTTTTCCCATTACATTTTAGAATTCAGCCCGGAGGTGTCCGATGACGTTGCAAGTGATGTTTCTGAGACAAGTGACATGTCTGAAGTGTCCAAGGTCAGCACCATCAGTGTGAGATCAACACAGTCAGAACGCCCACACCGGCGTCTCAGGTAAAGAATGAATCCTGTCATAATCCTCATTATTTTCTTTAAAACGGAATGGCTAAAATTTCAAACTCTATGGAGTAGTGTATCATGCTTAGAGCAGGATTAATAAAAATTATAATTCATCCAATGACAGTTACAAATAAAAAAGTGGTGCACAAATCTTATTCCCAATTAACATATTGTGGTGCATAATTGCTAAAACCCTAGATGTATGAGCAGATAAAGGCTACAGTGATGAACTGATTGCTCTATATATAATCAGTTGTACACACTTATCTTACCATATTCGACGTAATAAGTGCCCAAGGTGACATTTGCTGATATATTGGCAAGTGAACAATCCCAATTAGCACCCCTTCCTGTTGATCAATGTACACCCTTAATTGTTGGCAATTAAATTCTGGAAAAATATATCTGTTGTACAAAAACATTTCAGGCTATCAGCATAAACCACAAAATTTATCTTTCAACAGATTCAGTGTTCCACAACATGTTGACAATGCAGAATTTCTGCATTGCATTCTTATAGGATAGGTTAATCTTCAATTCCTTATGCCCTTCATCGCAGTGAGTTCACCTCAAAGATGGAGAGCAGAACCACCATGCCTAGACGACAACAGGCTGCCCGCAGCACCGCTAACGACAGTCAGAGCTATGACCGGAATGATGGCAGCATGTCGGACTCAGCTGTGTCATCATCAGTAACAGAGGGACGAAAGCGGCGGCCTAGTCTTGGCCACAAAGTGGCATCGCTTGTTGGTCTTTCACGTCGGAGTAGCAGTGCCACACAGCTTGCAGGTGGGTTGAATCTCAGGATCTGGAGTCAAACCAGCCTTTCCTTGATGCTTGAAAGTAACGTATTGCGTTAGAATGATCAGTTGTCTATAAATAAATTTCATAGTACTCAAAAGACATTACGGATCATACAATTATTTTGTATAACTATAGTCAATCTGTCATTCTGTATTCAAAAGAATCTGTCTGCCGTGACAGGTTAACTGAAGTAAAATGAAAGAATCGGGTGGTCCTAACTTCTTTTGAGTAGTATAGTAACAGAGAACAGATCACTTGATAGAATCAGAAACATACAGCAAATCACTGTATTTGTTGCAGTTGTACTTTAGCTGACCTTGCCAAACTTAGTGTATACATTTACCTAAAGAATCAAGGAAGGTACATCAATCAAACGTTGGATTTAAGCCTATTTAAACTAACACAGCATGTCCCTTACAGGAATCTCAGTTCCGGTGAGCTAAATGTGTGAGGAAGACAATGTAGCTTATAGATTTTTACCTCTGTGGCTAGAAATGATGCTGACAGACCAAAGATTATGAAGAGGTTAAACTGAGTTTCAACACCGCGGCCTGTCATGGTAAAAGGGACGCAACTCTGCATTGTAATTGGAGGCTTCTTTCACCTTCTAGCTTCCCCTTTGTCGGGACAGCCATGGAGAGCAGTCTTGTCATACTAACAGTCTTGTCATACTAACATGCTTGAGAAAGGATCATGATGCATTGAGTTTGTCATGTTTATTTCAATAGTTTCAAAATAGATTCTGTCGAGTTATTCGGTATTATAGCTAAAATGGATAGAATTATCATTAAACCGCCCGCTATCTGAAATGAGCGGGCCACTGTAACTTGATAATGCCCTCATATTGCTTGACAACGGGCTATTATCACGCCCATTGTTAGGTGACATCATAGAGATAGGGAAAGGTGACATCACGTGCAATAGTGACGTCATCTGGTTTGTTCTACAACGTTTCCATATTTGTAAAAGTGGGTCATTGAAATTCATGTTGATTGCACTAAATGTTTCAACACCGATATTGTTTATTTTTCCAGTCTTTTCAACTGCCCTCCTTCGTCGGGCAGTTAATGGAAGACCTCGGTCTTCTGTAAATGATAATGCACTGAAAAGTAGCGTTACCCTTATAATATAAGCACTGTTATTCCCCGTAGGTGGTCTGGCTCTGTTTCTTTACGAGGGGTGACTATTGGGGTTATTTCCACTGTTGAGATTGTATTGCAATAATTGCGGCGTTTAAGAGCATCTAACACCTCCTCTGGGGGTGTATGCTCACTACCCCCTAGCGGGCAATTTGGTTTTGCTTAGAGTTAAAATCAGCCCAGTTGTGTTCCTGACTGACACACTCAAAACAGTTTTTGTAGCATTTTAGAAAACTTTTCGACATGATCATCTGTAGATTTAATACAACTGGACTTTCACAGAAGAGTTGACTCTATCTAGAGTTTGCTCTTAAGTCCCTACTATCATTGACATAATTGTGACTTAATTTACCTCTTTCAGAAAAGAAGAAGAAGAGTTCCTTCCAGCGAAGTGAGGAGGTTGGTCCTGTGGATCTCCGTGGTGGAATGTCTAAACAAGCCAGTAAAGACTCCACAGATGGAAGTATTGGCAGCATTAGTAGTGACTCCTCAAGTGTGTAAGTACCTTCACACGCCTCCCCCTGCAAACAGGACACCTTCATCCAGATAGGATACATACTTGTACCATATGTTCCTGTGGTTATTCGGGGGAACAGTTGCCTTGCCTTGCCTTGCCTTGCCTTGTGTTTGTGACAGGTTCAATCCGTGGAGCAGGATGTTCACCTTTTCAGAAAAACACAACTGACATCACTATTTGATAATGATTCATAAACACAAGTCACTCAAATGATATAGTCAGAATTTTACAATGGTCTCCGCTTTTGGTTTAGATTTCTTTCAATTTCGGATTTTTTTGTCTCTTATTTAGAAAGGATGGCCTTTATGTTATTGTTATCTGATACTGATTTGATATGGCGTTTATTTGGTAATTTTGTAATCATTTCAGAAGGATTAGCAAAATATAGTTATCTGCTTGTGATCAGTGCAAATTCCTTGACATGCTTGATAAGTTTTTTCAGCTTCAGATTTGAATGTAGCAGAACTATATATACAATCTTCTGCTTTCAGACTTTGGCTACCAACCCATGCACGTCTTGGTCCTGAGGGCCAGTTTGGAGATTTTGTAGATGGTTTAGGGCCCTCACAGTTGGTTGGCAGACAGGTCCTTGGATCTCCGTGCCTTGGCGAGATTCAGCTCGGTTTGTATGACAGGAAAGGTCATCTAGAGGTTGAGGTCATCCGCGCCCGTGGATTATTATCAAAACCTGGAGCCAGAGTTCTTCCAGGTAGGGAATACTTCCAAGAATACAATTTTTGTTTTGTATAACATTTAAAGGAGGAGACGGGAAATTGGCAGTCATATCAATTCAAGTCATTTGGACACCATTTCTTTTTTTACTCAACTTAGATTTTATGAGGTATATCATTAATGATTTCACTACATTTCACATAAGGAACTAATTACAAAGTTTCTAACAACGCTGAAAATAGACACCAGATTATGGAACATAGTCCCACATTTAGTTTGTTGAAGATTTATAAATTTGGAAAGTATGAATTTCTTAGAAAATATGTTTAACATGCTTTTTCAGCGCCTTATGTGAAGGTTTATCTCATTGATGGCAAGACCTGTGTAGAAAAGCAGAAGACAACCACAGCAAGAAGAACACTGGATCCACTGTACCAGCAGCAGCTTGTCTTTACTGAGTCATACATCGGCAAAATATTACAGGTACACTTAGTAGATTTCCTAATTATATTCATGCAAAAATGATTGTTTGTTTCTTAAAAAGACCTGCGATATATGTGATATCATTATATATGGTTATATGATATGTTCGTAATTTCTAGGATAACAACTGTTCCTTTGGTTTGTAGGTAACAGTTTGGGGCGATTATGGTCGGATGGACAAGAAAGTCTTCATGGGAGTGGCTCAGATCCTTTTGTCAGATCTCGATCTTAGCAACATTGTGATTGGCTGGTACAAACTGTTTACAACCTCCTCATTGGTGGGTCATCATTCTTCCACCACTGGCCTTGCTCAGTCTTCATCGCGCGGTTCGACGTCATCTCTTGAAGCCTTTGGCCGCTCTTAGTAGTAATGGGACACAGTAGCACTAGCTTTACCTTGAAAACCAGAGTTGTCTCCTCTTGGCTTACATTTCGAGTTGGTTTTGCCGAAGTGTTTTTCACATGGTTTTGAGATGGATTTGTGTCAGGATTGCTGCAGCCTGGAACTCCACATGGATAGTGAATAAATGTTTTTTGACATGTGTTACTTCAGTGTATTTCATTAAAATTGATTTTTTCATACTTGTAGATGGATTCTGTAAAGATATCTACCATCATTGATACGAAGTGTTTTATATTTCATTTTCAGCAGACTCCGATGTAGATGTTTTAGTAGGAAATGTAGAAACGATACTACTTGAAGCTTAGAGACTGGTGTTGTCAGTGTTAACTAGGGGGAGACAACTCAACAATTTCATGTTATTCTCCAATATCATGTGTGAAGAGACAGCTTGGCTTGTATTAAAGTGTGTTAGTACAAGATATAGATTTGGCTGGATGCTTCGATACTGCAAGTTACTTCTGAATGTTTGTTCATGTGTGATATATATGTTTATGATGGTTTTGACATTCATTCAGCTCAAACTATCATGTTATTTCTACTGTTGATGTTGATGGTGAGACTACACTGCTTGTGTAAAGCATTTGACATAGATGTGATAGGGGTACAGTGAAGGGTCATAGTCATGTCACAAATGTTGTTGTTAACCCTTGGAGCCTGCCTGTGCCCGGACATACGCGTTTGTGTTAAGTGGTTATGCAAGGGCACGGGGCCATGGGAACTGACTGTGTTACCTTTTCTTCTCAAGTTTCAAATGCAATATACATGTTCAATGGAGGGTGTTGACTTTCAAAGGGAGACAATTCAGGAAGATATCAGCATCTTCTGGGTCATCATTGCGGTATTCTTCCTTGATTCCCCTTCAGTTGGAGGATTCTCAGAGGTTAATAATATGCTCAGGAATACACCTTCACGAGGAACATATACATATATTCCATCCCATTACCTCCGAAAAGCAAAGGATGATGGGATATGTGGAACCTGAGATGAATTTTGAGAAGGATCAATGTAGCGTGACGATAGCTAGGTTCACCGTTTGCTAATGATTGGATTTTTAGGTACTCTTCCTACACCAATTTGTGCTTAAGATTGTTTTATGCATGTTGTCATGGAGATACACACCAAGAGTGTTTTATGCATGTTGTCATGGAGACATATTGTCATGGAGACACGCACACTGAGGGTGTGTATGGGAGTCTGGACCATTACATGGGGAGCAAGTACACTAGACAACAAGGAACGTGTGATTGTAGGGACCTGTGGTATCAAGGTGATAGCATCATTCAAGGGTATTAGAATGGTGTATTTGAATTCAGAAGCTGCATTTTGGACAGAAATATTTGTGTGTTGCTGTGTTGACAGTCTAGTTAATTCACAATGTTGTAATAAAATGACCTACCTTCTATATTGTTGATGTTTTAATGATGTTTGCCCAAATATTTTGAACATTTAATACTTTTCACTGTTTATATGAAGTTCAGATCCAGGCATGGGATATTTAGGGATGTCTATGGTGTAGGCTGTAAGAGGTGTCTGTTTGTACAAGGAGTTAAATACATGTCAATGTTGACGTTATCAAATGATTCTTTTTTTTCGGTTTTGTTTAACTGAAAATGTCTTTTTAATACCGGTACATTAAAGTCTTTTTATTGGTCGTGCATAAAGGTCAAGTAACACGTTATCTTTGAAGCAAAGGGACTTGAAATCTGACTGACTCTCTTTTGTACTCTTTTGCACAGTTCAGTGTAGCTCTGCTACAAACAAGAATTATAATGGAATGTCCTAAATAAATAATATTTGAAATATAAAATTGAAAAAAATATCATTTGATGACACTTTTTTCGTGTTTTCACAAATTTCATAATACTGATTGATGTTTGTTAATATCTTTCTTGGATAATTCAGTTGTTTGACAGTTACGTTACAAAGATACCAGGATCTTGGTAGATGATAATGAATGTGCACTCCAGTGATAATCCTGTAAGGACAAAGTAGTGTTTAATATTAATTGACCAAATGAAAGAAATTCATTATATGCACATTACAAGAACTATTAAAAGCATGTTTCCGTACCACATACTTGGAAACACAAAAGTCAGGTGTTTGAATTACAATGAAAGTAAAACATCATCAGTTTTATGACATTTAAGGCAAACAAACCTTCATTCGTTTCGAAAATCAACAGCCTTACTGGTGACACCAGCATGAAGTTGGTTCCAGTACTGCCTATACATTCACTGTAAAAAAGCAGATCTTGTTTTTTGTCCTCACCTGCATGACTTTCTCTAGTCATTGCTGAAATTGTTTGAGTAACCATTGGAAGACATTTAAAGGATGACAGTTTTCTATGGATTTTCAAAAGCACCTTGTTTCAGTTGTTTTTCCATCCATCGCATATCAGATGTAGCTGTTCTTTGATCGGGGAGCAAGAAATAGATTTGAAACGTTATATGAAGACTGTATTCATTTTTTCATCCACTAGATTTATTTTAGATTTTCAAATGCCCAAAATATTAACCCCAGCATGAATTATTTGTCATGCTCATTACATCTGTATATGTCAAATGTAACCCTAAGTTGAAATTGCACACAAACTGGTGAATGTGTAGCTGGTACTTCTATGGAGGTTAAACTTTCTTCACTGGCATATTGGAGGCATGTCATAATGATCACCCAGAATAACAACAGAACTGAAAATAGGTGACCCAACATGGAAATTAAGAGAAAACAGATCTGGACACTGCTTCCCTTGTCAGATGATATGTGTGTAGTTACTCCTTGTACAAAGACTTCCTTAAGACAGATCCAAGACTACCCAGGTCACATTGGACCTAATAACCAATGACGACACTTTTGACAACAGTATTGCCTTGACCCTGTACCTACATGTGGCCACGTACATGATCTGTTGAACCTGTTTGCATGAAATTATTCTTCGTTGAAAGAGTCTTATACAAGTCATTTATAAGCCCAAATGGTTTTATTGTGGAGAGACTCATTTGAAATATTCTTATTTTACCTTGGAATTCATGTCAGAACCTTGGAATTCATGTCAGAACTTGTACAACGTTGAATAGTGGACTATCAACACATGCAGCAATAGACAGGACGTGTAATGAAATCAGATGAATACACATTGTTGGTGCCAAATATCCTCTGATCTCCTGTGCAGTGTTTGTTCTGGGGGTCACATTCCATGTGCATGCATTCAACTTGAATACAGTTAGGGAGCATGTCAAAATCTAAAATGTTCTTTTCCTCAAAGTTTTTTCAAATTGTATATGATATAAGAAACATGCATCTTTTCCTCCATGCAAGAGCTTGTTCCTACTCCCTGTTTAGATATTGCATGCTAATGCTGTGAATGTAACAAATTTACTTGAAACATGAAACAAGGGATGTTTGACATGTTCCCTAGGAACTCATTTATCTACTAATGCCTTATGAATGATTTCTTTAACAACATTGTTGATACTAGCCTAGATGTACCCTAGTGTTGTAGATATTTGTGAAGCTGTTGGAAGATGTAGACTTTAGCTTAAAATATGGGATCAGCATTGCAAGACCATAGCTGATCTACCCTTATATTTATTTGTATTTGGTTATCTCCCCTTGTACATTGTGAAAGAGTTACATCCCTTTAATCTTGTTCATATTTGAATCCCCAAGTGACAACTCCCTTGCAATTACGCATTGGATAGTTTCTTACCAATTATATGTGTATTTTACATGTAATCTTTCTTATTGTTTGTTTTTATACACAACACATCAAAAATTGTATATTGTTGTATGAAATGATATAATGCACAGCTTCAATTGTTATTGAAAGAGTCACTCTATTGTTTATTACATTACCCATATGTGAAAATTGCTTGCTTTTAGTCGTACATTCCACAAAGTGATAAATACTTGTTGATTATTTGAGATTATATCTACACTTAAATTACATCTTACCATTTCAGAATACTGCATGTTGCACAATTTGTTCTCGAAAATATGTTGATTGTCTTTAATGTATATTCAAATACTAAATGGTTACAAATACTTTTTGATGTAAAAATATTGGTTGGATTTTGTAGATTTTAATAATTAAAATCAGGGATTATGTATATGACTACTTATTTGTTCTAATAGTTACTGTTCTTTAAAAATAACCTGTTCTTATATCTTGGCGTAGTGATATTAACAGTTTGAAACATTGAGCATCACAGCTGGTCCTTGTTGACTGACTTTGAAAGCCTTATTCAGGCTTTTGAAATTGGACTGTTGTTACTTTGAAGCATATTACTATTGTTAATATGAATATATAGCCATATATGTGTAGGTTACCTATGCTGAAATAAGCTGAAGAGGTTCTGTATAAAACCCTTCTACTGATACTAAACCTGTCGTCTGCGAGGAAAGTGAAAGTGTTTTGGTGTTCAATGATTGTATTTTATGGTATTTTGGATTGACATAGTCATTGTTCATATGTAAAAGAAATGGCTAACAAATTGAAAAACTATATACATTTATCACAAATGGCGATGATATTTTTTTTTTTTTTTTAAACACCAGAGATTAGTGAAGATAATATGGCTTCTTAAATCAATTATGGGATACATTAATTTGTCTCAAATGGCAGTGATCCATTTTCTTTTGAACACCAGCCATCGGTTCAGATAACATGGCTTCTTAAAAGAATTATGAGAATACATAAATTTGTAAATTAAATCATAGGCCATGAATGCAAATTATATATCCAATCATCAGTCTTTAACTGGTTTGAATGACGTAGAATGAAAGGAACGTGGGTGAGAGAGATGGCGGTTTTCTTCGGGGTCACATGTGTCAACACACAAGAGAAATGACCATTTTGAAATAAAGATATTAGGTCAATATGTGTTCTCATTAAACAGTATGTTATGATGTTGTAGTCTGTGATATTTTGTTATTAATTTCCAAGTATGTTTTCAAAACGTTTATAACTTTAACTATAAATTCTTTTGTCAAATATGTTTAACAGACCCAGGCTTACCTTCAGTCTCCAGTGTTCAAAGCTGCACAGTTTATGGTTACACTATGCTGGTGTGTGACTCATCCCTCGGATACTGTTGAGGGTCTCGCAGAAACTGTTCTATATATCAAAAGTTGCACTTATAACAATAATAATGTGATAATAATAATGCGATCGTACAAAATGTATACTTTAAAAACTGTCAACATTGAGATTCGAGAGTGAAACAATGTGTTTTTGGTCGGACTATGATCCTATGCCTACATCTAAAATAAGCTTAACTTAGAAACCTAAAAAAATATACATTGAGTCAGACAAGATTAGGAAATATGGAAGTTTATATCTTGAAAGGGATGATTTCCACTGCTTCAAATGAAGTATTGAATTAAGTTCTAACCTACAGAATCTCCCAAAAGCCTTGTCCAGTAAAGTTGTTTTTCTTTAATTCTATTTTTGTGCCTGTTGTTAGTTGTTTACTATAATGTCCATTACTCAGTATTGCAATGCATGTGATATTTGTTTTATTTCTCTAGTGTGCAATATACTCTGTATAATACTAGACATGTTCTATTCCTCCAGGAATGCCTGGTCATTGTGCTACAGTGGGATGAGATGCCGTGGTCTTGCACTGATGATCATCGTTAGGGTTAACTAGATACACAGTTGTATGGGTTAACTAGCTCTAATCAATGTGTGATTGACTAATTAACAATGGTGAAGAGAATTCAACCAGTCAGCATAACTGATGCAGCTGCCACTGTGAAATTGTTCTCAACCCATTTGTTACAAACATTGTCATTGGACAGCATCCAGTTTGGATGATGTCCTTTGTATCAAGGTCACGTTCAACTGGTGATTTTTTAAATCATAGTTCATTTCATTTATTTATTCTTTGAATATATACTTTATTTATTGAAGTTAGTTTCCCGTGAGCACGAGTGACAGAGAATGGACCATTACGTGGAGAAAAGTCTGTCTGTGCATGCATGGCAGACGTCATTGTTCATATCATTCTGTACATTCTATGTACATTGCTGTCTTCATTGTGTACATTATGTTACCATGGTATGTGTCTAAACAGCTACTGAAGTATGTAGAACATTTCCCAGATCAACTCCCAATAGTTCTTCTAATGTTCAGCTGTACATAAAGCAGTCCAGTGAAGTGAAGAGAGTAGTGGCCTTGTCTGAAACACTAGTCAAGTAAAACCAGGTTTAGTGATCTCTCGAACAGTAAAACACGGTTCAGTAAAACATGGTGCAGTTCATATCCCCAACAACAAAACATGATATCCGTGACAGTATACCAACTACAATTCATTTATTTACTGAACTCCGGTTTGAATCGGTAATGACAAACATGAAAATTATTCAAACATGTTTTGAAAAATGTAATAAGCTCTAAATTGCATGTATTAATGCTTTGTGTCAACTATTAATGTCCTAGCAGTAAAATATAATCAGTACTGAATAGCAACAATGCTTAAAGAATAATCCAATTTGCAGCTTTTTAGTGTGTTGAGGGCAAGGTCCTGTTTCTCTTTAACTCATAACTCCACACTGACATGAGCGGGAACAACTCAACTTTTGACAATGTGGTTTTTATTTACTTTTCTCTTCTTGAGATGTTCCCTTTTAGATCTCTTTAGATATAGGTGATCTTCAGTGCTACTCTTCTTGTAGCTCAAGTTTGCCTCATTGTCACCAAACTAATAACAAAGGGGTATTGTAATACAACTTAGAGAGTTGAGCAGTTTTGCAAGAAAGGCTTCACAAAGTAGTTAGGCACTTTAGACAGTTTAAGGATACTTGAAAATCTGAGTGTTTTCCATTATGATGTTAACTAGGTAAACTGCAACACCTCTCATAACATGTTATGTATTCATCTGCATTCTGTGTTTCAAAAGCAGTGTTTGATATCAGTATATAAACTGTGTATATCTCACAATTCAGCTTGCTAGTGTTAAATACATTATAGATATGTGCCAGCATATATATTAGGAAACACCTTTCAAAGCTTTTAGTGTTTTCATGGAGACCCCTAGTGTTACAGGCTAGATGGTTTAGTTATGCCAACTGGGTGACTGTTCATTGATTTAGATTGACCCGGGTAGTATGTTATGAGTCTTATCCCCATGTTGTCATGTTAGAAACTACTAGGTTCATATGGTGTATTCCATGGCATGTATATTCAGTGACTCTGAGGCAAATTTGATACATGAGCCTAGAATGCATATAGCCTTTGTAGGCTAAAAACAACTCCAGATTTTTATACATTTTTTTCATTCTTTAGCAGGCAATCTCAGCTAAGAATTTTTTTCTCTCCTAGACTTTCGAGTGGCAAAATAAATCCTATTATTATGAACTGAATAAAACTTTAATATGGTTTTATATAGTGTTTGTTCTTCTGTTTTATTGAACAACCAGTGGTTTTGCTTCCATGGTTTTAAATTATATTTCGTGTTTCAATAGAAATAACAAATACCGGTGAAATTGTACACAATAACCTTCACAAAAGCTACTTTAAGCATACATGTTTTATTCTGCACAATGGGTGTAGTTGAGTTAGTTTAAACACACATTCTTGATAAAAGATCATTGGGTTATACAACAGTGATCCTCGAGTTACTCTCCTTATCTGAATATTAATAGATTGAAATTAATGAATAGTACCATTACCAAATATGTGTTGTGTGCAGAGGACCTGTAGCCTCATCTATGAACATTTACACGACCGTACTATTCTAACAAACAGTTTAAAGTAGACAGTCCAGGAGGTAACTGTCCTGCCTGTAAAAGCTACTAAACGTATATGTTTATCCTGTAGACACATTGTAATATTTCAAAACACTTACAGCAACTTACAACTATGTAGTATCCTACAGCAATGGAGATGACTGTGACCTTGTCTATGAACAATTTAACACACGTAACATTCTGCAGAAAGGCGATAACTCACGTGAATATCCTACCTCCTTCGCATCAGTACCATAAATCATGAAACCACAAAATCTACAGATTTTCAGCAGAAGTCCTCTTCATCAATTATTCATCATCGGTTGTACAGGCAATAGTGTCGTGCTTACCAGTGGTTTTGTGCAAGGCGGGAAACCTCAATTATTCCCGAATTACTTGTTTTGGTCTTTAGGACCATGCTACAGTTACCATAGAGTAGTTATATAATTTTGAGATATTCAAAGAAGACTACCCCCATTTCATCACTGCCATAAATCCTGCATTTTGGCTGTCATCACACTGAAATAAAAAATTGCATAAAGTGAGAAGTGACGATACATCAAATGAAAAGGTGCATCTACAAAAGGTACGATTGTCCTTTTCAAGACTCGTGTCTATTTTATTTGTTTATTGAAAGTTACTTCAAGCTAGTGAGATCTCCCATGGTCAAGACGTCTTTGCCTATGGCCAGAATGAAGGAGATTGATGCTGTCAATGGACATACTGTGGAAATTAGGGCGTACTCCATCAACTGGTTCGTGGCAGGAGTACCCCAGGTCACACCTACTCTTCGTGCATCCTACGAGGGCATCTCGGGTTACGCCAGTCACTATGCTGGTAGATCACGTGGGCTTCATCCAAAGCCTATTAGTGAAGATCCAGAAGGGTCTCTTGTCTTTCCAAGTTTGGATGTCAAGCCATCTGTTAAGGCTCACAAGTCCGGAATAAAGTGGTGCCTAAACAGGCCTAAGAGGTCTGACTTGTCCAGCATTCGGCCATCAACTTGGCAGCTAACACGCACGGTTCAACTTTCCAATCCAAGAGACCTAGAGAGTCGGCCAGAGAGCATACCTTTCCCGATTCTGTCAAAGGGAACTTTATCTCAGACAAGCCGATGGAAGGAAAGATCTACACGCATCCAGAACCGAAACGAGGGATAGCTGTAGACATTTTGATGAGAAACGGAGGGCAGGGTGCAGGACAAGCGGTGATCCTTATGTGTATCACTTATGTGTATCACTTCTGAAAGCCCTTCAAAGCCCCAACACCAGTAAGGCATACAGGAAAACTCTTTTTAAGTACGTTACACTTTATAGCCTTAAAATAACACAGAACTACGGTGGCCCATAAGGGACATGGAGTCTGTTTTTCAATATTTTGATGTTTCACTTACTTTTATCGTAACCTTTAGCAAATTAACACAATTTTTCACACAAATATGTTCTAAATCATGTCCCTTATGGGCCACCGTACAGAACAGAATTAAGGAATGGCAAAATCTCATTGGACAAATCCAAAAGCAAGACTCATAGCGAATCAAAATTCAAAATTGGACTCAACTAATGAGTGTTAAGAGTTCTTTCGAAATCATTATTCTTTAGATGATGAATAATTTCTGCCCGAAGACTTATTTGTTCATATCAATTATAACATAACATTAAGCGATATCAATTGTGCTTTCACGGAGAAAGATAGGCCTTCGGTACGTATACTACTCAAAAGAAGTTAAGGAAACCAATTCTTTCATATAACTATAGGTAATCTGTTATGTCTACTAATATGAAATAAAAGCAACAAAACCATTTCCACATTTGTAAGTTATCTCTGCCCAACACAGTGTCGACTGTACTGTATCATGAGCATGTGTTTATGAATCACTATCAAATAGTGAGGATCGGCTGGCCCTTGACTTCTTTAGAGGAGTATGGAAAGTTGAAAATTAAAGGAAGCGGCATAGATGATTAACTAACAACGTTGTCATAGAGACTGCATTTATTCTGTACTTAGGCCCTATGCCCACAATACAAAAACGCTGGAAAGTATGATTAAATATGTGTGTGCGGGTGGGTGTGCGTTCGTGCCTGCGTGTGCATGCGTGTGTGTGTATGTGTGTGCGTGCGTGCGCGCGCGTGTGTGTGTGTGTATTGGCCAGTAATATAAAGTTTCTACTCCTAGTGTAATGTTCATTAATATACGACCCGAGAATACTTGATTCCTCTTTGTCTTTCGGAGAAACCCTTTAGGGTAAAACATGTTTTTGTTTGCTTTAGGTGACAATCATGCCTCATGCTTTTATGTTAACAATTGTTGCAAAAGGTTATTGATCACACTTACCACGACCTCATGTGACCAGGATATCGGAGAAACGCGCCTAAGGGCATTTGAGTAATATATGACCAGTCAATAGAGCTAGGTGAACAGAAAACCGGTATCGATTCTTGATACCATTAACAGTAATGCCCATTGGCTTGCCAAGCATTGTTAACAACGCTTGTTAATCAATGGCACTGTTTACGGGTGTTACGTCATCGCTGGTTGCATAACGGTCAACAGCAACAGTGGTCAGTGAAGGCAGACCAATTAAGTGTTCAGCAAACAGTGAGGTCATCCCGCTTTGGCATGGTGGTCACCACAGAGGAGTGCTGGTCAACTGAGGTGTCTGCTGTACAAGTGAAGCAGATTGTCATTCAAGGTCTCAGGTTGAAGGCAGCAGTCAAGGAGCCCTTAACACAATGTCATCAAATTACCCGATGACGGAATTATCTATGGTCGTTCTGTTGAGCTTTGGAGTGGCAACACTCTTTGTAACATGCGCCGAGGGAAACAGTAAGTACACTATAGGTTTGTTTGTTTGTTGTTGAAAGCCGCACTCAGCAATATTCCAGCTATATGACGGCGGTCTGTAAATAATCGAGTCTGGACCAGACAATCCAGTGATTGACATCATGAGCATCGATCCACGCCATTGGGATCGATGACATACATCAACCAAGTCAGCAAGCCTGACCACCCGATCGCCTCTTACGACAAGTATAGTCGCCTTTTACGGCAAGTATGGTTTGCTGAAGACCTATTCTACCCCGGATCTTCACGGGTCACACTATAAGTCAAATATTATGTGAGGCAACTCTGCACTTGATTGTCGCGTCACAACGGACCCTTTTCCCACTTCGAGTCATCAAACTCCACTAGTCCGATGGCATTCTTCACGAAAATAAATCTTATGAAATTGTAATCATATGATAAATTCGTTGTATGTATCACTAGCGGGGTGCACGTAATTTATAAGATAAGATTTTATTATCCCAAGGGAAAATCTCATATTGCACAGGTGTTAGTACTAAATATGAAAATAAAATATGAAAATGAAAGAAAATACGGATAATGAAATATGTACATAAGAAAATAAGGTACTTACTAATATAACCACGGGTAAAAACATGTAGAGAATTAAACACTATTACAGTGACGACAAGGAATTGTAATCATTATAAACTATAGGTATAATGGTAACAGATAACCATTTAAAAGACTATAACACTGGCTGGTACGAATGACTTCCGGGCCGTGTTTGTTTCAGCATCGTCATGCGCAGTCGGCGGCCGGAAGGTAGAAACTGATATTCAGAACGAAGTATATGACTGCTGTTATTTAGTATCTTACGAGCCTTTTCGACAATTTGCTGCTCATAAATTTCGCCGATGTGTTGAAATTGGTTACCTGATATTTTGCTTGCTGTATTTAATATTGTATGTAGTTTAGATTTATTTTAAACAGACAGGCTCCCATACCAGCAGTTTACATTAAAAACTTAAATGCTTTGAATAAATGTTCTACAGAACTGTGAGAGTATTTTATTATCAAGTTTAAAATACCTAAGACGCCGTAAGAAATTCAATAGCTTTTGTCCCTTTTTAAAAATATTATCCGTGTTATCATTCCAAGTGAATTTTGAATCAATAATGGTGCAAAGATACTTATATTATTCAACCAAATCAATGTTTTCGTTATAACAACTGGCAGAATTTGGGTCCTCTTTTTCTGAAATCTATGATCATTTCCTTTGGGTTTTTTTAACATTTAGAGTAAGAAAATTAACTTTGCACCATTGGTCAAATTTTGAAATTTGGGACCGATAATCAATTTCAGGATGCTTAATGAATCCGGCCAGCGCTGCGTCATCTGCAAACCTAACGGTTAAACAACTGTTAAGATTACTGACACAGTCTTTTGGGGGGGGGGGGGGGGGGGGGGGGGAGGAAAAATCAACAAACAAGATTCGGACAAATGAATTGGAGGTTTCACCAACAGTGACACATATATCAGCTTCTCAGCATGCAACTCTTCTCTTTACGATCGTGGGATCAAATCCCGGTTCGCCATGACTATGATTCTGGGTTTGTCAGCACCATACCCATGCTCGTGGGTTTCATCAAAGTGATACACGTCTAAGACTTGGTTTGTGTGAGTGGCTCGTTCTGTTGGTTGAGCAGGACATGTTTATCCCTATTCTCGAACACTTGGTGTCAGCACCGTTTTTCAGCGACCCATTCATACAATTTTAGCGCTATTTTACATTTTACGCCCAATGGAATCTATTCTCTGGCGTTGGGGCGGTCGGGTAGCCTTGTGCTTAAAGCGTTCGCTCGTCACGCCGAAAACCCGGGTTCGATTCCCGACATGGGTACAATGTGTGAAGCCGTGATATTGCTGGAATATTGCCAAAAGCGGCGTAAAACCATACTCACTCACTCACTCTGACATTGACGTTTTATTATGCCTCCCACATCAAGCTGACACGCCGTGACATAACTGAAATACGGTTCATTCTTCTGCAGATTTTGACACCTGCCCCCTTCACTGGTGGTCGATCCCCAACGAGAGATGCGTGAGAGTGTTTCCTCTAAGGAAGACACTCAAAGAAGCTGCCGATATCTGCAGACTCTTTGAGTCAGAACTGCTGTCTGCTGGTCAAGAGTTGGACGAGTTACAAGACTACATCTCCCCTATTGCCACATCTGTGGCCGTGTCCCAGCTACTACTGGGCGTGACAGACCCCTGGGGCACGGGTGTGTTCCTGTGGCTGGACGGCTCGCTGTTTGATGACTCCGTGTGGGCAGATCACTACCCCAAACCTTCTGGCGGCCGATGTGCTGTCTTTAGAACTGAAGAAAGAGATCTGGTCAATGTCCATTGCACAGGCAACAATGCATTCATCTGCCAGAAGAGTAGAGGTGCGTAACAATATTTTTTTCTCTGGACCGACATGTTTGTCTAAAATGTCTAGGTTTATGCAAGGTGATACTTCAACTCCATGAATGAATGACGTGTGTTTTTAGTGTGATGATATGTCTCTTCGATGTGAAACCGGGACTGCTTCTTGACATGAAGGACAGACGCAGGTGTTGTTCGAATTATAGCCAAGTTTATTACTGATAAATGTTTTGAACCCTGAAACAATTGTAAAACATTCATTACACAAAATATAAACATATGCTGACATCAAATATTTCATTACATTTGATGATATATACAAAATGCTATAACTACTAATTGATAAACTTACATCTCATCAAAAACTTAATTAATCTTATATTATAAACCTACTTAACCCGCATATATACTTATATATGTGTATCATATAAATAGAGTAAGATAGACGTGACATGATACATTTACTATGTGTACATACAATATGCAATACATGAGAATATATATAAAACCTAGTAAACCCACCAAGTGTGTGGACCTGGGTTCATCAGTCCAGACACAGACCTCTGCACAAGTATTACAGCTACATCTGCACGACAAATAAATGAATATATATACACACTGTGCAGACCAATCTGATAGCAGCAATATTACTACAAACCGAAACATAGTGTTATTGCAGAGTAACTTAAAACAATTCTAAAATATAATAGTAAAACCCTGATTCATTCATACATTATACATTCATACATTACACATTCATTTATACCAATATGTTACCTAGCAACATATATGTTTCTCATTCTTACTTTCATACTTCATACTTTCATACATCAGCTTCACAGTGATTGAAGATTTAGTTAAATAGTATTTTAAGCCTAAACTTAGCACTTACTGAATTATTTACCTTACGTAAATAATAACACTTGTAATGCATACAGAAATACAACTAATTACTATGATCTGGCGAATATTTACAACATGACCAAAACAGCCAAATTATCAAGAGCATAAACACAATATACCTACAAATCCTAGGAATACGCACAAACAATAAAATATCATCAAAAGACCAACCTTTAGATGTGAATTCCAAAATGTCCAATAGATCAAACACCACAATTAGTCCAAATTGTCCAAATTGTGAATTCCAATGATATACGTGTGTTTGACAGTAACATCAAATGTGCTCTAAACTGTAGTAAAACTAAACCCTTTAAAACTGGAGACAGTAAGCTAGAACCTGAAACACAAAGGGGCTTTGAGGGGCGCGCTTGGGCAGGCTATTGTGTGATAGTGCACTAGGTGATTGAGGCTATGGCAAAGTACTCATGCAGTAAGCTGAAACAGAGAATTAGGAGAGCTGAAGTGTGAAGTATATAATGTTTAAAACATATTTGACTGAATATTTAATTCAGTAAAAATCTAAACTGATAAAACTCTGAAAATATATACAATTATCGGATCCTGTCACAGATGAATGCGACATATCCTAAGGTTCTAGAGCATGAGAATACATAGGCCTGTTTGTCATATTGTCGCAGTAAATATGAGCGACGTCAGTGTTAAATGAAATGGAAAGACAATGTCCCTCGATTGGGATCCTGTTATCACGATTACCCATCTAGGCGTAGACGTAAGTACAGCGCTTTATGAACATGACATTGTGTCAGTGAAACTAGTGAAAAGATTTAACACAATTTCTTTTTTATCATTTTCTGGCTGAAATAGTTTATACCGAAGAGTTCACTACATTCATTTACACATTCATTTTAAGAGCATATTTTATCATTAAAATGTTTTGCGAAACTGTCGAGAACCCTTCAGTTGATAAACGTTGTTCGTCACTCTTCTCATCTCTTCTGCCAGGTGTCACGGGCTGCTACAATGCTTGGGACTTCGGCATGTATCTGAGCAGCGTGGCTCCCTTGGAGACGGACGTTCTGACCCTGCAGGTGTGTGTGCAGGTGTGTCGGGGCAGGCACGTCGACGTGGCAGCTGCGTGGAGGGGGCAGTGTTACTGTTTCAGTAACATCCAGATGTCGTTGACGTCTAGAACTGAAATCAGACGATGTGACACCGCGTGTCCCGGAGACAACGACCAGAGATGTGGGGACGAGTTTGGCCAGTATCTAAATTTACTTGATATGCGTAAGTCAGCACAGAGGTAAAGGGGTTATTTATCCCTAAGATTTGCATTTTTGTTTTAAAGGAAAAACAAAGATAAATGTTTTAAACCAATCAATCATTTTCTTCAGTAATAAGGCCTCCGGCCCAAGCACAATTAATACAATGAAGATATTTTGAAACATAAGTGCAACATCGAGTATTTACAATTGTGAAAATCGGATATTGTTGGCATCTTTAATGTAATTTGCTAAATATTTTGGAACGCTTATCAACTTATCCCTTTGATTAGCATAAGTATGGACATTGAAAATGGGAATTCAAATATTTTGAACGAATATTAAGATTAGTGGCATATACAAACAAATTGAATTTTATATTCAATTACATCTAAATTACATAATGGACAGGGGCGGTCGCGTAGCCCAGTGGTTAAAGTGTTCGCTCGTCACGCCGAAGACCCAGGTTCGATTCCTGACATGGGTACAATGTGTGGTTTCTGGTGTCCCCCGCCGTGATATAGCTGGAATATTGCTAAACGCGGCGTAGAACCATACTCGCTCACTCATAATGGACAAACCGAAGTGTCTTATCGATGTCCGTTCTCCTTCCTATATATTCCAGAATTTCGTTCAACCAATAATGGAAGGAGAAATGACACGAAACCCCTTTTTCATTATTACAGTAACAATTACGCATTGTACACTTTATACTATTTCTATTGTACTTGTACGTTGAAAGTGTTTGTAGGATTACGACAGGTGAAACTAAGAAAGAGGTTTTGTGTAGTTCTTATGTTTGTCTAAATGTGCTTAAATAATAATTGTATTTGTATCTCTAAAATAAGTTAGGGAATGTCAACATGAGAGTACAAGGATAGAACGCACTGTGATTTCCAATTCTGAATTATTATGCATACCTGTCTCCAGGACAGTACGAAGATGTTGCTGGTACCTGTGCAGACCTGTACAGGCAGGGGGTCCGCATCCCCGGACCTTACCTACTGCATCGGGATGAGGACAGTTCTCCGCTCGTCCAGAACTGCTTCTATACAGGTAAAGATTGTGAGACCAACATAAGGTATTGGGCCTTTTCGAGATGGCATGTGTCGTTTTGCAAATTCTTGCACATATTAAAACTACAACCCTATCAACACATTCTTCTATTCAGAGTTGCGAGTGAACGCTGTTCCCCGTCTGGAGCTCGCTCCCGAAGACTGGCAGTATTGGAGGGGCAACTTCTACCAGTTCTTGGTGGCGTCCCAAAACGTCTTCAGCGTTGACAACGCCGGCTGTTTCAAAGAGGGAGGCGGTTACCTGACGTCTGTACTCTCCCAGGATGAACTAGACTTCATTGCTACAACAATACGAGGTTCTCAGTCCTTAAAGACCGCTAAAATATCTGTCACATCTAGCCGAAGTATATTGATGTGTATTAAAATTATCAGACGCAATATGTTTTGTTGTATATGCACATACCCAATTATTTTACATTTTGCTGATGTGACAGCAATCACAGCAAATGACCGGAACAAAGAAACAAACATTTCGTTATATCCGCCATTTCATTATAAGCGTGTTCACTATAGACATAGTTTACTGTATCTTTAAAGGTCGAAACAAATGCATATTAGTTGGCCAGGAAACCTATTTGTTTATGATCAATACAAATGTAACGATCTTGCTTCAGGATCTCCGCTCTTTGCTCCCGTTGACCAATGGCTAGTTGGTCTGACAGATGTCACACAGTCAGGCTCCCTACGTTGGGCTGGCCCAGTACTGTTTGACAACAACCCGCCCTTCTCTAACCAGTGTACAGCCGCTACACTGTGCTGCGTTGTCCGGACTGATGACAGTGTCATTCTCAGAGACTGCTACAGGACGCCAAACACCACATGGGGATACATCTGTAAACAGGAACGTGGTAAGGATCTTAATACCAAATAAAAGACAATAACTTTGTTGTGTTACATAGAAATTGTGTTTGATTGCCAATATCGTGATTTGCTTGATCCTATTCCTTTTTAGAAGATTACGAATGGCAAAAGAGGTAAATTGTTCGCATGTGCAAAATCAAATGTTGGCTAGCAAGAATTTGGTTGGCACACAGCATTTACACAACTTTTTTCGCCACTATACAAACATTCTCCTTTAGGTTTCAGAGGCTGCAGGAGGCTCCATCTCACCTCGATGGAATTCCTCCATATTGCCGACTCAGGAGACATGACAGCCTTGTTATGTAAGGAACTCTGTCGGGGGAACCTGAGTGAGCTTGCTGTGGTGTCTGGTGAGGACTGCTACTGTGTCACAGAGATCCCTTCCTCGACGGAGTTGATGACGCCTGACCACTGCGACATTCCATGTTCTGGTCATGCAGACCAGATGTGTGCAGGAGGGGGCTTGGCGCTGTGGTACAATGTGGGTGAGTGAGCAGATAGAGTCGTAAGAGCCAGCAAAACGTCCACACAATTTCTGGTGAATTGTTTTATGGGGTACAAATGTTGGTCTATCATGTTGATGCTTCTGTCGGTCTGGATGTTACAGCTTACAATAGGTCATAGCTCTCTCAACAGGTCATAGCTCTCTCAACAGGTCATAGCTCTCTCAACAGGTCATAGCACTCACAACATGTCATGGCTCTCACAACAGGCCATAGCTCTCAAAACAGGCCATAGCTCTCACAACAGGTCATAGCTCTCACAACAGACCATAGCTCTCAAAACAGGCCATAGCTCTCACTACAGGCCATAGCTCTCACAACAGGCCATAGCTCTCACAACAGGCCATAGCTCTCAAAACAGGTCATTGCTCTCACAACAGGTCATAGCTCTCACAACAGGCCATAGCTCTCACAACAGGCCATGGCTCTCACAACAGGCCATAGCTCTCACAACAGGTCATAGCTCTCACAACAGGCCATAGCTCTCACAACAGGTCATGGCTCTCACAACAGGCCGTAGCTCTCACAACAGGCCATGGCTCTCACAACAGGACATAGCTCTCACAACAGGTCATAGCTCTCACAACAGTTCATAGCTCTCACAACAGGTCATAGCTCTCACAACAGGACATAGCTCTCACAACAGGTCATAGCTCTCACAACAGGTCATAGCTCTCACAACAGGTCATAGCTCTCTCAACAGGTCATAGCTCTCACAACAGGTCATGGCTCTCACAACAGGTCAAAGCTCTCACAACAGGTCGTGGCTCTCAAGAACCCAGATTATGGTCACCTGTTTGTCAATACAGTACCGATGCTGGTGGATTTGGCCAAAGTTGTAATCATCCACGGGTTGTTACGCAGGGCTCTCCTCCCGGATTAAGATGGCAAACCGTGATATAACTAAACACTGTTGGAAACGAGTTAAACCCAACTCACCCACTGGAAGACCATGATGGTTGTAGTTGCATAATGACATAGTCAACGATTCAGTGGAATGATCCCCCGTGTCAGATAGTAGTGAGTTCAAACATGCAACAATAAACATCTCATTCCTCTTCCATCTGCAGACAAAGATAAGGTGGAATCTGTGGAGCTTGCGACAGACTGTGACCAGTTTCTGTACAATGGTTTCAACACCTCCGACACACTTCTGCTGCGGGTGACAGCCGACAACGGACAAGAAACTCTAACACATTCTGCTTGCGGCAAGTACATTTATTTCGAAAACAGATGATAAATAATAGGCACATACACTTGTAGTCGAACATCGAATATTCCGTTTTTCGCCACTTCTTATTGACTCAATACTTGACTCGAATTGACATGCCACCGAAATGATACCAAAATCATTATTTGTGTCTGTAGGTATCGACACCGACCTTGAACAGACACTAACATCAAGCACATCTCAAACCCCGAGTCTGACATTGCTGTCGAAGCAGCAAGGACCAGTTATTAGTAGTGCTCCGGTCATCCAAGATGTCTGGGAATCACCATCGAGGTCTGTTGGGTATGCATCACAGGATGTTTCGATTTCGCGGTATATCTCAACAATAACTGTACAACCTACTTCAACACTGATGCCAAGTATCATGGACTCCACACCGTCTCCAGGTTCTGAATCAACATCAGATACGACCCGTGGTCTCTCTGGCCTGAAAGTACAAAGTCCGGTTCGGTCGGATTCAAGCAGTAGTGGACTAAGATATCTACAGTCTCCATGTCGTTCCAGTGTTTCTAGTGTAGGCTTCAGTTCTCTGATAACGAGTCAAGAGATGGACAGTACTGTCGTCGGGGATTTTCTGGAGCAGTCTGCAAGTTCACGCTCTATCATCGTAAAGGGTACTGAAACACCTTTGATATTTACATCAATGCGTAGTCCAATCTCAGAAACTAGCCACACCACAAACCACCTAGACACGCTATACTCAATATCCACATCTGCATTTATCTCAAACCAAGAGACAGCCACCTTCGACCAAGGCCTTGCAACAGATGGCGACCCTGGAATCACTGGAGTCGAATCTGAGACAATCAGTTCCAGTACAACAGACAATGGCGACCCTGGAATCTCAGGAGTCGAATCTGAGACAATCAGTTCCAGTACAACAGACAATGTTGACCCTGGAATCACTGGAGTCGAATCTGAGACAATCAGTTCCAGTACAACAGACAATGTTGACCCTGGAATCACTGGAGTCGAATCTGAGACAATCAGTTCCAGTACAACAGACAATGTTGACCCTGGAATCACAGGAGTCGAATCTGAGACAATCAGTTCCAGTACAACAGACAATGTTGACCCTGGAATCACAGGAGTCGAATCTGAGACAATCAGTTCCAGTACAACAGACAATGTTGACCCTGGAATCACAGGAGTCGAATCTGAGACAATCAGTTCCAGTACAACAGACAATGTTGACCCTGGAATCACAGGAGTCGAATCTGAGACAATCAGTTCCAGTACAACAGACAATGTTGACCCTGGAATCACAGGAGTCGAATCTGAGACAATCAGTTCCAGTACAACAGACTATGGCGACCTGCTTCACCCAACATCAGAATCAGTCACCCCATCGTCCACCAAACGCCAGCCTCCCTCCGACACAACGACTGCTCCTATGATAGCAGCAGCTCCTTCTGAAGCCGTGATGTCCTCAATAACTAACAGCTCCTACATATATACATGCAGCTCCTACTATTCCGAAAACGAAGGTAACTTTATACATTTGTATAATCTGAGTGAGTGAGTATGGTTTTACGCCGCTTTTAGCAATATTACGGCGGGGGACACCAGAAATGGGCTTCACACATTGAACCCATGTCGGAAATCGAACCCGGGTCTTCGGCGTGACGAGCGAACGCTTAAGCCACTAGGCTACCCGACCACCCCTTGTATAATCTGAATTGGAAGTGTGATGAGTCAAATATTTATTTTAGTAATATGATGTCTTTAGAGAAAACAACGATTTAAGTATAACTATGTTATTTTAAAAAAAGGTGTTTTTTAAATGCATCAAACATATACTAACAGCCAAATTAAGTTTCATTTACAACAAATATTAAATACATGCAAACAACAATGGGGGCTATAAATAGCATCTTGAAAATAATCCCATTCTTGGCTACCTTAACCAATGTTACGAACGTATGATAATGTATAGACACCGATAACTACTTTATTAGAACATGGTATAAAACAGGATAAGCATGAACCAATTTTGCAACGTTTTAATGGAGGCTAAAGTTAGTTTGTTGATGCCTGTGGTCCGTGTCGACAGCCAGCAGTTGCCCCTGTCTGAGGATGCTGACTAACGCTGTAGCCTCCAGCTGCCACGCCTCCTCGGGAGCATCAGTCGTCCTCACCTGCAGGGTCGGCTGGGGGTTTCCTGAGGGACAGAGCAACCTCACTGTACAGTGCTGGGATGCGACGTGGACTCCGGAACCACTGCACTGTGTCCCAGGTGGGTCGCCAGTCTCATCTCACTACTCCTATCTTGCAGGCTTCTTTAAACAGAGTCACTTTCACAATGACAGGCATCTAAGATATTAGATGTAATGAGGTTTTATATACATAGCAGGACTAACACTTATTGTCAAGACATTATGGTTTCAGGGAAGGGAAAAGGTGAATCTTCAGCACCAGAAGACGACATGGAGTGTGTACAAGTACCCCACTTCGATTGAATGTTTTTGCTATTCATCTCAGCATTTCTTCAATTTCGTTTTACAGACATTTCTGAAGCACTATATTTGTATTTCAGCTACTTACAATTCGATATAGTTTTTTCAGATATCAACTTATTGGAGTTCCGGTGACCTTCCTGATGTACCAGTGAGACTCTCTTCCTTAGCGATGTATTAGTACAAAGATGTTGTGTTAAACACTAACAATTGATCCATCCTTAACAGGTCTATCTCCGGTGCCGTTTTTATGTTTATCATGTATGACTAATGTATGTTCACATTCCAGTTCCCTTATTATCCCCCGCCCAACAAAGTTGACTGGGGATATAGAAACGGGCTCCGTCCGTCTGTCCGCCGTCACGTTTCGTTTCCGGAGCATAACTCAGAAACCGTTCAATATTTTTTTATCAAACTTTGCAGGTTTGTCAGGTACATGCTGAACTGGTGCCTTTTGCTATTTAGAAATTTTTATTTTGACGTTTCCATGGCAGCAAGACAATGAGTGAGTTGGGTTTAACGCCGCTTTTAACAGTATTCCAGTTATATCGCGGCGTGTCAGCTTAATGTGGGAGGAAAGCCCCAAGTGATACAGGTCTCGGACGTTTACCACTTCGGTGAAACCCACGAGCAGGGGTATGGTGCTGACAAACCTAGAAACATAATCGGGGTTAACCAGGATTCGAACCCACAATCATAGGTTTCTGGCGTGCCCAAGGGAGGCAACTCTGCACAGCGAATCGCGGCGCCTTAGACGACTGGGCCACCTGTGCCCCCACGGATTCTTATATATGTTATAATCAGGCCTAGCAGTCCAGTGGGTTCTAGTGTGAGCACTGATACATGTAGACTTGCGCAGTCTCCATTGCATTATAATAACACGGAAATGTCTCACATAACCTTACAGAAGCAACCAAATACACAGGATTATTTTTTAAACATTGTTCAAAACACTTGATAAAGTAAAGTCTCTGTTTCCAGGTGTGTTAATGCATTCGGAACACCAGGGTAGAGGGAAAAGTTTATATATTCTTTTTTAAACATCATATTGGAAACAGAACAGAGTCTTCTGGTCGTCATCTATATCAATACTAACTGCAAGCCTTACATGTTTGTGCTGCTTTTGCTAGTCACGATTTATATGTAATTTTCTTTAGTGCTAGCTCATTGAGACACCATGCCACAGTTTAACACGGATACCCCACTCAGACACGACATACTGACTCGGAGCCGAACAAACCTTGGTTTATCCCCATAATGCCGAGCGCCAGGCATGGTAACAACAACTACCATCTAGGTATTTTGGTATGACGCGGCCAGGACATCGAACCACGCACCGTCCACAACACAAGTGTACTGGGACTTTCTCACACCTGGAATACCACGTGGAGATTATTTTCCTTAATCATGATCTCATACGATGTTAATGAAATGTTCTAAATGATGTTTGACAACGGCTGAAACATTCTAGTCGGAGACCCATTCTTCTGATTATTGATTTATGTCTCCATGAATCCAAAGACAGAAGGCGCCGCGATTCGCTGTGCAGAGTTGCGTCCCTTGGGCACGCCAGAAACCTATGATTGTGGGTTCGATTCTCGGTTCGCCCCTACTATGTTTCTAGGTTTGTCAGCACCATACCCCTGCTCGTGGGTTTCACCGAAGTGGTAAACGTCCGAGACCTGCATCATTTCTGCCTTTCCTCCCACATTAAGCTGACACGCCGCGATATAACTGGAATACTGTAACAGTTAAAAGCGGCGTTAGACCCAACTCACTCACTCGCTCACCCGAAGAAAGTGTGGAAAGTATGATAGAAATGTTTTGCCCTACCCTTTCGATATGCAGTGTCTCGTGACTGACCTGTGTCTCACATTGAATTCTTGTATTAAATTGTATACCAGTAAATTATATATTTCTTATAAAGTCAAAATGTCCATTTTAAACTTTGCCACATGTTCATGTAGTAATTCATTTATGTGTCAATAAATCAGATAAAACGAACGTTTAGTTTAGTTTTCATGCCCTACGTTGTATTATTTCAGAATGGTTGGTTGGTTGGTTTGTTGTTTAACGCCGCACTCAGCTATATTCCAGCTATATGACGGCGGTCTGTAAATAATGGAGTCTGAACCAGACAATCCAGTGATTAATATCATGAGCATCGATCCACGCAATTGGGATCGATGACATGTATCAACTAAGTCAGCGAGCCTGACCACCCGATCCCGTTAGTCGCCTTGTACGACAAGCATAGTCGCCTTTTACGGCAAGTATGGGTTGCTGCAGACCTATTCTACCCCGGAATCTTCACGGGTCTTCAGAATGGTAATTGTGATCACCTCTGTGTCAATGGTTAAAAGGTTCTTTCATATCTGTATTCCTCGTCAGTTTGAAGATGGTATGTCTGTGATCTGCAATATTTAAATATTTTGTTCAGAGTGAGCGATCTGTATTTAACGGCTTGTCTCGGTTGTGAATACTTGGTCAGAGAGTGTTTGTTGTTTAACGCCGCACTCAATAGCAGCAATACTCCAGCTACATGACGGCGGTCTGTGAATAATTAAGTCAATTCAGTGATTGACATCATGAGCATCGATCTACGTAATTGGGATACGATGACATGCATCAACCAAGTCAGCGAGTCTGACCATCCGATCCCATTAGTCGCCTCTTACAGGCGTAGTCGCCTCGTAAGCTGAAGACCAATTCTGTTTGGGTTGGTTTGTTGTTAAACGCCGCACTCAGCAATATTCCAGCTATATGACGGCGGTCTGTAAATAATCAAGTCTGGACCAGACAATCCAGTGATTGATATCATGCGCATCGATCCACGCAATTGGGATCGATGACATGCATCAACCAAGCCTGACCACCCGATCCCGTTAGTCGCCTTTTACGACAAGCAAAATCACCTTTTTCGGCAAGCATGGTTGCTGAAGACCTATTCTACCCCGGATCTTCACGGGTCCTGTTTGGGGAGTGAGTGGAAATATGTTCAATATGGTATTGTCTCTGGTGGGTTCTAAGCAGAGAACAGTGGAAGAAATGAGTCCCTACAGGATAACTGTTCAGATGATGTCAAGTTCATAGGGGTCATGACACATGGAAAAGTTCAACATAAGTATTGTGTGTAACTACCTCTTCCTTGAAGACAATCAAGATAATGTTACTGTTAATTAGACGTTGAAAAGACATCTAGGGAAATGTCTGTCATTCAGCTTGAAGATACTGTCCCAATTCCCTGATATTTGTAGGTGGTTCATGGTTGTTTTATACGCTTCTACCCAGTTCGTCCCATGCATGTTCAATCGCAGCCAAATCGGGATAGTATGCTGTCCAAGACAATTTGTTCTTCGTCTTGTTGACTTAGAAACTAGGTCACCACCGTTGCACGGTGTGGTCCAGCATTACCCTCCTGACATATGGAACCTTGGCCGACAATGTGAATTCCTATGTTGAACAACGTCGTCCTGATATCTGAAACCAGTGACGTGTCCATGGACGAGGAGAAAGGGAGTCCTGTGGTGAACGGATATCCTGGCCCGTACCATCACACTTCCCCTACCATACTGTGACAACATCTGATAATGGCGAATATCTCCCGGACGTCGAGATAAAAACTACTCTGGCATCGTTAAACTGCCAGGTGAAATGTGATTCATCTGTAAAAAGAATCCTTCGCCATTCTGCCGGTGTCCAGCGTCGCTGGCGTCTTCATCAGTCGAGAGTGCCACACGTGATGTCGAAGAAGTGGTGGATGACTACTAGATGTCGACTGCATGTATTGTAGGTCCGCAGACCGTTGTGTATTGCCTGGTCGGAAGCTTGACAATGTATCCTTCTTGACGGATTTATTTTTGTATTAGACCTACTAGTAATGAGTGAGTGAGTGAGTGAGTATGGTTTTACGCCGATTTTAGCAATTTTCCAGCAATATCACGGCGGGGGACACCAGAAATGGGCTTCACACATTGTGCCCATGTCGGGAATCGAACCCGGGTTTTCGGCGTGACGAGCGAAATCTTTAACCACTAGGCTACCCGACCACCCCTTACTAGTAATGAATAAGAAAAGAATGGGTAACTTGGTAACGTTGCTATGATCTGCCAATGAAACTCTGGCTAATATTTAATGTGAGAGCCACATTACTTTGCTTAAGGCCACGTGGTAAAAGGCCAGTCTTCAAGAGATGAGCAAGTTAATGCTAAGCATATGCATGCTGAACCTGTACAGATGCATCACAATGCACGTGCATACCATGAATAAGAACGTCAGGTTAGAATGTCACACGTTTCATTCCCCGTAGTCATGTTCATTGCCACTTGATTTTGACTTCGATTCTGTCATTTTGCCATAAGTGCTGGCACCAGTGGACTGATGCCCAAGTCAAATTCTGAATCTCATCTTACAAATTTCTCTGGCATTTCACTCACTTGTTTTATCACAATCATATATGTTCCTGGGTTTACCTAAATGTCCAATGGTAGTGCAGAAATATGTTCGCCTTAAGCATACAAATAGACATATGTTCTTAAAACAGCAACAGAAAATATAAAATCAAGTCGTTCCTAGATGGAGATTAAGAGTTTATTTGGTCCCTGATTTATTTATAGTCCAAACATCTGTACAGTGGAAATCAAACAACACATACACAATATATGGAATTGATACAGGTAAAAACAAACTGGAGCACAACGTTTGAGCAACACAATAATGAAGCAGCACAGTATGCAGCAAGCAGATTGTCGAGGAACGACAAGCACGACACACGCAGGGTACACAGGCGGATTGTTCTGTGACAGATCAAACTGAGTGTAATGTCAAATCAATGGAATGCTTTTCATGGCCCAAGTCAGACAGTTTGAGGATGCCTGAATGAATCGTAAATAAACATCGTAGATTAGCACAAGGATGCTGACTGCGTGTATCATCTATACATTCTTATCCTGTGTCAGTTCAAGACATTTAGAGTTAAGATACTACTTCAGGGCAAGACTGATGCTATCGTTGTTACTAGAACCTACAAAACATGTTTGTTAAATTTGTCATGGGAATGTAATAAATATAACAAATCTGCAGAAAACGGTATTAATAGCACTACTTTCTAAAGGAGCCGTTCAAATGTTTCTTGAAACACGAAAAACATAGTTCCGTAAGTTTGAGACACCACACCACACTAACAATGTTCACATCCTCGAAGAGATTCTTTCGTCAAGTCCACTTCGCAAGGATTAATAACATAGCGTTTTTGAGTATGTCATGCTGCTTTTCACTGAGCTGTTTTTACACCTTCAATGAAGATGGTGTTTATGTTAGGATAAAACCATTACAGTTAGTTGTGGACGTGAACTGCATGTACATCCCTGAAATGTTTATTTTGTCAGATGAAAAAGCTGTAGATCAACCACCAACCAATTTAAGGAATTAAAGATTTTACCCCATATCAAACTGTTGAACTGCCCCCTTAGTTCTTTGAGTGAGTGAGTGAGTGAGATGGTTTTACGCCGCTTTTAGCAATATTCCTGCAATATCACGTCGGGGGACACCAGAAATGGGCTTCACAGATTGTACCCATGTCGGAAATCGAACCCGGAAATCGAACCCGGGTCTTCGGTGTGACGAGCGAACGCTTTAACCACTAGGCTACCCGACCACCTCTAGTTCTTTGAAATGACACAAGATCAAGACAATAAAGAAGAAACATTTGGTGTTTCTTCAAGGGTAGGAGCCAGTCTGATTTTGGCTCTGGCATGCTTGATACATGTCGGGCAATAATACATATTTGATAGGACTATCATTTGAACAGTAACTGAATAATAAGATGTGAATGTGGAGTATGTTTCACCCCTTTCCTTGACATTATGCATCAAATAACAAATAAGGTGAAAATATACAAATCAAGATTTTCTGTAGACTCTTTGATAGTGGAATTTAGTGTAAATATTTTTAATCAATATATATTTATCTACAACTATTATTAGTAAATGAACACAAACATTTTCTAACTACATAACATTAGTAAAGTTAACATAGATAAACGTTTAATTTCTATACAGAAACATGAGCCATTCGGTATACTGATTGGATGCTACACAATGGATTAGTAATCACACATTTATAATAGAATAAAAATAAATACAATCATCATATAAACTCAACAGTATTCTTATTTAGTTCTCTCCTGTGTAGTCCAGTGGACCTGCACCACAGACCTGTCAGGACGAGCCACACACACATGTATACGCCCATTAGTAACCCCACTCTACCTCCTTCAACACTGGGGGCACGGGTGGGCCAGTCGTCTAAGGCGCCGCGATTCGCTGTGCAGAGTTGCGTCCCTTGGGCACGCCAGAAACCTATGATTGTGGGTTCGAATCCCAGTTCGCCCCGATTATGTTTCTAGGTTTGTCAGCACCATACCCGTGCTCGTGGGTTTCACCGAAGTGGTAAACGTCCGAGACCTGCATCACTTCGGGCTTTCCTCCCACATTAAGCTGACACGCCGCGATATACCTGGAATACTGTTAAAAGCGGCGTTAAACCCAACTCACCCACTCACACTCCTTCAACACTAGCACACCTACCACTTATAGATAATTTTCCTTTCATCCATGTAGATTACCATCCTATATTCATTACTAGAACTAAGCTGACCAAACTCACATCATCTCTTGTATAACATAGGTTAAGATGAGGAAAGCAAGGTCTACTGTTTTTTGTGTGTGAAAAAAAACAATTGTTCCAGAAAACCCTGAACAAAACAATTTTGCCCCAGATTTTATGACAAAAGAAAATTGTTTACTGAACATGCTGTACATCTTGAACAAAAACGTGAAGAACATACTTGCATAACAGAAGGAAAGCTGTTGGTCTTGAACTAGTGACTGAAAAGATATACTGTCTCTGCCTATAAAGACCTGTCCTCCTCAGAAAATCAAATGGTCAGTACCTCCCAGTCAAAGGCTTCTTTGGTAGGATGTATCTAAATGTAAGTGCAGGTCTGATTTATTAAGTACATAATGTTAGATTTTGTCAGAACTGAATCTGTTATCTGTGAGATATATTATGATGTGCAGTGTTGTGTACAGATTATTCAGAATGGTGACTGGTTCTTGGACAAATGCAATATTACCCCCCAGGGCCCCGTTCCACAAAGCGATCTTAGCGCTACGATTGTCGTTAGTCAGTGTTAAAAGAATGGGAGTTACGATCGACTTAGCGCTAAGATCACTTTGTGGAACAGGGCCCTGGACTTTATACTCAACTACTTAGTTTTTGCATAGCTATAAATAATACAGCCACACTTAAAATATTTACATTGCAGATTATATTAACATCGAGGTGTACAACTAAAAATAAAACAGGCATATTTGTCAAAATATAAGATCTGGTAAACCTCCATCTCATACTTTCAAACTTATGCCATCACAGAATAATGAGTGAGTGAGTGAGTTGGGTTTAACGCCGCTTTTAACAGTATTCCGGTTATATCACTGTGTGTCAGCTTTATGTGGGAGGAAAGCCCGAAGTGATGCAGGTCTCAGACGTTTACCACTTCGGTGAAACCCATGAGCATGGGTATTGTGCTGACAAACCTAGAAACATAATCGGGGCAAACCGGGATTCGAACCCACAATCATAGGATTCCAGGGACGCAACTCTGCACAGCGAATCGACCCCCCATCACAGAATAAACAGGCTACTTACAGCTCTTGGCAACTTCATCTTATGAACACAACAAGCGGATCTACTATTGGTAAAGGGATGGAGACATTTAACAATTCATTTTGATTTGAAGATTAAATATAAAATAAAAAAATGATATGTACTGGACTATTTAAGTCAACTTAAAACTTGAGGCAGCCATGGACTACTATACTAGCTCTGACGTAGTGTAAGGTCTTTACAATGTAAGGTCTTTACATATTCATGTCAACAAATGAAGTTCATTGTGTAGTGATCACTACCGATATGTTGTTATTGTGGAGGTCAGACAATACAAATCTTCCACCAGTTCTTGTGTTACACCCACCGTTAATCTCATGAAACTTGGTATAGGAATAGGTAGTAACAACACTGACAGTTGTCTAATCCTCTTTATAGTTCTACAAAATATATGGATGATGCATGCCTCCATGTTTGAATGTTGCATTATGGCATCAGTAATACCTTGTAGTAACAAGCATTATGTGTGGAAGAACTACACAATGTTGAGCACATCTTAGGTCAGTATTATTATGGATGGGTTTTCATTATCTGAGATGCCCAACTCATGTAATAGTATCATATTTGCAGAATCTTAATCATGTTTCAATTTGTTATTTTTCATAACATGGACATATCGTCATGACATAAAATGCACTTCAATCTCAAGAAATGGTGAAATTTCTTAAGAATGTCCCTTCTAAATCTGCCTCCAGCATCACAAACCATTATGAAAAATTCAGACTACAGTAAATATATTATGCAGTTAATAAGAAGCTGTAAACTTATTCAAACTACTGTCAGCAACAAGAAGGCATCACTTACAAAGAAGCAAACACAGAAATTTTCTTGCGAACTTCAATCACACAGAAGAACTTTAGCCAAGACATTTTTACAGCCACTTGACAAAAACGTTTTTCATTTTCCTGTTATGATTAAAAACCTTTAAAACCTCATTAGTTCACCATTCTTAAACCTTCATGGTGATGTATCATTATTGGCTTTGTGTTTGATACAGAGCCAGGAATTCACTAGACATTTCGGATGTGCATTTTAAGCATGTAAAACTGATGCAACTATAGGTCATTATGCAAAAACATAGAGAAGTTATGTATCAACCCTAACATGGCTTAAATCGGAGAAGTCACTCAGATCTGTTGATGCCAGAGTAGAATCAACAGATGCTCATGATTTCGCCAATACATTGGCCATAGGAGTGTGTCATAAGTTGAGTTAATATTGAACTAGCTTGCAGTAACTGGCTTCTGTGGGAACTGATGCCCTGCACAATCTAGGGACTGTGACTAAGGTGAGTCAGTAACTAACCAACAAGTTACGAGGAATAACGGATTATCTCAATGACCTGTGCAAGCCATGAGGCTTTGGTAATAAACGTACAATATTCTTTCACGAGGGAAAGGTAATCCTTAATTTTGAGTACTTAGTAGCTTATTCTATATTTGAAACATTGACATGTAAAAAATATATGACGGAATCTAGGTGTTGCAAGTTAACACTTTAACCACTGTGCCACCCAACCATTGATGTATGGACTGGGTCTGGGAACGGTTACATGGGTATTTCATGGGGTAGATGGGGGTACTAGGGACAGGAGCTAAGGAACCTATACCCCTCCTTCATCTAATGAACAATTAAAAATAATAATATCTAATCCAAACACAATGAAATGTTTGCTGTTGATATACAGTGTGGTTAAAAGTATGTATTGTGTTCTGTGTGTTTATACTGTGTAACTGCAAAATCAATGAACATGAGAAACCAACAATTCACAAACAAATACTTGTGTTCATTACCGGTAGCTTATTAATAAGTAATTGTTGCCTGGCTTAGTTGCTCTGTTACCTTGGCACATATTGGCCATATCCAAGCCCACCACGTCCCTAGTAAAGACGGTAAATATACCTTCATAATCCTTGCAAGAAGCATAGCATTCAGGACTGCAGCTTTTGTTTATATCCTGTAGCACAAGATAAGGTATTTGTTCAGCTACCCACACAGAATACAAATACATTTGTACTAAAAACACTGTCAGAGAACGAAAAAGAATTTCAAATGTCATTTAAAGCATCAATGCATCAAGGACATATTTCTCCAAGGTCATCAGCGGATTTCTAAAACATTTACATATATCAGATTCTTCAAAATATATGGGTTGATGGACATGAAGCACCATATTACTGACTTATTCATCAAGGAATGTCACCACACACTGATATAAAGGGTTTCATTGAACTCAAACTGACACAATGCTGTTGAGTATTTCAGACGTGTACAGCTTCCAACACACACATACTCAGTAAATCCATTGGCTACTCAGAAGAAGCAGCAATTGTGCAGTGGAACCAAATGTGGTATAAGGGTTGTCTCGGGTTGATGAGATGGGTTCCTTTCGTTTCAAGTTTGAAAGCTTAGTTACAGTTCACATTTAATTTATTGACACTGAAAAGGCTTGCAGAACAGTTTCTGCAATTGTGACAATGTAGACTTGATGTTTGTATTGTCTATAAAATGAGCTTAGAAACACGCTTTAAAAAAGTACAAGTGATTTCCTGTAATAAAGTCTATGTTAAACACTGCTGTCAAAAATACCTCACAATGCATGGTTTCGGGACATTTTGAAGTAGTTGAAAGGAGAGCTGTAGGTTTGGAGTTCATTCAGATCGGACTTGGGAATATTGTGAAAACAGAAACTAAATTAACCTATCATGGAAACTTTCACTGAACCTTTGACAAACCCCTTGACTGAAAACAACATATTAACAGAATAACAATAATTTGTTGCAAAAACATCAAAATAGGACCAAGGTAGTAGAAGACATACCATACATAACCCAGGACATTCATGTGGAACCAAACATAACCGAAATAACACCAAAAATCAACATATTAAATATTTCCAAAATAGACCAATACGTGGACAAAATAGGGTTAAAAACTAATCTCCATTTGATACTGTACTGAGAGGAATGTGTACAAAATATATCTTCCCAAAATAGGGTTATTTACAGTAAAAAGATAGAAATTTGTTATGTACAAGTCATCACAAGACATGAGGCAATTTGTACTCTATTATTGCAGTTCGTCTACATACCATCCTCACGTCCTCCAGGAACCATCATCTGCTGTGATACCTTGATATCCAGGATTCATGACAAACACCATCACTTATTTCAAGCAAGGTCCACTTGCCATGGTCAGAGACTATCATAGCTCCAAATGTTAACCAACTTATGGTTGTCATGACACCACAATTCCTTGTGTTCCAAGGAGCACCATCCAGATCAAGCTGCACCATCACTTAGTACGTTAACACTGATCAGTCAAAGTATCATCGTAGTCTCTTTCTTTTTGTAGTGATGTGAATTCAATATAAAAGAAATTTGACATCTTTGTTCTCTGAAACTACTCAATGAAAGAAGCCAGCTTGCTAACTCCGTGTCAATGGCTAGAGAGACTGTTGGGGCTAAAACATGTCTGGGTGCCCTGTGTGGCTTTAACCAAGGTACAAGATGATGGCTCTGTACCACTGTTTTTCTGTTGCATGTGTGTCTCGCCCATAGATGCCAGTCCAGGCATATTTTGAAATGTGCAGCAACATATTCAGCAATAGAATAACCTTACACAAGTAGAGTCTGTGCCAAAAGCTTTTGAATCCATTAAACCAAAGTGTCATTTTCAGTAGATTTCAGCAATACATTAGCTGAGCTTACTTGTCCGAAAATGTTTTTTTCTCGAAAATTCAGACTTTGGACAAGTGATCTAGGTGACAGACTGAGTGTATGAAGACAGTACCATTGGTCAACCTGGCCACTAGTTTCCACAGACGGAGTGTATGAAGACAGTACCATTGGTCGACCTGGCCACTAGTTTCCACAGACGGAGTGTATGAAGACAGTACCATTGGTCGACTTGGCCACTAGTTTCCACAGACGGAGTGTATGAAGACAGTACCATTGCTCGACCTGGCCACTAGTTTCCACAGACGGAGTGTCTGAAGACAGTACCATTGGTCAACCTGGCCACTAGTTTCCACAGACGGAGTGTATGAAGACAGTACCATTGGTCGACCTGGCCACTAGTTTCCACAGACGGAGTGTATGGAGACAGTACCATTGGTCAACCTGGCCACTAGTTTCCACAGACGGAGTGTATGAAGACAGTACCATTGGTCGACCTGGCCACTAGTTTCCACAGACGGAGTGTATGAAGACAGTACCATTGGTCGACCTGGCCACTAGTTTCCACAAGGACACAACAGATTGGACAGCGTTTGTTTGTGGAGAGTGACAGTGCAGTTGCTGCATCCTGTACAGGACGAAGAAGATGATAGATCCTGGAGAACCTTCAGTCTACATTCTACGTATCAGTCACGGACACGGACACCATGTCATCCCTAGATCAAAGGTATAGTCTTATGTCAACATTTGAATTATTTTCCTTAAGATTCACTCAAAAATTACCGTTTCACAGCCATCCTTTTAAATCAATGATGAAGAGCTGGACAATGGTGCTATTAAACAATTTCTGACATCCAAAGATCGGGATTGGTTGAGTATTGTATAAATGGTTTTTTAAAAGTTTTTTTCAAACATGTCAATGCGTAACTAATCTCAACATGTTAAAATTTCAGAATACCGTATTAGATCCAATACATGCTATATTCTATACAATTGCTCACACAATATACATACCATCTGTAGTGTCCACACATATATACACTGCCTCCTCTACATGGCTATGTACTGTACACAAAACAGTCACAGATTAAAACTGCAATCACATACATAAACAACCAACTGCTTGTCACAGGTAATATTATTATTATCAGGGATATTGAAAGTGTTTTCCTTCCATGAAGGCCTATATATATCACTGCTGTCTTCAGTCACAGACAATCAACCAGTCACATATGCTAGCGATGACACTCCACTCACATCAGTTCTCATGGATGGTGACAGCACTGAATATTCCATGGTCAATCTTGCTGTCACACAAACATCAATACTATGTCACACATGGTCACAGATGACAGCCTTGTTTTCAAAGACCTGCTATTTGTCTCAAAGACAACCAGTTGTCTCGAAATGAAATACAGAGTTCCACAGCTTGTCACAGATAAAGTCCATTGTCACACAAAATATTAAATCTCTTCTAATGAATAGGAATCAGTTGAAAGACAGAAGAATACAAGGTAAATGGAATGCAAATATTAAAAACGGTTGGTCAGATAGTATTCTCTACTGATAGGGCCTACACAACACAAGCTACAATGTATTCTTAATACTAAAACACTTCCTGTACATGTCTGGAATAGTGGTTTCTACACACTCTATGGATAGAGAAATTCACCAATCGTACAGAGATTATGACAAGGCATATATACATAAAACAGGTTCATACAGCATTAGGAATTAACAAGTAAATGCATAAAGACATACAGTGAAACCCTGGTAGTCAGGAACCTGTTTATCCTCAACCCTTCCATATGATTACTGTTGAGAAGATCTATCCATAACGATAGATCCATTACTAATGGTTTCCAAATGAGAACACTGTAAGTAGCTACCAGGAACCCTGGACTCCAGGAACTCCTGGAACTCCAGAACTCTGTCCAGGTTACCAGGATTTCACTGGATACAGCAGGGATGGTTATTACACTTGCACCTAGCCAGTCAGGCACATAGTATTATGTCAGTCGTTCCCCTCATTGGGAGTACATATCTCACAACTGATGTAGAAACCAAGCTCATGAATGTGTGTGGAGAAGGATATCGTTGATCAAAATGAACTACAAAATGTCTTTTTTTTAATAACACTGGAGTGTTTCAACATAAGTTGTTAATTTGAACAATCTTATCTGATTTCATGAGATTGTTTATCTAATGATATATTGACAACACAACTTCTGGCAGTCAATATCTGGAATAGTCCAGCTGAGATCATTGATGATATATCCTGAACATTAAACGACATGGATCGGCCACACAGAAGTGACATGTAATGCAAGTCAATATGTATGTTCCTCACAATCCCATCATTTTGAACACACTCGATCTAAATGTTATTTTCAAAATAAAATTCTTTGTTCTTTTTCACAGAAGATAATCTTGCAACTTTCACAAATTCATAGGAAAGGACAAACTAATTTTCAAAACAGTAATTAAACAAAGCAAAAATAATCTTAGGTCCAGTGATGGCACGTCTCTAATTTCAGTGGCTGAAGAGCAAAACAAACATTTATTTATCCATTTTCTAATTGCTGAAACAATCATGGCATATAATCCCAATCTCTGCAAGATGATGAGTATCATCTAATTATGATCGCCATGACTACACATGAGCATCAAATTGCTGTTACATGTATAACCTTCAAGATATTTGGCACTCCAGTACCGTGTGAACTTGAAAGATGGTATTGCAATTAAACAACTGTTATACCTGCATCCTTATGTAGACAGAAGGTGTTTCAGTACAAGTACAAGTAGCAAGTGCTTCATTAAAGTACTAGTGCTTGTACCAAGAAGCTGCTTTGTAAATGAATACAAGTCACTGCTGTCTTCACTGGTATTACACTGGCTTCTAAATGCCTCTTGAAGGTACTGTGATGACTGTTTAGGTTGTTATCATGGTAGCTCTGTCTTGCTGCATGGATTGAGACAGTTTAGTTTTCACCATCACCAGTATCAGAATGTTGCATTCACTACAGAATAACTCTATAGTAAGTAGCTCCCTCTCAAATGAAATTAACCCAAAGACAAATCTTTGCACTAATGTTGGTCCCAGTGCAAAGAATGTAACCCAATGCTGCAAAATATTGCATAAAAACATAAAATTCCCTTGGTTGTACATGGCAATACTAGAGATGATACTTGGTTTATCATGAGATAGTCTTCTATGGATTTCTGTTTGCACCAGGAATACATCACAAGGTTGACAGTGATTGCAAGAAGTCAGTGTTGGCAGAAATAATCCATGATGGACACCAGATGAACACATGGCCAGCGTGTCAGCACTCACATCTGTCTTGATCATGTCGGAAAGGATCCTTTCCAAAATCATTTCACAGAGCCTTTAGGGAAACCAACAGATGCTCATATACCACACCTAGACACAAACACTGAAGGACCTCCAATAGTAATGATAGATCTGATGATCCTCCAATAGTAATGATGGATCTGATGGTCCTCCAGTAGTAATGATGGATCTGATGGTCCTCCAGTAGTACTGATGGATCTGATGGTCCTCCAATAGTATTGATAGATCTGATGGTCCTCCAGTAGTATTGATGGATCTGATGGTCCTCCAGTAGTATTGATGGATCTGATGGTCCTCCAATTGTAATGATGGATCTGATGGTCCTCCAATAGTAATGATGGATCTGATGATCCTCAAATAGTATTGATAGATCTGATGGTCCTCAAATAGTATTGATGGATCTGATGGTCCTCCAGTAGTATTGATGGATCTGATGGTCCTCCAATAGTACTGATGGATCTGATGATCCTCAAAAAGTATTGATGGATCTGATGGTCCTCCAATAGTAATGATGGATCTGATGGTCCTCCAGTAGTAATGATGGATCTGATGGTCCTCCCATTTTCATCCAGGTTCCATTGGTTTAAGGTGATAAGACGTAGTGTTCATGAGGCACATCATCGGCCCCTGGTTCCTCTGCCTGGCACTATGCCTTCAGCTTGGCTTTATAATGCTGTTTGGAGATGCCATTCAGGGGCTTCTGTATGTGTCCATTTGGTTTCTTGCTGTTCACAAACAGGGTTTCCTCCTCACTGGAGAAGTCAGATTCCGAGATCATCACACTGCTGTTCTGGATCTTACCTGCAATCACATCAAGGCATTGACATGTGTTATGAATATGTGGCTATCGTCTTGGCTTTCTTAACTTATTCCAAGAAAAGCAATTCCAGCAGAATGTCCTCTTGTCTGGTGATAAAAATATCATCTTAATGAAAAATATATAGAATAACTCAGACAGAAGGAATGTAGGTACAACTTTAAGCTCTTTCCAACCCCTCTGTCATACTGTCCTTGTGGCAATCCACGGCACTCACCTTTTGGCATCAGTTCTAGCTTATTCTTATCTTCCTCATCATCTACCTCTCTCAGTAGGGAATATCTGTGTCGCTTACGTGACTTCCACCGACACCTGGCAACACACAATACACCCATCAACTCACAGTTTAACACCCAATACACCCATCAACTCACAGTTTAACACACAATACAGCCATCAACTCACAGCTTAACACAGAATACACCCATCAACTCACAGTTTAACACACAATACACCCATCAACTCACAGTTTAACATGGAATACACACATCAACTCACAGTTTAACATGGAATACACACATCAACTCACAGTTTAACATGGAATACACCCATCTAATCCCAGTTGAACATGGAATATACCCATCAAGTCCCAGTTGAACATGGAATACACCCATCAGCTCACAGTTTAACATGGAATACACACATCAACTCACAGTTTAACATGGAATACACCCATCTAATCCCAGTTGAACATGGAATACACCCATCTACTCCCAGTTTAACATGGAATACACCCATCTAATCCCAGTTGAACATGGAATATACCCATCAAGTCCCAGTTGAACATGGAATACACCCATCAACTCACAGTTTAACATGGAATACACACATCAACTCCCAGTTGAACATGGAATACACCCATCAACTCCCAGTTGAACATGGAATACACACATCAACTCCCAGTTGAACATGGAATACACCCATCAACTCCCAGTTGAACATGGAATACACACATCTACGCCCAGTTTAACATGGAATACATCCATCTACTCCCAGTTGAACATGGAATACACCCATCAACTCCCAGTTGAACACGGAATACACCCATTTACTCCCAGTTTAACATGGAATACACCCATCAACTCCCAGTTTATCACAGAATACACCCACCAACTCCAAGTTTAACATAGAAATCACCCAACAACTACTAGTTTAACATAGAATACACCCATAAACTCCCACCAACCTACAGTTTAACATCTTCAGGGACCAGATGCACTGACCCAATGAACAGAGCAACTTAGAATCATCTGAAGAAGTTGAGTACAGGACAAGGCAGCATAAGGGCCCATCATGAGGAAAATCTTTACACTAAATGCACAGGCAAGTGTCATAAAGGCAGATTTGTTAGGTTTTCAGGAAGCGTTTTCAAATATTTCAAGATGACAAAGTCCTTGGACAAAGCTGACTTTCTAGGAGATGGTAGATAAAACCATTACAAACACATGGCACACACTTCATTTCAGGTCACAGACTTGCTCATACACATATACCAACAAAAATAAGAATTTTGTTAATTGTTACACTTAGGAAGTGTTTTTCACATCACAAACAAACCACTACCTGGTCTTTTCCCATTCACCAGTGCAGACTAACAGACCAGCGTACCAGGTGTACACCAGCCTGTGGCCAGTGTAACCCAACAGGCCAGAAATACAGCACCCTTCATTGCCCACAGTAAGAGTCTGGATGAAGCAGGATGGGGAATAGGTGAGGGAGCTGGGTGGTTTGGGGAGAGGGAAAGTGGGGGGTTTAAGGGGGGCACATTGCAATGATGGAGATGGCTAGGGGTCAGGGAGAGCCAGTGGGATAAAGAAATGGCTGGGGGAAAGGGGGGCACATTGGTGTGAGGGAAATGGCTGAAGGTAAGGGGGCACCTTGGTGTGAGGGAAATGGGTGGAGGTAAAGGGGCACCTTGGTGTGAGGGAAATGGGTGGAGGTAAGGGGGCACCTTGGTGTGAGGGAAATGGGTGGAGGTAAGGGGGCACATTGGTGTGAGGGAAATGGGTGAAAGTAAGGGGGCACACTGGTGTGAGGGAAATGGGTGGAGGTAAAGGGGCACATTGGTGTGAGGGAAATGGGTGGAGGTGAGGGGGCACATTGTGTGAGGGAAATGGGTGGAGGTAAGGGGGCACATTGGTGTGAGGGAAAAGGGTGGAGGTAAGGGGGCACCTTGGTGTGAGGGAAATGGGTGGAGGTAAGGGGGCACCTTGGTGTGAGGGAAATGGGTGGAGTAAGGGGGCACACTGGTGTGAGGGAAATGGGTGGAGGTGAGGGGGAACATTGGTGTGAGGGAAATGGGTGGAGGTAAGGGGGCACCTTGGTGAGGGAAATGGGTGGAGGTAAGGGGGCACCTTGGTGTGAGGGAAATGGGTGGAGTAAGGGGGCACATTGGTGTGAGGGAAATGGGTGGAGGTAAGGGGGCACATTGGTGTGAGGGAAATGGGTGGAGGTTAGGGGGCACACTGGTGTGAGGGAAATGGGTGGAGGTAATGGGGCACCTTGGTGTGAGGGAAATGGGTGGAGGTAAGGGGGCACATTGGTGTGAGGGAAATGGGTGGAGGTGAGGGGGCACACTGGTGTGAGGGAAATGGGTGGAGGTAAGGGGGCACATTGGTGTGAGGGAAATGGGTGGAGGTGAGGGGGCACACTGGTGTGAGGGAAATGGGTGGAGGTAAGGGGGCACCTTGGTGGAGGGAAATGGGTAGGGAGTGAGGAAGAAACCCATGACCAACATGCATGGAGTGCCAAGACTGCCCAAAGAAACATAAATCCAGATCCCTGTTGTTCTTACTTCACATAACTAGTCGAAGTTCATAATGTAATCAGTGTCTGTTTTTCATGGATATTCAGAACAACAACAAAGAAATCCGATCAATTGTCATTTTTCATTAACATGTTTCCTGTAGTCCCTGGGTTAAATTTTTTGTTGCAAATTGATTCAAAAATGAAACCTAGATATTGAAAAATATAAAATTCTAACCACTGATTTGAACTCAAATTCCTCACAATTAACATGTAGGGAATGTGGAGGTGCAGGAATAGATAGTATCATACCAAGGGGCATAACTCTAGTTTCCAGCTATTTTACCCTTTTGGAAGTCTCTTCACATATCATATAGGATTTCATACTAAATGAGCATCGTGTGGGTTTAATCCTCCATGACTACATCCTGTACATGGGTTACATCACACTGATTACATTACACAGTGAGTGAGAACAAGAGAATGCTGAGCAGATAAAAAACAAGGCTGAACGTACAGATGAACTGGGACTGGAGAGTACCTGTATGTCCTGTAAACAACAGTCACCATCTTAGCAAACTAAACACTGGTAGCAAACTGGGAGAACACCTCCACCAATAACACACTGGAAAACTCCAATGTGAACATGGAAACACTGGTTCAATCAAACCGTCATCCATACTTAACTACATAACTCCCATACTTTAACATAGGCTAGCCGCTTTGTGTAGCGGAACCCTGGTTCCTATTGCCTCCAATACCAAGTCAAGTTTGGGTCAAGTATGTCAAGCACATGAGCACAATTGGGCACCTTATGATGGAAATGAAGCACTATATAAAACTACTACTGCTGCTGCTGCTGCTGCTGCTGCTGCTGTTGTTGTTGTTGTTGTTGCTGTTGTTGTTGTTGTTGTTGTTGTTGTGATGATGGTGTTATTTTTGTTGCAAATGGCAATGAGGTTGTTTTGTCAAATGTTAACTTGTGTTTTCAGTCATATGGAAATTAGGCTATTTTCATATCTATGTCGATTAATTATATAAATTGCCCATGTCAAGAACGTTATTGTGGTAAAATATGTCAACCAGGATATTTTGTCCCATGTCAAGCATATACCTTTTTTCACACATCAGTCAGGATATTCTGTCACATGTCAAGCATGTACTTTTTGTCAAATGTCTGTCCGGATATTTTGTCAATCTAGTCAACAATCAGTTACCAGTAATGCCATACATGTCAATTTGGTTATTGTGTAAATCAGGTAAGATCATGTTTCATGTTGTCGTTGCATTACTTTAAAATAATTCCTCATACTGCAAAGCTCTCATCATAAACTCTCTAAATGATCAGTTTGATATCTTCATCTTTTTTTTTTCAGTCAGTTAGTAACAGATCATATAACAGGTGGATACAGTGTTAATAACATATCAATTCAGTTAAACCTCATTAACTTGATATAACTATATTACCTCACAGTTGGGTGAAAAGAAGAAAACAAACTACCAATAAGTCATCCCCCTAAAAAAGGCTCAGATACATGGATTGGGACATCACATTCAGATACACTCAAACATGGATTAATCCAAAATACATAACTTAAGTGGCATATTGGGAACAACTTTTTTTGTTCAAAGATGATATTTTCCTAAATTTCATAGGTATTTTAGCATTGTATTCTAAAACTGAATTCAATGCAGTAATGTAAAGCTGCCCTCCTCTAACGAGTAACCTCTAGAGAAGCTTAACATTGGTTATAACCATGACAGCATAATTTGTAATTCCAATTAGGGATTTTTCACTGAATTTGACATTGGGCTGAATACCGGCCTCTGAGGTGGTCTATGTAAATCCCTGCACCATGAACTTAATTTGGGTTAAATAGTAACGCATAAAAAAAGAAACAGTCCTATGAAGTGACTCATTTGAGTGAGTGAGTATGGTTTTACTCCGCTATTAGCACTATTCTTGCTTGACGAGCGAACGCTTTAACCACTAGGCTACCTGACCGCCCCTGACACATTTGAAGTGAGATACTGAGTCAAAGAGCTTAAGTTAATGAGGTTTCACTGTATTTGAAACTATGGTTGTCATGGCACGATGAGTATCAAGTGTTACCACTGAAGTTAGCTGCAATTCTCTTCAAGGCAAAGTCAGTTCATTACAGGATATGGATTGTAGTGCTGTGACACTAGTAGCATGCATCAACAGTTACTGTTTCCTAAATACCAGACACGTGAATCTACACTACCATACACAGACAAAGTACATTCGTATCTCCCTTTACTTACCGTTTTGATCGTAAACAGCAAACAACGCCCCATGTCCCCCCGGCAACACTAACGACTATAACAAAGCATACAATCACCACGTAAAGTATGCTCCAATCTGCAACACACAAAACATTCTGATTTTAATTACAAGTTACATCAAACAAATGACTGCTTGAATGACAATTGTCTGTCAATCTCATTTTTTATGACATTCATGAAAATGTCTCACTTAAGAGTGAGGTGAGGTGATTTGAAATGTGGTTCAACGTCACGTTCAAGATTATTGCATTTAAAAAGCAACATGCACAGCTCACAGAAAACTGACTCCGAGCCAACCAGTCCTTGTTTTTGCCCCTTAAAGCCGAGCGCCAGGTAAGGTAACAACAATTACCACCTTTTAATGTCTTTTGGTATGATGCACCCGGGGATCAAACCCACGACATTCTGCTCTTCAGGCACACATGAGAGTGAATGAGTTAGTATGTAGTGTTGTACACCATCAGTTTCACATAGCTGCCTTGAACAAAAAAACAGGTCGCTGGGAACCAATTCTAACAGAGAATCCCTTCAAGAAGCATCTGCATGATAGCAGGACTATAGGTACTGTGAACACATTCAAGGGCGCATCCAGCAATATATCATGGCGTGTCAGCTTAATGCGGGAGGAAAGCCCCAAGTGATGCAGGTCTCAGACGTTTACCACTTCGGTGAAACCTACGAGCACGGGTATGGTGCTGACAAACCTAGAAACATAATTGGGGCGAACCGGGATTCGAACCCACAGTCATAGGTTTCTGGCGTGCCCAAGGGACGCAACTCTGTACAACGAATCGCGGCGCCTTAGACGACTGGGCCACCCGTGCCCCCGGTTGTGTTTCAGAACCATGCAATGCAGTTCTTTCGCCTCAGACTCCTGGATCAGAGAGTACTGTGATATACTGTCCACAATCGTTAAGCGAGCTCAACAGGAACGCACATTGAGATGGCACATTGAGTCAGGGAGTAACAGGAATGGTCCAGTGTATTGCTCTACCTATGACGAAAGTGTGAGTGACATCTTGTCAGACGGTTGCCTCTACCAGTATTTTTGCTATAGATGAGTATTAACAGACCAACACTTACCACAATTGCTTTCTGTTTCAAAAAAATATAACTTGAAGAAATTCTGCATCCAGAATGCTTCACAGATGCACTTCTTGGTGTGCAGGTCACAGTGACCATGACCTGAACAGTTGTTTTGGCAGACTGGAACACAAGCAATACATCATCATGCTCAACACTGATCTGCAAACAGTGCATCAAAACATAAATCAGAAAACCTATTCAAGTTCATTCTATTAAAGATCAGGAACAGTGAACATTTCACACAGACAAATTTCACAAATCACATTCTCAAAACAAAAGTAATTTGTTGTGAATAAGTTTCGAAATTATTTTAGGCATGCTCATGAGAACAGTCCATATTTGACCATAAATTTGATCCACTTAGTAGGGCTGGGACAGGTAACTCGGGTACCCGGGTCGGCGGGGTACTGAGTAGGACCTGGTACCCACAGGACTACCCGGACCCGTGGTTAGTCGTGATATATTGTTTAATGACAAAAAGTATCTAGAACTCTATGGTTATACTACAAGTCACAAATGTTTGCATTTCTTTCTGACTATGCACCCATTCCTTCTGACTTTTCATATCTTTGAATAAAGATATAACTTGAGTCAACTTCAGTGCATGCATGACCAGATTGTTTAATACGGGGGGTACATGTTTCTAAATATGTTTTGCCAGTGCTATGGTAAAAAAATGCCCAATCGGACATTTTGTACCTATCTCTTGAGACTTAAAGTGGGTACCCAGGTAGGCTCGGGTAATAGGGTGGTGGGTACCCGGGTAGTAAATTCGGACTCGTCCCAGCCCTACCACTTAGCACTAATGACAGCAAAACTGTGAAGGGAGAATACTCTAGTATAAAAACACTTGTCAGCAAAAAGGGGAAATAACTCCTTGTTTCTTACCAACTGTATCTAAACTTATGACTCTGTAGTCTAATACTGAGGACTCGGACACCAACTTCCTCTTCAACACATGCAACATCTCCGTCCCCGACCGCACCACCTCCTTGCTGCCCAGCTTCGACTTGACCAGGAATGTTATGTGGAGGCTGGAAGGACAATGCAACACCTGTTAGCCCCGACACACCATTTGAACAGAAGGATTATTTTTAAGACTTCCACTGTGTATCACCATTGTTTCAAGTCATGGTGAGGAGTGGCTTTGTTCAAATATAGACAAGAGTCATCAGAAAGATGACATATCCCCCCGGCAGCTGTCTGTAAAGTAACCACAAGTAAATGTGCAATTCTGTATGTAATGAGTCAAGAGTTGAATGTTCTTTAAGAAGCATACATTGTTTACCCACAGAAGATCCACCATGGTCGCATCCATATGAAATGGAAAGTAAAACAAGTGTGTTTCTGTGGGTTTTTTTTTTATGTAAACAAATGACAAATGTTATTAGAAACAATAACTAAATGAGATACAATTCTTTTCAAACTTTGAAAATACCTGCAAGTTACTCTGGTCAGTCTGGAAACATCAATAGGACTTGGTTCAAAATAAAAATTAGAAAAATCCCAAAAAATCAAAAGGCACCACTTCAGTATGTGCCTGATAGATTTGCTAAGTTTCGATCAAATACACTGAATGGTTTTCGAATTCTGCCCCTGAAAAGGAAATTCTTATGGACGGACAGACAGACAGACTGGCTGATCGCTATATCCCCCCGCATTAAATGCCGGGGGGATAAAAATGACAGCTCTAATGGTATGTACCAGTGGTATGACCGGTAGTTTCAATTGAACAGAAACACTCCGTTATATAGAAAAAAAACACTGTATATCTTGGAGCAGCAACCATAGAAAATATGTTGTATCTAACAAAAAATCTAAGGCCCTCCCCCAGAATATTAAACAGTCAGTCCTGATAATGCCATGCATGAAAATTAGACATTGTATCTGTAAAATTAGGGAAATCATTAAACGTCATCACTAAATTTGAGTTAGCAGACAAGTGTTGTTTGAATTACTTCTAATGATGCCAATTTGGCAAAATGTGGTGGCTGATATGTGTAAAAAATAATGCCTTTTAATTTAAGCTGGTTCCTAAGTGCATTGAGAACATTTTTCAGACCAATATATTGTTTCATGCCTGAGATTGGTGTTTGAATTTGGTCCCCATACCAGTCACAGACTAGTGACAACAGGATGGGTAAACTTTCATGACAAATTACTATTTATCCATTTGTGACGACATATTTCATCTTACGGCAGGTTTGACTTTCAGACACTAACACTGCCTGCATGTGAGTGAGTATGATTTTACGCCGTTATTAGCAATATTCCAGCAATATCACGGCGGGGGACACCAGAAATGGGCTGCACACATTGTACCCATGTCGGGAATCAAACCTGGGTCTTCGGCGTGACGAGCGAACGCTTTAACCACTTGGCTACCCGACCGCCCCACTGCCTGCATGTGTAGATAGAGATGTCAGTAGAGACAAAGTAGGACCTAGATGAGATGGAGTGTTGAAGCAGGTGTTTACTCACTGTCCCGATGTATAGTCCCGCCCCAGGTGCTGGATGCTGATGACTGTGTCGCCATCTTGGGATGACTTGTGGAGCAGCAGCTGCAACTGGTTCACCAGGTTGTTCTGCAGGCGACAGGCGACATGAGTGAGCGAGTGAGTGAGTTGGCATTAATTCAGTTTTAAAGAGTATTTCAACTATATCATGGCGGGTTAGTTTAATTTTTCGTTATGATTCTCTTGTTCAGCTGTTGAACTCAAGACGCCATTTTGGTTTCAGAACAAAGCGACCTCAGTCAGCGATTGGTATGATTGCAAGTGGCTGAAAGTTAGCACCCGTTGTAAGGCGAAACGCTGTACATCGCTTACAAGCAATTGGCGCTTTCCAACGCACCCGTAGGACAGATGGCAAATGGCAAAGAATAAATGACAAAATGTAAATTACTCGATGGGTCGTCTGTGGGCAGTCACAAAATCATTCTAAAACCAATACATCTGAAAGTGATTCCTAATCAAAGCCTGTAATCATGCACTTTGAAAAAGTTCGGAAAGTTTTGATTTTTTTTCTATGTGACAACATGCAAAGACGATCGGCCTACTGGGGACATCAAACTCACCTTGTTCTCCTGGGTGAAGTGTTGGATGTCCACATCAAGCAGCAGCTCAATGAGATCACCTTTGTGAGGATCTGACAAACACAGCAGCATGAGCTACAGTATCACATTGACACCATGTTAGAGGAGTATATTTGTCACGTTAAGTTAACCTATCAAGTGTGCAAAAAGACCCATGGTGTGCATGAATACTGGGACTATGTACGGTACATGGTCTCGGACAAATATTATCAACACTAACAACAGATCTTGTGTCTGTCCTGTTTGGTTGATGCTGTCCTAACTGTGTCTGTATCACAGTGAATGGGTATTCGAGTGTTCAGGGAAGAGTCTATTTCAGCAAGACTTGAGTCCGTTATTGATGACTGGAATTTTTGCAAAGGGGAGATCACTCCATTTTGTTTGTATGTACTTAAATGGCATACTCAGCAATATTTCAGCAATATTATGTTGATCTGTAAATAATTGAGTCTGGACCAGACAATCCAGTGAATGACAATATCATGAGCATCAATCTACACAATTGATATAAAATGACATGCATCAACCAAGTCAGGGAGCATGACCACCGGATCCATTTAGTCGCATATTACATCAAGCAAAGTATTGCTATATGCTGGTTTGTGTTTGAACTGCAGGCCAAATATATTAATATAAATAAATAATATATTGTGTCTCTTCTTTGTATATTTCAGTCATTCAGTTCCACTGCTCAGTCCTTTAGTCAAGAGTTCAGTCTGAGTCACTGTTGAAGAATTATGAACGGTAGAAAATACTTCAACCAGTAATTATTAAGCATGGTATTTAGAGTAATGGTCAGATACATGAGATCTATGTTAACAAAAAGAAATCCTTTCCATTCTGTAATTTCATTGGACTGACTGCAACACTTGCAACGTGTGTTGAATCTCTGGTACCAACGGGGGCACGGGTGGCCCTGTTGTCTAAGGCGCCGCGATTCGCTGTGCAGGGTTGCGTCCCTTAGGCATGCCAGAAACCTATGATTGTGGGTTCGAATCCCGGTTCGCCCCAATTATGTTTCTAGGTTTGTCAGCACCATTCCCATGCTCGTGGGTTTCACCGAAGTGGTAAACGTCTGAGACCTGCATCACTTTGGGCTATCCTCCCACATTAAGCTGACACGCCGTGATATGACTGGAATACTGTTAAAAGCGGCGTTAAACCCAACTCACTAACTCTGGTACCAACCTTCCTTCACGATGACAGAAGCTGAGTCTGAGCTGGACAGCCCTGCCGCGTCCACCACAGACAATTTGAACATGTAGCGACCAGCCACGACATTGCTTAACTGCAGCACAGCCAGATGGTTGGACCCGTTCACTATATCCTGAAGAAAGGCAAGATACATACTTACAGTTAAAGGGCACTTGACTTGAGGCAATTGGCAGTTCTAACAAATTTGGTTCAGCTAATTCTGCATGTTCAGAACTTAAGTAAAGTCAAAACTAAAGTTTCACAGAGCATTTCAATCATATCGGCACAATGTCTCAGTTCAAGACATACCGTATTCCACGTAATAAGCGCCCAGGGCGCTCTCAAAATTAGAAATAGTGGGCTCTTATTAGATTATTATATTGGTGAAAAAAACAGAGTTAAAAGATAAATTTCATGGTGTTTGCTGACAGCCTGAAATGTTTATATACAAGAAATTATTTTTACAAAATTTAATTGCCCATAATTAAGGGTGAGTATAACACACGAGTCCGTATCATACGCGAATAAATAAGTCTTGTGTACATTGATCAATCCGAAGGGGTGTTAATCGGGATTGTTTACTAGCCAATATCTTAGCAAATATCGCCGTGGGCGCTTATTAGAGCAGGGCGCTTATGACGTCAAATACGGTATCTATTTATCTCGATATAGACTTTTAATGGAGCATAGTGCCTTGGATAATGATACGGGCCTCATTCAGTGTTATGTCCTCAAGTGGCATTTTGAAACTCTAGTATCAATGATTATTGTATTTATTGTTGATAACTTCTTTCAATGCTATGTCTTGGTACAGATGCTTCTATTTTTATCAAGCAGATGATCACCCATATTTCTGCTTGTATGTTGATGAAAGTTGTACTCACTCCCGCAGCTAGACTCTTCTCATCTCGCACCCAGTTGTAAGATTTGATACCACCATCATCGTGAGACTTGGAGCCATCTAGTGCCACGGTCGGCAAGGGGAGATAAACCACCTTGTCTCCTCCTGCATTAGCTACTGGAGCCTGGTTCGAGTCTGGTATAGAGAGAATATTACATAGTTTAAGAACAACAGATGAGAACAGAATCCTGCTTAGGAGGGCAAAATTATGTCATGCAGTTCACTTGCTACCATGTTTGATACACGCACACACACAATTATCAAGGTGAGATCTAGATACTTCCTTGAGCTCTATTTTCATATATCAAAATGAATTATTTAGCAGTATACTGAGAGTGTTAAGCTTCAATTCCAGTAGAGTGGGAAGGTGGGTGCCATCCCTTTGCGTGCCTCCTCTTATATGCCTTGAAATATTCATCTGATACATGAATGCCAATATTTCAAGGTTGAAATATTTTAGTGATTAAGTGAGAATGACAAATCAACAAAATATTTAGTCCTAAGCTTATGAGTAAGCATGGCCATGCATTCTGTGTGGAAATCCCTGTCCAGTTTACTTGTGCCAGCTGTGTATACTGATATGACTCAAAGTTCTTAAATTGGATGCCAGGCCTGGTTAGAGTCTGGATTAAGGAGCATATTACATGGTTTTAGAACCATAGATGAGAACAGAATCCTGGAAGGCTTTTATACCAGTTTTACTGTGCAACTGTGCGAGCTGCTTCAGATATCCAGACATATCCTTACTTTCATGTACAGTCACAGTGAGATCTGCCGAGCTGCTGGCCCCCTCCTCGTCCGTCACCGTCAGGGAGAAGGTGTACCCGCCAACCACTATCTTCCCTGTCCCCATGGCAACAGCGCGATCACCATTCTGGACGGAGAGTGTAGAAGGCCCTCTGAAATACGCCACAAGAACAAATAACATTCAAAAACTGATGCACATGGACAAAGATTTTGAACCCTCTGGGATTTAATTTAAGAATACAGTTAGTTTAGCTGCATATCACACACTTACAAGTGGCTGGTGTGGCGTTCAGAGCAGCCATCTAGAAATATTGCCTGTCTTGACGACATCATCCTTATTACACCATTTGACTTAAAGCACTGGATACATGCAATTTACATATGACACTCACTTACAAATGAGCCCACCTACTCACCCACCTACTCATCCACCTATCAATGAGCCCACCTACTCACCCACTTATCAATGAGCCCACCTGCTCACCCGCTTATCAATGAACCCACCTACTCACCCACTTACCAATGAGCCCACCTACTCACCCACTTACCAATGAACCCACCTACTCACCCACTTATCAATGAGCCCACCTACTCACCCACTTATCAATGAGCTCACCTACTCACCCACTTATCAATGAGCCCACCTGCTCACCCGCTTATCAATGAGCCCACCTGGTCACCCACTTATCAATGAGCCCACCTACTCCCCCCCATATCACGATGCCTAACCACCCACTAACCCACCACCCACTAACCCACCAACCAATGAACCCAGCAGTCAATGACAACTAACCCTTTCTGTGTCCAGGCGTAGGTAGCTATCTTCTGGTCATCTGTGCTGCTACTGCCGTCCAGTATGAGGTTGTCCGTGGGGAGACTGACTGTCACCTGCTTTGCCGTCCTTGCTACTGGGGCTCTGTTTGTTTCTACAGGAGACACATTAGCATGAGAACACACCGGGTACGTGTTTGAAACATTAAGGCAACGTAGTGACACTGGAAATGTAGTGACACTGTCAGCAGTGGTGTGTAGGAGGGAGTTCATGAACCCCCAAACACTGCATTAAATCCTAACCTGAACGGAACGGTACCACCAACCAAATTCGAGAAAAACATAAGACATTGTTGAAGTCTTTCAATCTTATGACTGATTCTATTAATCTTTGGGTAATAAAAGAAACTTCAAAACTTCAGTATTTGCAAAAAGTAACCCTGAAATCTGTCATTGCCGTAAACATACATATTTCACTAACTTAATTCATTCAGAATTTTCTAGAAAACAAATGCTTTTACAATTTCTGTTCATATTTTTTCAAACACAACCCGTCCAAATAAATAACTGTTAACAAGGTAATTGGAATAAAGATTTTGAGAGTTTGGAGAGTGTACTCTACTTATAACCTGGAGAAGAAGCATAAACAAGAATCTGAGTTCATAAAAGTAAATATGTTGTCCCACAAATGTCGAACAGCACACTGTGTCTGTGTGTCTGTTACCTGCTTTGACGAAGACATGTACGTCGGCTGTGGCCACATTGCCCGCACTGTCCGTCACCTTGAGGGTGAATGTGTAGTCCCCCTTCTCCAGATTGTTGAGGTGGAGATATGCTGTCCGTGTACCCTGCAGGAATCAAACACAAATATAAAACACAACACAACACAACACAACACAACACAACACAACACAACACAACACAACACAACACAAATGATATGTATGCATACTTACGTTAATAGAAGTGAGGAAAAAACTAAACATGTGTGGTGAATACCTATCCCACTTCGAATTGTGAATGTCATGATGTGATCAAAGTCAGAAAATATAACATCATCTATCAACATATTTAGCGAAGAAACTGAGAAAAGGATTAACATATTTCATAATGAAGAGATACACTAGGTGTGAGATCTGAAACATATGATACCTTGCTCACGATCCGATACATATCACCATACTTGCATGTGCTCTCATCTATGGTGCGTAAGCATTCTTTTTCAAAGACAGGATGGCCAAATACCTGGCACACTAACAATTTACAGTTGGTAGTGTCAAATATGGCACAACAGATGAAAATATTTACGTTTTCACTATTAATTTTCACTTCTAATTAGTGTTTGATATAATATTTATTACAGTAAACATTTAAGGTTTGAATCGATATTTCTTACTTAATGTGGGATTGTGATCAATACTTGTATCGAGAAGTGAAAAACTACAATCCACCTTTGCATCGATGTATTGTTCCACCACTAGGGGTAGCTGTGGCCTGTCATGGCAAATACCGAGGTTTGATCCCCCTCATGGACACAATGTCACAGTGTGTCAAGTTGTTCCTAGGAGTCCACCACCAGCTTGTATGTGGCATTAACCCAGACTCCCTCACTCACGGACTCTTACCGTCATGTCTACAGCAAGTTTATCGTCCGCCTTCTTGATCCACTCATAGCTAGTGATTCCCCTATCATCGGTGCTGGCGTTCCCGTAGAGCGTGACGGAGGACTGGGGGAGGTGGATAACCACATCAGACCCTGCGTTAGCCTTCGGTGGGTAGTCCGTCTCTGGAATGTACAACACCCGACTCACTCACTCACTCCGACTTCAAATACATGGAGACGCTGTCTTGAAAAATTTAGCACTATCATTCACATCCTCGATTTACCAGTGTATCATAAGTCCATTCTATTATTGCCCACTCAGCACCATAGCTTTGTATGTAGTCTGGTTTAAATGACATGAAGCTACATGTACATGTCCAATCAAATTATTTTCTTTCATGGCTGATGGTGAACTGATCTAAAGCTATATGATCCAAGCCAAACCATTCAAAAACCCTGTTTGTCCTTAAACTCAAATTATATTATGCTCTCCAGTAGTCCAATGTGATTCATTTACTTGATCCCTTTCAAACAGGAATTATCACAATGATTGTGCTTAGCATACTTTTCAAGGCATTCACATATTGCAATCATATGTGTACTATAAGGATGTTACTTATTCACCTACCCTTGATAAATGTTACATTAGCTGTTGTGGAATTTGTTACTCCATCAGAGTCTGTCACAGTTAATCTGCAAAAAGAGAAACCAATTTTAAGAATCAAAATCACCCAAGGAATCTGATACAAACAACAGTTACATAAACAGGGCTAAATAATCAGTGACTAAATGCATGGCAAATACTATGCAAATCCAATCAAAATGTTCCACTAAGTTTTTTGGGTCCACCATCATAAGCTAAGGTATAGATACCATAGTGGTTAGATCTATGTGTCTGAGGTTTAGATCTATCCATCAAGTTATCGTGGCACTATCACCATCATAATTTAAGGTACAGATACTATAGCAGAAAGATCTATGTGTCTGAGGTTTAGATCCATCCATCAAGTAATCGTGGCACTATCACCATCATAATCTAAGGTACAGATACTACAGCAGAAAGATCTATGTGTCTGTGAGGTTTAGATCCATCCATCAAGTAATCGTGGCACTATCAACATCATAATCTAAGGTACAGATACTATAGCAGAATGATCTATGTGTCTGTGAGGTTTAGATCCATCCATCAAGTAATCGTGGCACTATCAACATCATAATCTAAGGTACAGATACTACAGCAGAAAGATCCATGTGTCTGTGAGGTTTAGATCCATCCATCAAGTTATCGTGACACTATCACCATCATAATCTAAGGTACAGATACTACAGCAGAATGATCTATGTGTCTGTGAGGTTTAGATCCATCCACCAGTCATAAAGTGCTGGATGGTGTCGATATAAGGCTACATCATGTATTGATACATATAGTGACTACATGATACATAGAGCTAAACATAATTCACAATGCTCTTGTGTGACATTCTCCATGCTCCATGTCACCCAGCATGTGTTTAAAAAACTTTAACTTGACGGGTTGACTTAGCTACATGTATTTAGCTGTTGGCATCGTTATCGGTACAGTGGTACAAATGTACCCTACTGAAGTCAGGAATGAAGGAATCTATGTATCCAGGTAAACAGCACACTTGTGGCATATGGCACACATGATGGAGTTACGTTACAGCCAAACTGAACCAGTCTCATGCATTGTGACAATGTACAGTGCAGTACATACATATTGCCAAGCTAGGGTACATGTAGACAGAAAGGTCCCTGGTGTACATTTCTGTAGTAACGACAACTGCCTCAACAGTGATAATAGGGTCTTGTTCTGATGGTATTACGCTATTGGCTTCAGCAGTTTGTTCGTGAGGGGCAGCAAGGTTAAGCCAGGCCGAGTAGTTATCATGGTGGATTATTGCATCTTGGATAATCCTACCTCTTCTAAGCTTACAAACAATTCTACATTTTGATTATATAGGTAGCTTACAACACAGCAATCTAATCATTTTGGAATGTTTTCACCAAACAATTTATTCCCGGATTATTTACATTCATCAATCACTTGAGTAAGTGGGTGAATATGGTTTCACGCCACTTTTAGCAATATTCCAGCAATAGCACGGCAGGGGACACTAGAAATGGGTTTCACACATTGTACCCATGTCGGGAATCGAACCCAGGTCTTCGGCGTGATGAGCGAACGCTTTAACCATCAGCCTACCCAACCGCCCCTCAATCACTTGAGAGTGTTAATGGCAACTTGTGATCACAAAATGCACCCCTCCTTTTTCACAAAGCTGTATCTGTACTTCAGTCAGTCTACAGCATGTGGCTTGTACTCACTTGAAGGTGTAGTTGCCTGGCGCCATGTTCTTCAGTGTGATCATGGCCTCTTCTCCCTGCCCACTCTGGTCCTGCAGGGGGCCGATCACCTCGTCCCAGTGGTAGCTGACGATGTGGTCATCGTCTGTGCTGTCTGCATGCAACAACCACATCGTTGGTTAGCAATGTTTCATCAACACAGTTACATATTTACTGCATACCTCTCATCCTCCAGAAATGAAATCACAGAATTCCCTTTAGGCCTACAATCTTCGTTAAATGTTTTAAGGAGTAGCTGGCCTTAAAAATGGAAAAATGGAAAAGTTTGTTTCTATGCTTCAGACACAAAAATCATTTGGATAGTAAATTTAACCTAAAAATATTTGGCCTCAACTAAAATGAAACTGTTTTGAGTGTTTTTCTTCATACTTAAATCAGAATCAAGAATTTAAAGACTGGTTTCAAATTCCAATTATTATCAGAGTACCAGACTTCTGTATATACATTTCCACCTACTGATTCAAATAAATCTCAAAGCCAACAAAAAATACCTTTGAAAGCATTTGATTTATTTATTATGAACTACCAACCAAACTTTCCAGTAATAAAAATAACTTCTAGCATTATGACTATATTTTCATGCCACATGCTGTTCAAAAACCACAAACCTGAACCATCCAAGATGGCGGAGTTGGACGTCTTGACAACCTGAGACTTTGGCTTGATAATGGCCACTGGGTGGGTGTTCGTACGTGCAGCTGAACATTAAGAAATCTCCATGTAAGACACCATTATCACAAGAACATTGAAACTAAAGGAGAATTCAATTTTGTATTCAGTGTAACATATCTAAATAGGATACCCATGGTCGTGGGTTTTACCGTCTAAGGCCGGCACCACTTCGGGCTTTCCTCCCACATCAAGCTGACACGCGTGATATAACTGACATACTGTTCAAAGCGGCATTAAACCAAACTCACTCTCTCAAGTAGCAATGACATTGGAAGTAGTGTGTGAGAAGAGTTTTATACCATATTACCAGTGTTTAAAATACCTGCCTGCCTGTCAGTCTAAACCATCTATTTTGCTGATGGACGATCAGTTTTGAAAGAAGCACACCCGATGATCGGGGGTTAAAGTTGACAATCCACCAGTTTACTGTTATTTTCTGAGAACTAACATTAAACAGTATTATTTTTATGTTTACCCTTTTGTTACTTTTATTTGCCTAGAAATTTGGGACTGGAAACATTTTATCTGGTCTGGTAACTTTGCAATGTTGCCAGTCCGGTTGTCTGAGTGAAATTTGGAGGAATTTTATACACTGATATTAAGCAATATTCCAGCATCTTCAAACATGGTAAGAGACAGATATGGGTGATGCTGAACAATGTGACCAGTTCACAACCCTCCCACATCATATGCAGAGGCAACTATAACTGAACAATATATCATTTTGCATGGACTCATTTCAAATTGATCACTGCTCCCTTATTTAACACACTGAGGAGACTATGACAGAGACTGGAGTCTACATACGAGGTTGCACTGTGACATTGACGACAGCGTCGCCATACTTGTTCCCTCCTGTCACAGTGATCTTCAGTGTATACAGTCCTGCTATCAGCTGAAACAGAGAGTGGCGGAGTGAAGGTTGTTTTACGCAACAGTTGGCAATATTCCAGCTACATTACAGCAGCCTGTACATAACCAAATTTGGACCAGGCAAACCAGTGATTGATCGGGTATTCAACACACAACTGTTGATTAAAAGTACATGGACTTAAGAATCGACTTCAGTATATTTCGTGTTTATGGAAGGATAAATGTAAACAAATGTGTGTACACTGTCAAAATGCAGAAATGAACATGACATGGTTGGTTGGTTGGTTTGTCGTTTAACGCCGCACTCAGCAATATTCCAGCTATATGACGGCGGTCTGAAAATAATCGAGTCTGGACCAGACAATCCAGTGATTGACATCATGAGCATCAAGCCACGCAATTGGGATTGATGACGTGCATCAACCAAGTCAGCGAGCCTGACCACCCGATCCCGTTAGTCGCCTTTTACGACAAGCATAATCGCCTTTTACGGCAAGCATGGGTTGCTGAAGACCTATTCTACCCTGGAATCTTTACGGGTCGAACATGACATGGAAGGTAGTGAAGTTGTAGTGAAACGAAATTACACAAAGTGTGAACACTGTTTGTTTTGTTTTTTTACGTTTATAACTCCATAAACGCAAACACATATTGAAATCAATTCTTAGAAATATATAAGTCAACAACAATAACTTAGCAGACTGCTGAGGAAACCGTATTCCATTAGAGGTAGTGGCCTAATCTTTTTTTGGTTCATGGCAAAAATATTGTTCTATTTTATATTCCATTTCCAAATAAATAAATTCCCTGAAAACAATCTAGAGATTAATCAATGTGCTGGTGACATAAGAAAGGTGATGAGAATTTCCAATATAAACAGATCAAATTACATCGCAGGAAGATTCCACACAATATGACGCAAAGCAAATATAGCAGACACCAGACGGCTCTGCAGTGTGTGACACATTTGTTGTATTGTCTATACCAACAAGAGATCAGAGTATGGACACTAGGCAAATTGTCACCATAGTTACACATGAATGAGGTGTATGTGTTAGCATTATCTAAACATACTTTGCTGCCTCAAAATAATTCAGAAGGAATGAATGTGTCACATAAATTCCTGTATTATGTCTATGTGTTTCATGGAAAACACTTCATCAAAATTAAGTTTGAACTTTCACCTTTAATAAAAAATATTCATGTACCAAACAGTTGCCAAAGGAATTGTGTTTTAAGCCAGCTGTGCCACCCAAACCTGGTCTTATTTCAGGTTATCAATTGACAATGTGGCAGCCGTCTATAAATTTATGTCAATTCATATAAATATTCAACTAGGCCAGTCATCCAATTTATCCAGAATGTTATCATAATTGAAAGTGGCTTGAAAATAAGTACACAAGCCCCAAACCTATAAACAGGACTGACAGCTCTCTTGATCTAGATTGAATAATTTACTGTAGCAGACACCATGAGAAGTATACATTCGTGATAGGGATAGAATATAATAACATCATGTAAGAACCTGATATATCAATATGTGAAAGGTCATAAACACATACTAACACAATACACAGTTATAGGTAGGAGAGTGTTAATTTTTGATAAATGTCATCAGATTGTTTTTTATAACCACACCTAACTGTTTTCATGTCATGGCCAGAGTTAAGACAAAAGATGGTGGGAGAGAATCCTTGGGTCCCCCAAAGGTTTGCTACTGTTGTATTGGGATCAAGAGACTACGAAAATCTTTGACTTTAATTATTGGAGTCATGACAATGACCTCTTGACATTCATGCCAAATTATCGATCACTGCAGGACGATTCCATTCTGTCTAAATTAATAATAATAATAATAATTGATTTGTAAAGCCCCTAATATCCATCGACAGTTGCTCACTGGCACTGTGACAAAGTTAAAAAGTAATATCTATGTACATATGCCAACAATCAGGAGATCTATTGAAAAGCTGAAGTGAAGAAGTGGGTTTTGAGGAGAGACTTAAACGTTTCCTTAGAAGCAGAGTTTCTCAGATTCAAAGGCAAAGCGTTCCATAACTGTGGACTGCAAAAGGAGAAGGCACGGTCAGACATAGCAGAAGTAGACAGAGGCTGATACAGTAGAGTTCCACCAGAGGATCGGAGAGCACGCTCTGGAGTGTACAGAGATATAAGATCTTTGAGATAGTCTGGATAGTCGCTATTGTTGAGGCAGTCGTGAGTGATGATACATATCTTATAGTGTATACGAAAGGAGACTGGAAGCCAGTGTAGTGCTTTGAGGACAGGACTGATGTGATTGGATCTTGGAACTTTAGAGATGCATCTAGCCGCAGAGTTCTGAATGCGTTGTAGCTTTGATATGGCTTTCATGGGAAGATTAGCATACAATGCATTGCAGTAATCCAGTTTGGATATTCTCAATAAATATACAACTGAAAAAATAAAATAATGTGCTGTGTCAATTCTAAATGTATGAATCTCTTATTGTTGAGTTCATGACAACCTAGTCTGATGTGACACTGAATTTCTGATTTCTTTGTGCACATAATTTATGAATACATTTACACACACAAGTGTGTCTCCTCGGCGTGTGACGCTGCTCAAAGGTTGTCTCCGTTCACCCAGAAGGGAAAGGGAACTTGTTGAGAGGAGATTCTAAAGTGAAATCGAAACCATCTTGCACGCAACAGGCAGTGTGGACCGAATATCTCGGAGGAGTTGAGAATGTAATATGACCACACTTTAATCCTTGACAGGGATAATAAAAGGTCATACACTCAGCACTGCATACATACTTATTGACAGAGGGAATTATGGCAGTTAATCCATAATGCTATATACAGTTGAGAGGTAAATTATGGCTGTCACATAACACATGGCAGTCATTGATGTATACCTCATTTAACAGGGTTTCAGACAGGTTCATTTCCTAGGACATTGGTAACAGATTGTCATCATATATGTCCTCAAGATAATTTTCAATTTTGGCAACAATAATGAAGGATTTTCCACCAAAGTTTGTGCCCAAATCATGACAATGTCCCAATGACATTTGTCTCTTGCAAAATCACTTCACTGTAAAGCAATAATGGCAACATATTGTCATCAAATATGTCCAAAAGATAATTTTTAATTTTGGCTATAATATTGAAGGATTTTCCACCAAAATTTGCCCAAATCATGACAATGTCCAAATGAAATTCACCTCTTGCAAAATCACTTCACTACAAAGCCATATCTTCAGTGATATTGCAGCTTCGATAATGCCTGTGAAAGATATTTGAATAACTGGATAACAATTGTTTTCTGATGTTCCCAAGTGACTTCTAGTTGACAAGATTTGACAACTACATCAGCGAGTTGAATCACTGCCAGTGACTGTGTTCTAAATATCTACCTTAGAGAGTTTAAGTGTGACTGTGTTCTAAATACCTACTTTAGACAGGTTAAGTGTGACTGTGTTCTAAATACTTACTTTGGACAGTTTAAGTGTGACTGTGTTCTAAATACTTACTTTGGACAGTTTAAGTGTGACTGTGTTCTAAATACTTACTTTTGACAGTTTAAGTGTGTCTGTGTTCCAAATACTTACGTTGGAGAGTTTAAGTGTGACTGTGTTCTAAATACTTACTTGGACAGTTTAAGTTTTACTGTCTTCTAAATACTAACTTGGACAGTTTAAGTGTGACTGTGTTCTAAATACTTACTTAAGACAGTTTAAGTGTGACTGTGTTCTAAATACTTACTTTTGACAGTTTAAGTGTGACTGTGTTCTTAATACTTACTTTAGACAATTAAGTGTGACTGTGTTCTAAATACTTACTTTGGACAGTTTAAGTGTGACTGTGTTCTAAATACTTACTTTGGACTGTTTAAGTGTGACTGTGTTCTAAATACCTACTTTAGACAGGTTAAGTGTGACTGTGTTCTAAATACTGAATTTAGACAGGTTAAGTGTGACTGTGTTCTAAATATCTACTTTTGACAGTTTAAGTGTGACTGTGTTCTTAATACTTACTTTGGACAGTTTAAGTGTGACTTTGTTCTAAATACTTACTTTAGACAGTTTAAGTGTGACTGTGTTCTAAATACTTACTTTAGATGGTTTAAGTGTGTCTGTGTTCTAAATACTTACTTTGGACAGTTTAAGTGTGACTGTGTTCTAAATACCTACTTTAGACAGTTTAAGTGTGACTGTGTTCTAAATACTTACTTTTCACAGTTTAAGTGTGACTGTGTTCTAAATACTTACTTTTCACAGTTTAAGTGTGACTGTGTTCTAAATACTTACTTTGGACAGTTTAAGTGTGACTGTGTTCTAAATACTTACTTTGGACAGTTTAAGTGTGTCTGTGTTCTAAATACTTACTTTGGACAGTTTAAGTGTTACTGTGTTCTAAATACTTACTTTCGACAGTTTAAGTGTGACTGTTCTTAATACTTACTTTGGACAGTTTAAGTGTGTCTGTGTTCTAAATACTTACTTTGGACAGTTTAAGTGTGACTGTGTTCTAAATACCTACTTTAGACAGTTTAAGTGTGACTGTGTTCTAAATACTTACTTGGACAGTTTAAGTGTGACTGTGTTCTAAATACTTACTTTGGAGAGTTTAAAGGGGAAGTGTACACGCAAAAATCACTTTCTTTCTTTTTCTAAACAAAACGCAATTTTAGAATAAATTAGTATCTGTGTTTGAAAATATACACTCATTTTTTTCACAGTGAAAGTAGGAAGCTCACAATAGTGTGAAAATGATATGCCGTTATGAGGCCTTCGTTTTTCGCGCTAAACAGGCCTGAGTTATCCCCCTTAGATTATGACGTAATTGGTGCCAATTCAACTGGGTCCCTGTCTATTCTCAACGCAAAAGATATCAAGTACCAGTTTGCGGTAAAACAACATGGCCTACGACACACTCCGGCGCAGTGGTGACTCAGCATAACACTATGCTGGCTGGCATCTGAGACGCTAGAATCACACACCTAGACCTACACCACGTGAAGCGGCTCTAACAAAGCATGATGACGTCATAATGTTTATCAATTGGCACCAATGACGTCATATTGCAAGGGGCATAAGCCATGGTGTTTTTGTTGTGGAAATAGAACACTTGGTAAATGTGAAAAATATAAATCGTTTTAATGCGAAAAATATGTTAATTAATTGTGATATTTTTATATTTTTGTCTATGACACTTCTAGGTTAACACTTTTAATGTGGAAAAAGTACAAGAAAAATAGGTTAATTTCCGTGTGAACTTGCCCTTTAAGTGTGTCTGTGTTCTAAATACTTACTTGGAGAGTTTAAGTGTGACTGTGTTCTAAATACTTACTTTGGAGAGTTTAAGTGTGACTGTGTTCTAAATACTTACTTTGGAGAGTTTAAGTGTGTCTGTGTTCTAAATACTTACTTGGAGAGTTTAAGTGTGACTGTGTTCTAAATACTTACTTTGGACAGTTTAAGTGTGTCTGTGTTCTTGCCCTCCATGGTTCCGGTCTCCGCTCCCTCAGGGAAGGTAACCAGTGACCAGTCATAGTGATAGGGGTCCTCATCTACAACACAACCAGTTGCAGATCACACATAGGGGTCCTTACGTACCACAATACAACCAGTGTCAGATCAGCAAATCAGGAACAAAGCAGCAGTTTATGGATCTGCTCACAAAACAATTGAATTCAACCAGGGTCAACATCAAAGCAAGCTAACACTTCGACCACTGAGCTCCCGGGTAGCCCTTTATGAAAGCTGTGGGGACTCATTCAACCATGCTGTATGCACTCACATTAATAATCTCATAGGATGATCTCACAATGACTAAGTGCCAGGTGAGAGTCAACTCATCATCATGATACATGGGCAATGGGGTAGCCTAGTGGTTAAAGTGTTCACACGTCTTCCAGAAAGCCTGTGTGCCTCTGGTCGATTCCCCAAATGGGTACAATGTGTGAAGCCCATTTCCGGTGCCCCCACTGTGATACTGCTAAAAGTGGCCTAAAACCATATTCACCCACTCACATGTATTACAGACAGGTACTAATATGTCTTTCAAAAGGGGACCTGATGCCACACAATAGTTTTGTTAGTGAGCAAAACAAGTTTCCACATAATGAGTGGATGAGCAAGTGAGATAATGGTGAGTGAGGCAGTTGTGTTTCACGTCAGCATTAACACTTGCCCACATGAATCTATATTACTACTTCATAAGGTATGTTACTGTTTGTTACTTAGTTAGTTAGTGAGTATGGTTTTACGCCGCTTTTAGCAATATTCCAGTAATATCACGGCGGGGGACACCAGAAATGGGCTTTATACTTTGTACCCATGTCGGGAATCGAACCCGGGTCTTCGGCATGACGAGCAAACGCTTTAACCACTAGGCTACCCGACCGCCCCTTGTTACTTAGTGGGATGATCTGCTGACCATAACATTCAGGATTGTGGAAAAATGCCAGTTTACAGCTCTTTTATTACTTCTGGGTCTGATAATGATTGTACCGAAAAATTTTTTGCAAAATGATGATACATGTCTAATGACCCGTAAATGTTCACTGAAAGCATGAGATGCAGCCATGATGAGTACAGTCATGGCCTGACTGGTGCTCAGTGTTAGGCTTTTCAAACATTTTATCACTTAAATGCTATATGAACTTAGACAGTGTGATATTACTTTAATCATCCTATCAACCCTACCTTAAATTAAATAAATTAGAAATTAAAGGCTCTAATTTTATTTTACTTATATTTTGACTACCGCCCAATGGTTATGAGAAACCAAAATGTGTAAACCAAGTGATTAAAAAGGAAGGCCTGTGGTTTATGACTACAAACTTATGACACCCTATACATCTATTACAACCTAAAAAGTCATCAAATTCAAAACATTTCCCCAGTACATGTTGACTACCAGTGAACAAGATTCGACAGTTAATTGTAGCATCCTGTTACATCATTTAATTATTAATTGTAGTTTATTATTACAGCTGTACTAAATCTTCCATCTCACATATTGAGAGGATTCCCCACCTCCAGGATCAAATACCTACACATCTTCATTATAACACTGTTCCTAATTGTACATTCATTAATGTCAGCATGAACCAGCCTGGAACTGCCAGTGACGCAGCCAGGACGGACCAACAGCTTGTCCTCCCAACATGGACTATCATTCCTAACAGTATCTGAGATGCCGATGTTCAAATTCCCAGTTGATTAATTCTCTCTGAATAAATACATAATGCATTTATGTTTGAAGATAATGATACCTGCTTCACTACATTTATGATTCAGATGTTTTAGCTGACATTGTAACATCATTTTTTATAATGGAGTTCTACAAGATGACACCAACACATGGCACATTCACACCTACACAACCAACCCATGCATGACACACCCACACATGGCACACTCACACATGTGCCCACATGACACATCCACACATGGCACACTCACACATGACATGCCCAATCATAGCACCCGCCCACATGACACATCCACACATGGCACACCCACACATGGCGCACTTACACATGTGCCCACATGACACATCCACACATGGCACACTCACACATGACACGTCCACACATGGCGCACTTACACATGTGCCCACATGACACATCCACACATGACACATCCACACATGGCACACTCACACATGTGCCCACATGACACATCCACACATGGCACATCCACACATGGCACACCCACACATGACACGCCCACACATGGCACACCCACACATGGCACAACCACACATGACACATCCACACATGGCACATCCACACATGACACATCCACACATGGCACACCCACACATGACACATCCAAACATCCACACATGATACATTGAGACCAGACACATGCACACATGACACACATGACAAACATGCCAACATTATCTATCAGGCATCAACAGTCACACAGACTGTATTCCATGTGAGTTCACTTACCTCAAATTAAATTATGCCACAGATGAAATCAAATGTCACAAAAAGATCCAATGGTAAAACCTAAATTTTATGTTCCACCCAAAAGAATTTACCCAAATTCCCAATTCAACATTTACTACCTTTTCAAAATCACTTGCTCCATGCTTAAGATGTGACAAAAAGGGAGCCACTGCACTGCAGCTATTCTAGATATTTAGTCAACAACTAAAACTGTCATCCATCAACCAAGTCACTGAGCCTGATGATACCCAATCCTGTAAGTCACCTTTTATGACAAGCATGGGTTGCTGAAGACCTATTCTAACCCAGAACTTCACTGTCACACTGAAAATCAAATATTTTCTGCATAAACTGTAAGAACAATTTGTTTGTTGGTTGGTTGGTTAATGCCACATGCAACAATATCCCAGGTATATGACGGTGGTCTGTATATAATCAAGGTTGGACCAGACAATCCAGTGATTGACATCATGAGCATCAATCTATGCAGTTGGAATACGATGACATGCATCAACCAAGTCAGGGAGCCTGACCGTCCGATCCCGTCGGTCACCTCTTACAACAAGCATGGGTTTCTGAAGACCAATTTCAATTTTCACAATATATACTGAAAATCGGATTCAACCCTCTTGGACAAATTGAGGTGCAATTATTGGTGGGAGCAAGCATGTGAAGCTTCAGCGTCATTGGTCCAGTGGTTTCTGAGGACTACATCATCACTGCATGCCATAACATCACTTCTTATGACATTCAGTCAAATGAGCTTGAAATCAGTCACAACTCTGTTGGCAGGAACCATCAAAAACTACTTTTTCTTATCCTTGATGTCAATATGACTTCATGAAGGCTACAAGGCTTCCGACCCATTTCTGCCAGTTGAACTGTTATCCTGTTTAAGTCAATTAGTTTGTTTGTTTGTTGTTTAACGCTGCACTCAGCAATATTCAAGCTATATGATGGCGGTCTGCAAACAAATGAGTCTGGACCAGACAATCCAGTGATTGACATCTTGAGCATGATCCATACACGCAATTGGGATCGATGACATGCATCAACCAAGTCAGCGAGCCTGACCACCCATAGTCGACTTTTACAGCAAGCATAGGTTGCTGAAGATCTATTCCACCCTGGATCTTTAGGGGTCTGTACTACAGAGTTTGACAAATAGGGTGGCCCACCCACTAGCTAAATACCAGCAAACATTTCAAAATGGTCATTTGGCTGTTGGAAACAATACATACTTTTCACAGTATGAAAAGACAGAAATTGGCAAAATATGAGCCAGTGAAATTGATTCAAGTTCTTGTTCTATGTATGTAATGTTTCTATTCAGCATGGTTCATATTGACAGCATTCATTAAGGTCGCATTCAGAGAAAGCTATTGCTTTTGTAATATATTTCATGGTGCGTCTGTGGGTTTATATTTGTCTGGTACATTCCGAGTGACAAGTGGTGTTTCTATGTTGGTCCATGAAACTATACTCTCTGCAGCACCTTGTAGGGACTAGCTGCAACACATGCCGTCATTTTGTTGCTGACTCTGCAAGTCAAGAAATCCATAGTCACCTGTTGTCTAAACTCCCAAACATGTGAATAATGGGAGTGAGTTGGACCTAACAGTATTCTAGCTATAGCATGGTGTCAGCTTAATGTGGGAGGAAAGCCTGAAGTGATGCAGGTCTCAGACATTTACCACTTTGGTGAAACCCAAGAGCACGGGTATGGTGCTGACAAACCTAGAAACATAATTGGGTTAACCCTGATTTGAATCCACAATCATAGGTTCTCTCGCATGCTCAAGGAACGCAATTCAGTACTGGGCCACCCGTGCCCCCTGTGAAAAATTGGTTTCAACTTCAAGCTGTGACTAAAATATTAAACAAATAAGACACTTAAAATTACAAGTGTAACTGCCATTGTGACATTACACTAAATCTGCAACAGTAAAAGAGATTCAAGTAAGCCTTCTGTGGTGGAAAAATGGGCTTCAAAAGTTGTACTCATTTGGGGAAATCTAACCAGGGTCTGGCATGACGAATGAAAGCTTTAACCACTAGGCTAGGCAGTGTCTTAGTCATGACAGCGATAGGTCCACACATGAAAACAAAGTTTAACATATTTGGTCTCTTCATCTTGGTTTAAGTTCAGAATTTGCTACCAGCTCTTATATGAACATCAGGTAATTGAAATGCTTTCAAATGTTGTGATTGATCAAAACATTGGAAATGCTAACATGATTAACAGTCCATGCACATTGACTCCCACATGCACTCTCTGACTGCATGTCTATGTAAGGTATGCACTCTCTGACTGCACCTCTGTACAATCTATGCATTCTCTGACTGTATCTCCATATAAGTTATCAACAAGTGAGTGAATCTGTTTGATGAATGTGACACCTAGGAGCATGGACATGGCTCTCCCAAAGCAAGGGTAATAAACAAGGTGAATCTTGGCTCTAAATCTAGGCCAGGTGATATTGCTTGAATATTGCTACAAGTCAAACTAAACTCACTCATTCACTCACTCCAATAGGGCATGTTTGTTTGTTTGTTTGTTTGTTTGTTCTTTAAGCCCCACTCCGCAATATTCCAGCTATATGACAGGCTGTGCCAGGATTCATGATTTTAAACTAAGTAAGCAAACGGGGAGAACTTATTTTGTTCAAAATCTGTATTTTAAAAAGGTTCTTATTTCCTTAATTTTAGAGGTACTTTAACATTGTAGTTTAACATTGCATACAATGAATGTAATAATGTACAGCCAAGGCTTAAAGCCTCTACCTCTCTATAGACCCCGTTATCAGTGAAAGACATGGCATATCACCCAAGCCATCATGTAAGTTATAACTATGTTAAGAATTGGAACATTTTTAATTCCAATTTGGGAATTTATACTGATATTTGCCGTATATGAGCCGTATATGAGCCTCTGGTCAGGTCCAGATAAATACCTGCAGGAGACACTGGTCCTGCTTGAACAACATAAAAATGTCTATGATGTTTCCATATTCTGTCAGTCTTATTCAGTCCCAATTTGTAACAAAACTGAATCACTGAGAATGGTTCAGAATGATAGGTGAGGTGAGGTGAAATGGGGTTTAACGTCGCGTCCAAGATTATTACACTTATATAGCGACGTGCATGTACATGTGTGTGTTTGTGTGGCTGCATGTACTAGTCCAGACTGATACCGATTTATAGTGCTAGCTCACTGAGATACCATGCCGCAGTTTAACATGAATACCCCACTCAGACACAGTATACTGACTCCGAGCCGACCAGTCCTTGTTTTAGCCCCTTAATGCCGAGCGCCAGACAGGGTAACAACAAGTACCATCTTTTAACGTCTTTTGGTATGACGCGGCCGGGGATCGAAGCCCGGACCTTCTGCTCTCCGGGCGGACGCTCTACCACTAGACCACGGAGGCGGTCTCAGAATAATAGGCTTCCAATCCTACTAGTCCATGAGGAGTTCCACTGTAGATATGTGACCCGAGACACTGGGCAATGTTCCAGAATAAACACCTGCTACAGGCCATCATGTTCATCTTTCAGCTAATTTACACAATTCAGAATTGGGGGCGGTGGGGTAGCCTAGTGGTTAAAAGCGTTCGCTCGTCACGCCGAAGACCCGGGTTCGATTTCCGACATGGGTACAATGTGTGAAGACCATTTCTGGTGTCCCCCGCCGTGATATTGCTGGAATATTGCTAAAAGCGGCGTAAAACCATACTCACTCACTCATTCACTCACTCAATTCAGAATTGACATTTTACTCTATGGTTATAACCTACTTCAAGTGACAGTTGAAATTTGTTTTATATACTGTAAATCGTGAAATTAATGCATCTCCAAAAGAATGCAATCGCTGGTCCCTAGCCAAAAATGTGACTCAATATGAATGAGACACCCCCTACTCTCAAGATTCAGTGGATTTATATCTAAAGAAAACGTCCTCTGTCAAGTTTACAGGAGAATCCTCACTTTAATCCAACCTTACATCAATCCAATCACACACCAAATAGCACCGCTTATTAGCGCTGAGTAGAGTACTTCCACTAAAACAATACATGCGCGCTGGCTCGTGTCGGCCTTTGACGTAGTGGCAAAGAACAAAGACACTGTGTTGCGTCAGTCTTGTCTTGACCGAAGCAGTGACAATTCACAATACGTAATTAGTGTTTGAATGACATTGTTTATATACTTGTTACTAGTGCTGCTCAATAAACAGTGATGTGGAATACATAGTTGTTTGTTTTCAGCGTATGTCTAAGTTGGGTATTTCGGCTATCCAAAATGTCTTATTGTTGATATAAATGCGATGTTTAATAATGCGGGCAAAGACCACCCGCATTTTTCGCATTTAATTCACGCTCGCCTTAATTTAAAGATTTACAGTATCCATTGTTCACTACTTGCGAACCTGTTTCACCATTTTGAATTTTCATCACCATTCATATCATTCACAGTCGACCTGTGAAGTTACGGGGTAGAATAGGTCTTCAGCAACCCAGGCTTGCCATAAAAGGTAACTAAGCTTGTCGTAAGAGGCGTCTAAGGGGAATCGGGAGGTCAGGCTTGCTGACTTGGTTGATGCATGTCATCCTATCCCAATTGTGTGGATCGATGCTCATGATATCAATCAATGGATTGTCTGGTCCAGACTTACAGACTACAATCACCATAGCTGGAGTATTGCTGTGCGGCGTTAAACAACAAACAAACAAACAAACAAACAAACAAAACAACGAACTAACATTTACAGTCCAGTATGCAAAATTTAAGATTGAATACATATCCCATGTAATAAATATCAACAAGTATAACTAAATGCTCACATGTCACAAGCAGGAATATATAATTATGTTCCCAAACTTGCAAAGTAAGAGTTGAACATTTGTTGAAATATCCCAGCACAGTATTAATCTGGAATGAATTGTTAAGACTTAGGCAGCTTGATACTAGCTATAAAATGAAGATGTTACATGCCGACCTGAGAAATGATTGATCAGGCATTGCTACCTGTTTGAGACAGCTGGACGAAGGCAGGCATTACCCATGGAGTAAGTGCTACATGCGTCACCATCTTTGATTTGACAAGTGGCGACACCTGTTGCTGTTAACAGGCATGGGGCTCTATTGCTGATTGGGTGTGAAACTGGCATCATTCATGCAAGGTGTGTTTATTATCATGAATGTTTTGACACAATACCATTGTGTATAGTAAAACAAAAGTGGTACCAAAAAATATATAATAGACCGTGGACATTTGGTAATGATATTCTATACAAACACAATAAAAAACAACAAATAGATTGGTGTCCATGCTGCATAGAGAATCATGACCAGCTTGTTATATGTCATTGTCATCAGGTGCTTGTGCCACATGACAGTGTGTGAATGCAGGAAGATCATTGGTAGGTCACAGGTAGGTCGCAGAAAGATCACAAGCAGATCACAAGTAGATTACTGGTAGATCAGAAACAGATCATGGATAGATCACAGGTAGATCAGAAACAGATTATGGGTAGATCACAGATAGACCACAAACAGATCACAGGTAGATCACAAGCAAATCACAGGTAGATCATGGAAAGAGCACAGGTAGATCAGAAACAGATCATGGGGAGATCACAGGTAGATCACAAGCAGATATGGATAGATCACAGACAGATCACAAACAGATCACCCAAAGATCACAAGTAGATCACAGGTAGATCACAAACAGATCACCCAGAGATCACAAGTAGATCACAAGTAGATCACAGGTAGTTCACAAACAGATCATGGGTAGACCACAGGTAGATCACAAGCAGATCATGGATAGATCACAGGTAGATCATAGGTAGATTATGGATAGATCACTGGTAGATCATGGATAGATCACAGGTAGATCACAATCAGATTAAGGATAGATTACAAGTAGATCACAGGTAGATCAGGGTCTCAATCATTCCCTGCATGTAATATTCTCCAGTGGGTTGGGATGGGGACTCAATCTCCAGTGGGATGGGGACTCATTCTCTGTGGGGTGGAGCATCAGTCTTTAGTAGGGTGGGATGTGGAGTCAATCTCCAGTGGGATGGGGACTCAATCTCCAGTGGGATGGGGACTCATTATCTGTGGCACTGTGGCACTTTCATGTACAACAATTCTAAGCACTTTCGTGTGCAACCATTCTAAGTACTTTCATGTACAACCATTCTAAGCACTTTCGTGTACAACTATTCTAAGTACTTTCGTGTACAACCATTCTAAGCACTTTTGTGTACAACCATTCCAAGCACTTTCATAGACAGGATAGGAAATACTCAGTTTGCTTCTGCAGTGGAGTCACAAGGACTTGGCAACTATTATAACTTACCTTCCACTGGCTTGGGCAGGACGAAGGCGGAGAGAGTGACTGTGTTTTCAGGGAGTGTGATGATCTTGTTATCCCCGGCTGACACTGTCAACTGTATGACTGAAATACAACACAATTACATCTTTAACAGTTCAAACATGACAATAGGGTCTCAGGTTGCATCATATCGCATCAGATGTCCTCCTGAACTCCTGTTCCTATTATTTGATTGGTATGTCATGAACTTGGATGAAATCATGAACACTGGATGATGGTTGAACGATACTGCTCCCAACAGTGACCTGCCATCAAAGGACCGCGCCTGGTGATGCGGGTTCACATGATACATACTGTTAAGTCAAGGGAACATAAGCTATTGCCGCATTCTACTTTCAAATGCTGACACATTCGAAAATAGAGGGGACAAAACGGTGGATTGTGTTTGAATTAATTCTAACCAAATAAAACAAATTAAGTATCCAGATACTGAAAAATGTTGTTTTTTTATGTAATCTTGTTCAAACTTCAAATCATGCACTCACTCATACTGCAATACATTAAGCATGTTTAGAGCGCACCCTGTGTTGTTTTTTTGTATTGAGATATATCACTGTTTTGGAATCTTCACACTATATAATTACACAATGTGATGCCCATGAAATGCTGTCAGACAACTGCACCAAAACATTTCATATCGAGCTCTGTGATAGGTCCATAGCGCTAGTAGTAGCCAATCATTTTCAAGATGTATATTTCATGACATTGGTAAACCATGGACGAGGTGTTAAAGGTCAAAGGGGAGGCCATCATAGTTTCCTTGTTTTCAAAGTTACAAAAGGCAAATGATGATCATGATGCAACAGATAAATCGAGAGGACATGCCAGCCGATATTTGGCCAACAAGCCAAGTGAGGAACCCCGAAACTAAGTATGCACCTTGTGTGTTTCAAAGGAATTGGCCCCAAACTTTATCCATAGCTTAGATTGTCAGACGAAACGCGTTTGACTTCATGGACCATCAGATTTCCTGAATGGCTCATATTTGGGGGATTAAGTGGGCCACAGTGCCCACCTTTTACCAAGTCTATAATGAACTAAGCCGACCTCATAATATATAATCCTAACATCAAAAAAACTAAAATCCAGTGCTGGCAACGCACGTCTAAGCCATTTGAGGTCTCACATGAGAATCTTACTGATGATGTTACCAGAGTTCCATGTGACGTCATCACTTACTGTGTGACATTACAATGTTGGAAAAGAATTACAAATATGGGGAACTTGTAAACTATAACAACATACATACATCAAGTAAAAATACATTATAGCCTGAATATTAAAATATCAACCCAAGACAGTTGCTAACCTAATCATAAATCTGGCATTTGAACTACTGCTGGCTATATCTAGTTAGTTTATTCACTCATTCCATCATACAACACTGAAGAAACTAATCACATAATGCATCTTCCAATCAAGGAACAACAGATGTCTTGCCACAATTCTGTGCACTTATATACACAAAAATCCTAAGACCAAACAACATAATCGATCCTTGAACCTGTCACTTCATTATGAGAAAATGGATATGTACATGTACGTGAGGTTTAGTTACTTCAATAATGTTGACTTGCTGCGAGTGACAACACTATACCCTTAACACACAGCACTCAGATTTGTAATGCTATACCTCTGACACCCCACCTCCACACTGGGGAGCACCATGAGCCCACCCCCCTCCAGAAACAGCCTTGCTTGGGACTGGATAATCTCAGTACCCCCAGACAGTATGTGGCAGTACCCCCACAGAAGTTGACAGATACCCCCCGACAGCACCTGGCAGTACCCACCTTGAGCCTGTGACAGAGTAGCTATCAGATTGACGACGAGGACGGTAATCAGATACATGCATGCTTGTTTCCTACACATCAATGTACACCCAAGCACATGAGCATCGTTGATAGTGACAAAGAGCCAAGTGTACACATGTAGACAGCCCCAGTATATGCTATCACAGCATGGATCCAATACTCTGCGGCTGTGTTGCCGAGTGATCAATAAATCTGACTAAGCGCGGGTGGCCACGACAACTTCCAACACATGGGTGTTCCACTGGGATGAATTCTGCATGGGATAGGTGCTGTCTACATATGCTGATATGATTATACGAGATGCAGCAATGCTAATACATTGCCAGTCTGTCACATACACAATGGGCGGAATACTGATGATGAATGAAGATATTTACTGCAGTAATATTTACAAATATAACTTTTAAATAGCTCGTTACAATAATCATATTATTATAATTCATCTCATGCCTTGAGGCTACAGGATTTTGATGAGAATAAATATGATAATAAACATTCTTACACTTGAATAAGCAAAGCACACCCCTGGCCAAGTAGATTTGGCTATTTTTCTGAAAGTGACAAATAAAAAAGCCACCTTGAAATATTTTTATTTAACCGAAACACAATCACTATGCACCCAACTGGAAATTATGGGATTTCTGGTTATCTGCATCAATATTTAATATTACCGTATTTGACGTAATAAGCGCCCAGGGCGCTCTCAAAATTAGAAATGGGGGGCTTTTAATAGAATGTTATTCTGGTGAAAAAAAAACAGCCTTGAAAGATAAATTTAGTGGTTTATGCTGACAGCCTGAAATGTTTATATACGACAGATATATTTTTCCAGAATTTCATTGCGTATTATACGCGAATAAATAAGTCTTTTGTATATTGATCAATCGGAAAGGGTGCTAATTGGGATTGTTCACCAGCAAATATATTAGTAAATATCATGATTCTAAATGCACCCAGTGTCAAGGGCAATCTATAGGCTGTAATGCCATTACATGATGCAGATTCTAGAGGTAATTAACAGATGTGCGATTTAATCAGGGCAATCAATGGTAGGTGCAGACATGAACGGTATTAATATGTAGGCTTGAAGAGAAATAGGTTAATGCTAACCTGCCAGCCCCAAATCAATCTGACAGCCTGTCAGGATACTTTTTACTATCTGAATCTTGTTCAATAAATGCCCCCAAAAATGACAACAAAATCAAGTATTTGGTTAAATATTGACATTTTCAGTATATCAATTTCATATATTCATAATTCATCTGCTCCATAGAGTTATTCTAGATCAACTCGATATATTTTCAACTCAAGTGCTCACAGGATAAACAGATGTTGTGTATTGCAATATCAGGAAATAGAATTTTCCAAAATATGTTTTGTCCAATGATCACTAATTTTTTCATTCTCGAGTATATGGGAGAATGAAGGGAGTTTATGAATTCTGGACCGAGCAAACCAGTGTCTGATAGCATGAGCAACAAACTCAGCAAGGTCACACATAATGTCCACCCAATCCCCAGTTGAGCTGGCTTTACATAAGGATGTTTACCATGAAACTCAAACTGTCCTCAACAACATATATCTTAGGTCAGTCTATCACCAATATGAAGTGGAGCATCTGAGAATTCCCAGACCAAAGTCAAACAGTAAAATATACCATGTAATACACCATACAAAATTTAAATAATTCCCTTTTCATGACCGGCCTTGTATTCCTTATGGGAAAAGTGAGTGAGAGTAACGCCACGATGTTCACTAAAACTGTGACGTCACTGCATTGTAAGCTCACTGTATGCTATCAATGGAATGACACTGCACGTTACAACTAGTGTGAAATCATACATATGCACATATATTTATCCATTTGCTTAAAAATATTTACACTAACATATAGACATCATGTTTCTGTAATAGATGAACGTTTTACCCAGATGTTGTTAAACTATTTTAGAATAAGACACAATTAATCATACTTTTATACAAAACTTTAAATAAGACAGTAGGTGATTACCTTATATGGCGCTAACACAACGTATAAATTTGGCATGATAGCTAATTAGTCCATCCAGTTTAATAGAATGCACACCAACACTCTTTATTGTTCAATTGGGAGGTTGGATAAAATTGTCTTGATTAAAAAAATACCTATCTTACAGTTAAATGTATACAGTTAAATACTCTGAATATAGACCTGGGCAGACATCCAAGACAAGAATCCAGGACAGAATCCATGACAAGTAGAATCTATCAGTGAGTGTGAGTAGATCATTCAGATATCAGGCATACGGGGCTGGGACAAGTCCAAATTTACTGCCTGGGTACCCACCCCCCTATTACCCGACCCTACCCGGGTACCCACTGTAAGTCTCAGGAGATGTCTCAAAATGTCCGAATGGGAACATTTTTAGCATAGCCCTGGCAAAACGTATTAAGATACATGTATTGAACAATCTGGTCATTCATACACTGAAGTTGAATTAAGTTTTAACTTTATTCAACCATATGAAAAATCAGAAGGAATGGGTGCATAGTCAGAAAGAAATGCGAACATTAGTGACTTGTAGTGTAACCATAGAGTTCTAGATAAATTTTTCATTAAACAATATATCACGTGACGAACCATGGCTCATGTAGTCCTGTGGGTACCCGGGTCCTACTCAGTACCCACCCGACCCGGGTACCCCAGTCACCCGTCCCAGCCCTACAGGCATAGTTTAAATTTATGCTATACAAAACACATTGATCAATGTGCATCGTTACACAAAAGTGCGAATTTGAAACAAACAAATTCATTCATAACATAACATCCCTTTTCAGACTATAATAAGCACCAACCACTTAAGAATATGCATGATGCTTGATGATCAGCCAACTTGATGAGCCAACTCTGATTTCTGTACTTAACATGTACAGGCAGTTCTGAATGCAAAAAAATAAAGGCCATGTTTTTATGTTGTGGATATTTTATATACATGTCTGAATCTGCATATGAGCATTGTCTTTACACCTCAATTTGATCTGAGAAATTGGTTCTCGACAATGCTATTTGACAAAGTTTTTCATTTTGTATCCCAAAAGCAGGATTGGACCAGGATCTTTAGCGTGACGAGTGTATGCCTTAACCCATGACCCTGCAACAAATGTGACTGGAAAGCAATCAATCACAGATTTCATAAATGATTGCTTGGTTAGAAACTGGAATATATCAATGACATATGAAATTGATCAACATAAAAACGTAAAATAGAT